ACATTCTGACATCCCAGCAGCTCATTGATCACACAAGACAAAACAGTGGCAAGCCCAGCATGAACTTTAAAGATACACTGCCTTAAAAAAAACCAGAACATGTAAACATGGCTTCAAAGTACATACAGGTATTATAAAGGTCATGAAATATTTCACTGTCTCAAAACAAATTAAATTTGGTGTGATTGACATTAAAAAAAAATCAATCTTATATACCTAGCTACTGCTAATCAATGATCTGAGGACATCCCATTATAGGTTACATCAGAACAACCTTTCATCCGACCAATCAGAAGGTCGCTTACCATGCTTACCAGATCACGAAAATGGCAGTTGGAATGTGTTTTCTGATCATACAACCTCAAAAAGAGTAACAGGGTATTTGAAGTGATAGTATGGGGCAATACGACTGAGTGAGTCAAAATCATTGTCTATCTCTAGCTTCAATGGGATAAACATTTGAATGGGAGAGACTTTGCATAGTCCATGGAAACAAGACTTAAATTGTGCGATATGATCAACACTTACACATGTTTGTTCCCATACACTGCAATAACACAAATAAGGACCAATGAATTGTCATAAACAGAACAAAAAACATGTCATGAAACCAGAAACAGAAACGCATAATGTATTTTCTGTAAACAGTACACGATGTTCTTCATATTGCACGCAGATCAGATCAGAAAGTCACACTTGAACTATTTCATCCACTTTGTGACAGGCACCGATCTCCAAAATTACTCTGTTTTAGACATATATAAGTGATATATTGTACCGTAGCACCTTTAAAAAGCATCATAATAGCCTACAAAACTACTGCGCCTGTCTGACTTAAGGGAATGCTTTGGCCTTGAGTGTCTCAGGCTAGCCATGAAACTGGAACACATTGCAACATCATTATTTTATCCCAATAGTGACAAGTTGTGTAAGGACTTTGATCAGTGATGCGTGAGTGAGTGCTAGAGTGAGAATGTGAGTGAAATGGGCCTCCTGCCACTTTAAACAGTATTCAAGGCACGTCAGCTTATTGTTGGAGAAAAACCCAAAGTGGTCCAAGACATTTACAAGCTTGGTGAAACAAAGGGGCACAGGTATGGTGCTGACAAACCTAGAAACATCAGAGCAAACCAGGATTCGAACCCACAACCATAGGTTTTGGCGTCCCCAGGTGATGAGGTTTCAAATGTTAACTTTAGCAGAGTTAAATCTACAGGTAACCTAGCTCTACACTGAAAAGCTAATGGCTATTGTTACTTCTAATTGCAGTTGTGAATATCTAATGTCAGCTAACCATTTATTATATACTTCAGTGTGAAAGACCGAGTTTTCTGAAGTTGAGAAAAGTGATATTTTCACTGCAGTAAACATAACACTTTGACGAAACTATTGTCATACAAGAGTTACCTCCCAGGAAATTTATCGTATCATACACGAACTGTTGACTTCCTGTTTACGTTAGTTCCACATTGACTGGGCAAAATAATTTCAGATGGTCATTTGTGGCGGTAATATTGCTTCTTGCCGTTAATCTCTTGGAAATGTTTCGTTATAAACTGTAAATTTCTCATTTAACTGTTACTTGACCAGTGTGTATTCTTTTGCTTCCAAAGACGTTCTCGTAGATTTCAAGATTTTTTTGTTGAAGTTGATATTGTATATAATCATATCTAAACATGCTAAATGTATGATAAAGAATTCTTGTGACTCTAATTATTGTTAGTTACTTTTGGCTTATATTTTTTTAAGATTTTGCAAACATGGAACTACTCTTTAGGTTGCAACATCCCTGTGTGTTAGGTAGGGAGAATTTACACATCAAGGTTTAACATTTGTAACGAAAGAATATAATTTTCTGGTAGACAACTACACAAAAAGTATATTATATAATGGATATTCCACATGTCGAGTAAAATATCATGTTTCTCTCATCCCGTGACGAGGGAAAAGGAGATATTTTCAGTCGTGCCTACTCCACGTATGAAAATATCGCCTTTCCCCGTCACAAGCTGAGATAAACACGATATTTCACTCCACACATGAAATATCCTCTATGTATACTTGTAACAAACTGATGACAAAAACCTGGCATATCTGATTTAGCAACGTCTTGATGATGGTTTAAAGAATAACATTTCAAGAAGTATATATAACGACTAGGTTGCAATTTACAAATAACTATATCCACACTAGTATAGAACAAACGCGTCCAGAAACATGGTAACGCTCATAATGAATCTAGTTACCACATTGGCTACAGCTACTGACCTGCCACTTAGCATATACAATACATGCTGAGACTGGTCAGGTTAAGCTGAACTAATCTCATTGTGTTCAAGACAATCAAGCTGAAATAATGGGCCAAAGTCCAATTTTAACACAAGGGCATTTGAATGTCAAATTAATTGTCAGCAGTGGTACAAAACATTTTTTAAAGTTTTTAAGTAATCGGAACAACAACTACTTAAATGTGTCAAGGCCTAAATACATGAGTCCTCAAATTACATTAGCAATGATCAGAACAAACTGTTTTTAGCCAAACCTTGTTTGAGAAAAAACCCATGTGTATCAATTCAAAGCATCTTCCGAACTTTTATATCAATAGCAATTATTGGGTTACAAAGATAATAAGAGATTGCATGTGTCAATTAGGATTTGGCAATGTGGTTTTTTTTCCAAACATGTGGAAACCAGAATGTATTTCTAAAAATGTTTCAATGCTTGAGAGACAACCTCCAGCAAACATGGGTGCTATGCAAAGATTCGATCCACAAATTTATGTCTATGCAAGTTAGGTACATAAACTGTTTTGAAACGAAAATCACTCAGTATTTATTTTTGCAATTTTTGAAGACCGGTTTATGTTGAAACCAAGTAGTATCTCCATCCAAACTGTCACAAATTCCACCTGTTTTTATCATAGCAAGATCCCACCCACCCACCCACACCCACACCCACACCCACACCCACACCAAGATCCAGCATGCATACATGCATACAGACAGACACACACCATGTATACTGCACTTGTTGAAAGAAACACATTATTCAATGCATAACAACCATATCAAATTCTGAACACAAAGGCTTGTATACCTGTATATGTATTGACTAAATCAAATTTAACAACAACAACTACTACCCTACAACTGATTGATCTAGCAACCAACTGCAATAATGGAATAAAGACAGGCTACGGACAGTTTCAAGATTCACCCATAACATTGCAGTACCATCACAACCATGCTGATAAATATTGAAACAATATATTGCCCTCGTATTTGGACAAATAGCTTCAGCCTGAATGTAGGTCATTTTGAGATTTTTGTGAGGAAAGGCTTCTATAGTTACTGATTGTTTGTTTTTTATGAATGTGGAAGTATCATCTGCATTGTGATATTTTCATTGTTTCATATCAACATCCTTGTACTATTTGTACATCACTGCAGCACTTCAACAGTATTGTTACAACAAGACTTTGTTCCACGTTCTGGAGCCCAGTCTAGGACTGGACCTTATAATTAATGCCTTGAGTGAAAATTAGGGTGATCAGTGTGTCGAACACGAAGTACATTTCCTCACAGAATGTGAATTCTACTCTGATCTATGATATGACTATTCTCACTTGTCTAAGAAGTTTAACCCCAGAAGACCAATTTATATATGTTATGCAGAATGACAGTCTAGCTATTCCCCTAGCCGCAGTTGCTACTGCTATGTATAAAAGAAGAAAATTTCAACTTGCATTGTAAGTAGTGCACTTCTGATCCACAAGTATCTCACTAAACGATACTAGCATAATTTCTTCATATAAAGCTGAGCTATTTTTTTATCTCTCGTGTCTCATAGGCCAACCGGCCGGGTGGTATATTATATATTTTGTCTTGTACTTTGAATGTATGTATTTTTATACTGCGTGACACGCAAATAAAATATTATCTTATCTTATCTTATCTTTATTAACAATGAGATTGATAAAAAAGAATCTTAAATTTTAAGCTTGGAGAGAAACAGTCTGTACCAAAATGGTTTGAGTCAACTATCCCAGACTATCTACTGATTTTCAGTAGAGTTTAGTGTTATAATATGGACCATTATCAGCTCAGTACTAGACCTAACACAATTCTACACTCAGGTTTCAGACTGGTGGCTTAAGTCACAGAATCCCATTAACAATAGCAAAAGATGTATTTCATGACGAAAATTACAACCACAGGTGTTTCAGCATGTAAATTTTAATTTTTATAAACTAAACATCTGTATTGAATATAAGACCATGTGTTGTATGTAGGTAACGAATGCCCACCCCACAACAAATGAAGATTCTATACACTCAGTTATGACAGAAGCACATCCTCATTTAACTGGCATAATATTATCATGAACAAATCGTTAAGATTAGCAGTCAGAAATATCAGTTATTCCATGATATCACACCTGCAAGGTTAGAACTTAACACTAGCCTGCTAGCCTTGGGCTAATACAAATTCCTGAGGGCTAGTACAAATTTCCAAATTTCCCCATTTTGTTTCAACATTACAAGGGCATTTTATCTTTAACCCTAGTATAGCTTTTGAGTTTAGTTCTAACCATGGTAAATGCCTCTAGGTTGAGTGAGAAATATCTTGTATTACCCTGATATCATGGTTGCCTGTAGGTCGAGTTGAGTAGAGTTGAGTGAGGGCCTTTAAAACCCCAGGATATCTTAGTATATAGCATCCCTTACAACCTACACTGCTGAGTAGGTGATAAACCATCAACTAGGTCACTTTACAACCAGTAGATCCAATGATTTAAAAGTTCCTGCAAGTATTATGGGAAACCGGGGATCTATTCTGCCCGATTCCCTCTTTCAAAATAAGAACAATAACCAAAATTAACAATTGACTTTATAAATCGACACATTCACCTACTGTGAGTACAGCATGTTACAGATCCTGCAAGTCGGTATGTTATCAGTAACACTTGAGACTATACTCTACACTGTACATCACAATTACCTTTATCAGCAGCAATCCCAGGTTGTCTCTACTGGTAATCTCGTCTGGGAGTCGAAACTGAAGCATGAGATGGGTACCTAATTAACCTACAGGAACAGTTTCAGCATTAATGATGAGGGCTGGTTCAGTAAGTGTAAACATGCCCAGCCTAGCTGCAGTAGCTGGTATTTCAACAACGTTGTGCCGGTCCGGATTTCAATAAATGGCCATGCTTGAGTGGTTCTTCAGGTAACTGTCCACCTGGAACCGGTACAAAGGTACACCAGGCCTTGTGCCTACTCATGCAGTAGAAAAGTGGTGGAGGAGGGTTACAGCCCCTGTCAGTCAACACCTGATATGCCTGTTGAACCACACCGGCCATTGGCAACAATGAGTGGGGAACATATATATTAATCACTGCACTACTGCAGGCCTCAGATCGCCCATGGGGCATTGACCCCTATACACGTTCCGAAGCCTCTTTTCAGTACATGCTGTACACAAACGACTACTTCATAAATCCAAAAAGTATAAGGAAAATATTTCACAATGTTTCTTCTTGATTATGCAAATATTACAAAATGTGTTACATGTATAAAAGAAACCTGTATAAAAGAAACATCAAAACTTAAATCTGATAATGTGACTTTAAATATTTGGTTGTACACAACTGAGCTACCTGAAATCATTCAAGCAAACTCAATGCACACTTCTGAGAACTAAGCAACAGATATATTCCATAGGGGTTATTCTCAATATTCTATGGGGGTTATTCTCTATATTCAGTGGGGGGTTATGCTACATATTCCATGGGGGTTATTCTCTATATTCCATTAAAAGTTATGTGATATATTCCATGGGGGTTATTCTCTATTATCCATGAGGGGTATGCTATATATACCATGGGGGTTATTCTCTATATCCCATGGGGATTATGCTTTATATTCCAGAGGGCTTATTCTCAATATTCCACGGGGTTTATTCTCTATATTCCATGAAGGGTTATGCTATATATTTCACGGGGGTCTATACTTCATGTACCATCAGGGTTGTATTACAGGTCATTATCGCCTGTGCTGATACAAAGGTGAAGGATTACAACAAATCTCCTTCACTCACAACAGCCTGGTCAACAAACACTGGAACTGGAGTGTCTCTTAAACGCTTCACAAGATAATCGACCACATATATGTTGATACCCATGATACAACTAGAAGTATGTCACTGATCAAATGCAGATCGGTTCTTTTGGAAGCAAAATATAAACCAGCCTAAACATTTCTTAATATCAGTCTTCATAATAAATGATTGACCCATGGCTGTCTGTCTGTCCGTCGCTTGCTCGCACACACACACACTATGTATATATATATATATATATATGGAGAGAGAGAGAGAGAGAGAGAGAGAGAGAGAGATATACTTATATATCCGACTATTGTTCAATTATCATGGGCTAATAAATTCATAATTTTTTAGCACATCCTGTAAATTATCTCTATCCACTTTAATTTTGAAGTTTGAAATTATTCTTTACCGTATTTTCTTGAGTATAGTGCGCACTTTTTTTTCCAAAAAACACAGCTGTGTAGAAGGGGGTGCGCATTATACACGAATTAATGAGTTTTGATGTTTTTTTCCCCCCATGGAAAGACATTACCGTGAGCATGTAACGCCGGAAATACCATGTCAACAAATCCATACTGAAGTTCGCAAATTATTCATGTAATTACACTGTCTGGCTATAAAAAGTGTTCTTTGTATATCTGGACTTATGTTTGTAACTTATTTCATTAATTCTATTCAAAATTTTTTTAATATTGTTTTAATTAATTTCGGAGAAATTGTGTGTGAAGCAATCGGTATATTTCATAAGGACTAGTAACATTTTGCATGGCAGGGCTAACTTATAACAATCCCAGGCCTGTGGGCTTTGTTTTAAAGCTAATTTCCAGCCCTGATCACTATCACTGCAAAGATCTTATTCAGAATAGGGTGCTTGTCCGCTTTGTGACCTTCATCATTTAGTAGTGGGCCAGTAAACATGGAGCAGTGAAAGTACCTTTAAGTGGAGCAAGCCCTGCTGGCTACATACAAACTTGTTAAATGTACCCCTGCCCTAGATATTTAGACCAAAGGGAATACTTACCAGCTGGTTAGACAGGGAGTTAAACTGTTTCATTGAGACATGTAGTCTTTATTCTATTTCAAGCCCTTTATCATAAACCTATCGGGCTTGAGTGTGAAAGGTGGGTGTGACTTGGCATGACAGTTGTGATGTGACAATGTGTAACAGTGACACTGTGGATGTCTCTTGACACATCTACTGCCTGACCAAGATAAGCACCATGTGATGTTGTGTCTACTGACATATATCAGATGAAACAACATCTATCACGCACGTGTCACAGGCAGAAGAGGAAGTGAGACAATATACATCACACTGTTGTTGAGACTCTCTTGACTTAATATTTTCCCAGACAAATCTCGTTGACATTAAGGGACCACCTCCACATTAAGTGACAATTTTAGTCCACTGGTCCTTATAATGATAAAATAAAGCAAAACCCTTATAAATGGTAAATTTCTATTAGTCCTTATGATCCCCATTGGGCAGTTTGGTGATTATTATAGGACAAGCGCCAATTTCCAGAGGTGACTAACGTGATCGGGTGCTCAGGCTCGCTGACTTGGTTTGCACATGTCATCGTACCCCAATTGCATAGATCAATGCTCATGATGGCAATCACTGGATTGTCTGATTCAGACTTTATTATTAATAGACCAACATCATATGGCTGGAATATTGCTGAGAGCGGCGTTAAACAACATACAAAAAAAAAAAATGTCACACACTATTCAACATGTTGAAATTGCCACTGATAAAGTTAAAACAAACACACGCCCATATATAAGTTTCCTAAAGCGTGATAAGTGAAGAAGGAATCTGGTAAACCCGGGACTAAATGGACTTTGGTTTGACGGATAGTGGGGGTCCTGTCGCTGTGACAACTAGATCAAGAGTGTATATCACCTTTATACCTACACAGTTATGTTATCACACATAATAATATATTATGAGTCATGATCCGACTTTAGACGCAGTCACGAAACCCCACCCTAGTTCTACTTACCATCATGAGATCTCAGTATTAATTGGCAAAGGTGAGATGTATAAGAAACAGGTAACAAAGTACTGATGAGTCAATCAAATAGTGAGAAATAATTTGCGAGGTGTGCGTATCCTAACCCCCGTGGCACCCATTACAAACACAACTGGTGTGCTACTGCTCAGGGCTTCAGAATGAGATACGTTCATTTTCTAGGACGCTGACATTTTTTTGTTATTGTATTGTTTCAAATTTGGTCTGACATAGAAAAATGTCCAGTTAAAGTTTGCTAAATTCATGAAAATGTCTGAATAACATTGGTCTCTTGGTCTTAGACACTAGCAAAATCTCTACTGCTGTATATCCCTTTCAAACAAACCAAGCTACAATTAATTGTTCCAAAGTACAAAACAAATTCATGCTGTCTTTGAACAAAAGTTTGTTTAGAAGTCCTTTTTCCACCCTTGCCGAATGTTGCCGGAATTCCTGTTCTCGATCGTAGCGCCACCAGTGGCTTACAAGTTTTGTCCCTTCTATGTTTCTCTTATGGACCAATCAGATTCCACCTCCCGTATGACTTGCATTTGCTTAAAAAGAAACGGTGGCGCCCAGTCAAGACAATCTGATCGATAATCAAGATCTATATAGTGTGTTAAAACGAGTCTTACATTTCTTCGTTTGTTCATTTGGATAGGCCATAGCGAGGATATTCGTGAACAATCATGCAGTCACGCTCTCTGACATTTCTCAATGTATACTGAAACGCTGAGACCAAGAATAAAGGTTCTAAATGATCAGAAAGAACGATTATGTATGTTTTCGCGCTAGGGAATTCCAAGGGGTTTCCCCAGGAATGTGGAGGTAGTTCGTCAGTGTTTACGTCATTTCAAGAACACGGTCTCATGAAAAACATATGAACGTCAATTTCGCGGTCATGTGACCGACCTCTCGTCCAATGGAAAAGACGTACATCGTGTAAACTTCAAATTAAAAAATTATATATATATATATATCATTTTTGCAGACAAGTGTTAAAAAATACAAACTCTTTACTAACGCTGAAGTATTAAAGCTACAGAAATAACATTTTAATACTTCTAGCCAGGGCATATGATTTTTAAAAACTTTGAGGCTGGGGTTACTGTGGTTACAGGTGAAAGTTTCACTTGTTTATATTTATTTTCTTCCTGTAAGTTGACCCAGCATTATTCATGGCATGTCTCATTCAAGTATTTACGGTAAAATTTCCATGATCGAAGTACTTTATGAAATACTATCACACAAAGGTCCTATCTAAAACATTTATCAATATGGCACATCTAGGAACGCATACGTTTCAGTTTCATATGAACGTGTGTCAACGATTCACACAAAAAATGACCACATAAATCATTTAGAGATCTGGCCTAAATCAAATTTTGAAATGCGAGGTCACAAACTGCGGGTCGGGGTCCAGGCTATATGCGCTGGTAAATCTAGATTTTCTTCAAATCTCAAACGTACTTGAGTAGGCCTAATTAAATAAGCACCCGCCATGATGACGCTGGTAAACTGACAGCAATAAAGAGCTTACATCAACATACACATCCACAAACGTGTAGCATTTTTTTTATCATCTATAACAAGGAGGCGTAACCCTGACGTGACAATCCACGTGTGAGATATGAACACGTGTGTAGGATAAGCCTATATATAGATACGACTATGTGAAACGGAATCAATAAAAGCAGAGATAATACAATACCTTGAATCAATGGTTAGTTCTGTGTCGCAGAATATTCTCACAGCTTTGGCTGCAAAATCTTAGGCGTGTGACGACTTCTTGACCCAATCTCTGCAAGTGCAGGTGCAAGTGAAACGGAAAGATTTAAGATACCGTCTGCTTGTAAGGACCTTCCTTTCCCGGGGAAAATATTCATCAGATAAACCTCTGTAGAGAACGACACCAAGAATTTGATGAAACGAAAATGCGAAATAATTTCTGTCAAAACGTGGAAGCATGAAATTGTACACACACGAGCTAGTAAACAAAAATATGGAGGGTCTTCTTCACCCGCCAATAAGAACTTTGTTTTCATTGGTTACTGCGTCTCGCATGAACCAATCATTTCCGTGAAAATCATCAATGGGATTATCCCTGTATTCCCACACACGACTATTTTTTGTAGGGGGTGTAAGCATATTGCTCTATGGATAAATGTTGAGATTATGGACGTGTTCCGTCATATACGTACCAGTTACCAACCCTGATAACCATACGATGAACATGTGAAGAATGCTTATGTAACTATTTACAAACGAAAATCACGTTTATTTAATACAAGAACAACCCGCCCCCCTCTCGTTTTTGCGGCGTAGTAGAACGCCTGATGTGTCTCATATCGTATGATGCAGCGTGTAGAAATTCGACCCCTGGTTACGTTGGCGGTGTTTATAGTATGGTGATGTATGACAGACACGTGGAACCATATGATAATGATGCCAGTGTGATACACAAAAGCATTGTGTATTCGTGTGACGTACTCATGGCTTTCTTGATTATTCATTCTCACACTATATTATCTGATGAAATTGAGAGGATTTTGTCTGAAACAAATACTTTTTGACAATGGAAAATATGTATGGATGAATAAAAATTCAAAACAAGCCCAGAAGTTTGTTTCATCATTCCTAGTAAATTATGTGCGGCAAACCAAATGTATTGTTACAAGAATTGGAATTTGTTATGACTTAAATTTTGTCCCTTTTGATATGCAGACCCTATATGAAGGGTGGGGGTGGGGAATCACCATTTATCGGTTTATTGGCAATCTTCCTTGGGCACCTAGCTGTCTATTGAGACAAAGGGGGATGTAAGTAGGCACCAAACCAATAATCAGAAGGTATATTTGTTTCCATTCTATATGTGTGTGTGTTACATATGCCAAGAACCAGCAATGTTTGCTGAAACATTCATAGCTTCATTGGTACTTCATGCATGATCTTGATGAAGATTTTAAACAGCTTAACATTCCTAAATGCCAACAAAAATGCCAAACAGAACATAGAGAATTTTAAATTGTGTATTTTCTGATTCTAATGATGTTAAACTTAAGAAATATCATTGAAGGGTCTAATTTTATTTTTGTGTCAATCACCATCCAAAGGTTTTCAGATAAAATATCTGTTAACCGTCTAATAAATATGAGCATGACTGTATTAGAAACACTAACTAGACTAGTAATTTGTTTTGCATATTTTGAAAGGATAACTTATATCATTTGTTTTGTCTCTGGAAGACCTATTTGATAAAACCCTGCAAGGATAAAGGGTTGGAACAGGTCCTTACTACTTCATGCTTGAAGCACAGTGGAGATTTGGTTCTTTCAGTCACTGGTTTGCCAGGACCCAACACAATAATTTACAGGCTGCAATGATGTATCTGTAGTGTTGAGGCTTTAACAACGTACTCGTTTGATAGATACCCTATGCAGGTGTGACCTTTACAGCGGTTATGTTAAATAGCCTCGTGCTAATCAGTTATCTCCTGTTACAAGTAACACAAGGAAAAGTTACATCATGCTTTAAATCACTGTACTGGATTTCCTTCATGTATTTAGGTGCTTGAATTATCTGTAAACTTCCTGAAGAATAGCATGGATTGATGTCAAGCGTTATGGAAATATGTGGAATATTCTGTACTGTTCTAGTGACCCTGGACTGGTCAAACACTGCGTAGAAAGTACTGGAAGCTGGTTGGATTATATAAGTGGAGCGGGTGCATCCCTGTCTCATCTCACATTTCATCTGATATTACATCAAGACAAGCTTTTGTGTGAAGATCTCGGAAGTTTGACCACTGTTGGGATGAGGTGATTATTCTTCTTATATTAATTTCTACTGCTCTCACATCTTATACTGCCATTGAATATGTCAACAAAGGGCTGAAGTATTATACATATATCATAACTCTTTTAGAAATGAAAAAAAGTTGATCCATGTAGATATTTTTATACATGTAAATTTGTAATTATTTATACTTTCTGAAAATGATTTTAGAACATTAGATGGCTCGAAAGGTCTAAGATTGTTTTGTTTAATTCAAATGATTCAAATAATTCAAAGATTCTAAAAAACCCAGAAAAGATGTTGAAATTGTGTTTTGAATCAGACAACCAATATTTCAATGGATATCGCCTAACCACATTAAACTAGTTCTTGTTCTGATTGACCTTGCATTGTGAGGACATTCATTCGAGTCAACCAGTCATAAAGATGCAATGACCGCTAAAGCAGCATAAATTAATATCAGCCATATTAGGTAACATCTTATCAGTCAGTTGCTTCTGATTTACCGAGGATAAATTGTGTCAAAGAATCCTGTTAAGTAGATGACTGATCACCTAATCTAGGGTCGCGGGAAGAGATTGTGGGCAACAAGTGAACAGGATGTTGCCATGTATTTAAAGAAATCTTGTCTTATACATTACGTAACGTTATGACCTACATCCAGGTAAACATGTTTATTACACCAAAGCTTGTCAAGATGAGGAAGGGAATGGACTGCTGGTTACCCCAGGGTGAGACAGAACACTGGGAGTGGTAGCCTGAAGTGTTGAACGTATCTTGGGAAGAGTATGTCTTGCACTTCTCATCACAAGAGTAGGTTTTTAGTAGTTTACACCAAGAGTATACCTAAAGCCTGACCGTGGTATTTTCTTGTTACACAGACATACCTACACATCATTTTGTGAAAATAATAAATGTTTTCAGATCTGAAAATAGTCCTCAGATCTTTTTGTTTTGATTACTGTTAAAACTCTTATTTAAAGAATTAATTAATGAAGTAAACCTTTTATGAACCTTGATGATTTAAATTCTGTTCATTCTTCCTCTTTGCATATTGACGAAGCAAATCTGTCCAGAATTAAACTTACTCTGGCCTGAGAAAGAATATATACTAATAGTGAAAATACCTGAAATCACAAGTCAGATATCCAAGGTGTTATGTCTTTGTTTGTTTTATTTGTAGGTCCTACTGCTGGGGTGATCTAACACTGAATGGACCAACTCCGAGAGATATTGAGATTCCATCATTTGCAACATCTGCTATTAATGTGAAGAATAGTGTAATTATTGTTATAAAGTCGTCAATGCATCATTTGTTATTTCATTATTAGAGGTGTGTTTGTTCACCAACGTTACAATGCAATATACCGTATTCGACGTAATAAGCGCCCCGCTCTAATAAGCGCCCACGGGGATAATTGCTCATATATTGGCTAGTGAACAATTCCAATTAGCACCCCTTCCGATTGATCAATGTACACAAGACTTATTTATTCGCTTAAAATACGCACTCGTGTGTTATATGCACCCTTAATTATGGGCAATTAATTTCTGAAAAAATATATCTGTCGTGTATAAACATTTCAGGCTGTCAACATCAACCACGAAATGTATCTTTCAACTCTGTTTTTTCCACCAAAATAATATTCTAATAAGAGCCCCCTATTTCTAATTTTGAGAGCACCCTGGGCGCTTATTACGTCGAATACGGTAACCCAATACTTGTTTACTTCTGATATGACATACTGCTGAGTAGAATGTGGCAGGATCTGTCATCACACAGAATGCCAAGAGAGTTATATTACATATACTGACAGAGATGAAGTGACACTTTCTTTACAAGGGCTTTGAATGAGTTGTTAATATTGGACTTGAACCTCTGACCCAAACGTAAACTGTGATGAAACAATAGGGCACATCAACATATGATAAAGAATTTCCATTGTCCTTTTGTGTCTGATATGAAAAAACAAACAAAACAATCTAGAAATTCAGAACAGCATTCTCTGTAACGTTATGTGGTAGTGTAATGTATTGTTAAACAATGATTGTAACTATTACATTGTTTCTTTTGAGATTCAGAATAAGTTCATTGCATAGTATTTGGATAATGATTAGTTGTCAGGAATGAAGTAGTAGGTACTATTTTATGTAAGCAGGGATGAGGAAGCTATTATATTTTGATGCTTGATTTATCTGTAATCGTCTGGAATAGCATGGATGGATGTCAAGCATTACAGAAACTTGGAATATTCTGTGATGTTCCAGTGACACTGGACTGGTCAAACACTGTGTAGAAAGTACTGGAAGCTGGATGAGTCCCTGTCTCACCTCACATTTCATCTGATATTACATCAAGACCAGCTTCTGTCTGAAGATCACTTTGGATTCCTAGCCTAGGCCTATCTCGGAAGCTTGACCACTGTTGAGGCAAGGTGATTGTTATTCTTGTCATTGTCATTAATACTGCTCTCACCTTTTTATTCTGCCATTGAATATTGTGCTACCACTCAATTGTGTACTGCCATTGTAATTGCTGTGTAGTAATTCGTAAACCTAGTTAATTTTGTAATACAATAATTGTTGATTGTATACCATTTGTTGGTCGTTTGTTGCTTTCACACTATATTCTTTTACGTGCAGATTTCTGGGAATCGACACGTAACAGTATGTTGTTGACATCACAGAAAAAAACAAGAACAAAAAATGAGAAATTGTGAAAGGAATTTATCATATATTTACAATGTTTCCAGCACATAATAAAGCACATCTGCATGGAAGCAATAGCATGGATCCATGAGGTCACCAACACTCAATGTAATCCTGTTGTAAAAGCAGAGGACAGATATCCCTTGGATAAAAGGAGTCTTGCTCATCTGTATCACTTAAAGCTGGGGATCTCACAACATAGACTTTCAGTGATTTCACCTTAGTCATTTCAAAATGCCAAAGATGTCACCAAAGATCACACTTTGTCAAAATAAGAATCACTGGTTCTGCATCTCCCCTACATACTAAACACATGTTACAATGAAAGGCTGATATGTTGCAATATAGAGCTATTGCAAAATGTTTGCCATGAGGATAATTTCTACAACCCTGAGAGAGAGAATATTACTATAGGCCACTGTCAGCAATATTCAAGCTCTATCATGGCAGACTGTAAATAATGTTTGTTTGGTTTGATTGTTTGTTGTTTAATGCCGCACTCAAAAATATTCCAGCTATATGACGGCGGTCTGTAAATAATCGAGTCTGGACCAGACAATCCAGTGATTGACATCATGAGCATCGATCCACGCAATTGGGATACGATGACATGCATCAAACAAGTCAGCGAGCCTGAACACCCAATCCTGTTAGTCGCCTCTTACGACAAACATAGTCGCCTTTTATGGCAAACATGGGTTGCTGAAGACCTATTCTACCCCGGATCTTCACGGGTCTAAATAATTAGGCAATGGCCAGGCAAGTAAGTGGTAAATAGCAACAATCCACAAACATGGGTACAATAACACACAATCAGCCAGCTCACACATTGAACACACCTGTAAAAGTACTGGTGGGATAAATCATGAAAAGTTTCAGCCTCATTCACCTACATATTCAGTAAAGATGGTCTGAAGTAAACTTACCATATTACCAATGTGAACTTGTAGTAAAAAGGCATTACAAATACATACAATGGAATTCATCTTCAGGTACCGAATCAAATTGATATTTATACCAGGTCAACATGGTCAAAGTGATATTTATACCAGGTCAAAGTGATATTTATACCAGGTCAAAGTGACAATTATACCAGGTCTAAGTGCACATTCTGTTTCACACTTTAATCCTGATGGGTTGAATGCGTCTAATAGAGAGACACATTTATTTGACTTGTAGATTCAAGATTCCAAATTTCCTTTTCCCTGAAAGATGTATGTAGTCCAGGAGTAATATAGACAATGTATATGCAGCTAATAAAACAAAGATATCTAGACAACTTTCATTACTCAACATCTATCATGTATGAAACCAGATATTTACAATATCAAAGCTGAACACTTATTATGATACAAACTTTGATTAACTTTGATAGACAATAAAACTAAGCTTTCATTTGTTTAAATATCACCCATGCACAATAAGAGCTGTGTTATGTACCTAATAATCATGATAGGTCAATTGACACTAGAACCTATTCCAAAACATCAATAATAAATTAGATAATAAATAAAAGAGTTGATTACACATAAAATATACATCACACTGAATATCCATGACAAGGAATATAAAATCCCAAACAAAAAATGTGTATTTATTTTTGAATGACAAGACACTTCCATATCATATGTTATCGTTGAAACATCATGACAAATATTCTCATTGTTTTTTATTTGACCTGACCCAGTGTTTCCAATAGACATGGTCAATGTTTGACTAACTATTTCTAATAGATGGAGAATTACACAATACAAAATTCACTGAACAGAATACCCTTTCATGGAGAAATGGGTCTACCAGTAACACTAGCTAGTAGTACAGGTCTCAGTTGGTGGATCATCACAGCCAAATGCTTGGCACAATGCAAGGAAAACAAGTATCACGAGTCACAACAATGGTACACTCACTCACTCCAAAAACTGGGCACCATAAATTATTGTAGAGCTAATGTACAAATAGGATATTCAAATGCTGTGTATCACTTGAAGTATGCATGGGAGTTAGACAGGGAAGAAGACCAACTGATTTTTGGTAGCATTGAGACAAATATTGATTTTGATGAAGCTCTGGACTGCAGACACTAAAGCTTCTCATTGTTCTCTCTACAACACTCTTCCACATTGTAGATAGCCACTCAGAGCTAATTATTTGCATGGTGATATTTGATTCTGAGCAGACACTACATGGTAGCCCTCTTTGGGATAGAATGTGTTTCTATTGTAACAATTTTACTGAGTGCCATGTTTTATTTAACTACTCTTTATATAAAGATGAAAGAACTTGTCAATTTAACAAATGTAATGAACTTTTAGATAACATTGGTAATGAATTGTTTGATAGGCACTACTTAGAAGTAGATGGATGACAAAGTAGACAATTTATGGATAACAACGTCTTTAATTACTGTAAAGGCAATGTTTCGGTATAGATCCTTATACCGTTGTAAAGCAAGACTGAATGAGGAGCATGGTACTGAATATATGTAGTAGGTGGAGGTTAACAGTAACAACATTTGCATACATGAATGCCAGAACCATCCTTCACACCTCCTCCCAACACCTCATCACTGAACAAATCCGCCATCATCGCAAAATGAAGGCCATCTCCCTCAAAGACATCTCTGACCATATCAACCAGCTCAACACCACACTCCAACCTGACACCTTCTCCTCACTTCACACCGCCAAGACCCAAGGTCAACAACAAACTGCACACGAAGACCAAGGCCAACCACATCAACAAGTTCATCGACAAGAATCAAAGAGCACAAAACTTCAACCATCAAACCAGATAGTAAATCAGCCATCTCGGACCATAACAGCAACTGTCCCAATCACAACATCAACTGGGAAAACGTCCAAATCCTCTCCAATAACCTCTATGACTTCACAAAAAGAAAACTAACAGAAGCAGTCTACATTCGCCGCCACAAGCCATCAATCAACAGAGATCAATGTTATTTCATCCCATCCGCCTACTATGAACTCATCAAGCAATAATCACCACACCTATGCAAACTTATCCTGTATGACTGGCTTCATGTCTCATTGGCTTCCACACCATGTGTTCTCTGTCCATCATGCGATTACAGTATTATCCTTCTGTTGTCATTACCGTACTTTACCTACTATGTAATCCGCCTGTATGCAAATGTTGTCACTGTTAATCCTCCACCTACTAATGTATTCTGTACCATGTTCCTCATTCAGTCTTGCTTGACAACGGTATAAGGATCTATACCGAAGCATCGCCTTTACAGTAATTAAAGAAGTTGTTCTTATCCATAAATTGTCTACTTTGTCAACTTTAGTAATGGTACCGATAGGGATAAAGTACACACTCTTCAGTGATGCAGTTAATGTTTTGCGTATGTATATGCATCCTACGCATATGTTTTTACTGACAAATAGTCTCTCATAATTCCTCAATAGCTCAATTTGTGTATTTATTTGTGGAGGTGAGATACAAATATATTATCTGTTCATCTGTGACTACCATTACATTGGGTTTTCTTTTGTGACTGTGTTATACATTTGATGTATAATTTTTGTTGTGTTAAATACAAAATATTTTTATCAAAAATAAGAAAAGCTATTCTGAAAGCACATAAATTGTGAAGCCTACACTGCACCAAAGGGTTTGGAAAGGAACCTTATCCCTATTAGACACAAAAATGATTTATATCTCAATAGCTTTTTTCCAATTTCAATTCATCATTCTAGTGCCCTGAATAAAGAGTGTCTGCATGCTGTTTTGTTATTATTATTTTATTCATGGAACTGTCAGCAAGAAATTTCACAAATGTGAAAAAAAAAGAAGAGATAGTTCCTTTTTATCCTACTGACTCATGACAAAAACAAATTCTATAATAAAAATAACCTTCCAAAGCAGATGTTCAAGGGACATAGGGAAAGATAACCAAGGAAATAAAACAAAACAGTTTTCAGACAATAGTTTTGACTGATATACTACTGACACTCAATCAGCTATTAATACTTTTATAAGGTCTACTACCGGGTCCATGGATGGTTAAAGGAAATATTGTCTCCGGTAACTGTAGCCCTGCCCTTGTCTAGATTGGGAAGTGACACGTGAAATTGGGTCACTCTCTATATGGTCACTTTCTGGGAATAAGACAAACTAAAACAGGAAATGGAGGAGTGAATGTTATGTCCTGTTATGTGTTCAATCAGTTATTAAGTATGGACCATTAAAACCAGTGACTGATCATATTATTGAACAAGGATGCAGGTTTCTGTTCTTTAGACAAGCTTTAACTTAAAACAAACATACAGATATTTCAAATCCTATACTGATAAAAATACTACATAATATAAGTTGTAGTAGGATCACTTGGGGTACATGTAGTTTTATGTGTTCCTCGTTAGGTTTTATACTGGGATGGAGGCAAGTGGTATTAAACCTAACGAGGGACGCATGAAACCCCGTTTACCCTTAGTGATCCGACTACACAAATTTATCTTACCAACATGTTTTAATATGACATTATAAAAGAATGAACACAAATTTGAACTGATAGAAAACAACTGTTTGACTGTGCTGAGGTTAACTTGTGCTATGTCACATGACTTTCATTGACTCAGGGGAAAAGTGTGCGACGTTTTGCTTTGAAGTGGAGTATAAGGGATTTATTCTGCCTCTCAGAAATTCATGTGCAGCCTGATTTGCTCGTGGCGGGGTATAAGGGACTTATTCTCCCACTGAGAAAGTTATTTCCCTGCAAGGCGGTATACAGAGTATTTTATCAAGATCACATGAACCAATCAGATCTCATCATTCTGACATGGAGGTATGATAATGACATCTACTCATCCTACAAGTGTGATGGTAGCAGCTTGTCAGTACTCCTAACATTGAATGAGCATGTACAAGAAGGACCATAACTCTTGTCAAAAGTATTTCAATGCCCTAAATCCAGTGATGTTTTCAGGAATTTTATAACACAAGAGCAGGATCTGTTTCTAGGAACGAAGGAGCATTATCGCAAAATGCACATGCAAATATGACTATTTCATACCATTTAGAGTATTCATGAAGACACACACACACATACAGATTTAGTTGACAGTAACAACAACATGAAACAATTTCAATACATTTATGTACGTTTATAGAAAAATCACCCAAGCTAGAATGATTTTGATAAAAAAATACTGAATTACCTGGTATGATAGCTTAACAGATCAAAATGGTTTGTTGGCATTTAACATACATCTGACGCTCCATCCTGTACAAGCTTCATCAGCAAGATGCACAGATCTTGCCTTTCTTTAGGTTGATTAAGACATATTTATGTCCATGGCATAACTGTGAGTGACATTTTGTTTAAACTATATTCATAGGTGACTGAATTTCATTTTTATGAGTTCATTCAACCATCTACAATTCCACAGCATATTAGTTTTATAATAGTAAATACTGAAACAAATATTTCCTGTTCCTCTGGTGGTAGTTGTATGTTGCTTGGATATTTGTCAAAGTTATCATCCTCACTTTACTTTCCAAAATTGGACTTGGAAAGGTTTCCACGTTCCAAAAGGAAATTATACTCTTTAAAAACATTCAAATATAACTTTTTTAATAATGAGAAAAGTCTGGCTGATTTTTTGGATTTCCACACACACACATTTTAAATTCAATCACAAAATATCTTGTTGCTGCATGAGATTACAATCATTTATTCTTAAAAGTCTTCTAAATGGAGTCAACATCAGACTGAACATATAATCTGGCAGTGATTTCAAACTGACTGCCAAGTAACAGCCAGATGAAATGAATATTGCACATAATTGTCAGTCTCGACGAAAACACATAAGTAATACTGGTAAACATCTTCATACAATCTCTTGTATAGAAGAATTGCAATGAGCACTTGAGGTCTTCGATTAGAATATACACCACAGACTTGACTCCTTAGATATATTTAGATCTATAATTGTGCTGCAACCTAAAAGAAAATGTTTGTTATTATTTCATTAGAACATTTATTGCTTCAGGTTCATTCTGAAGTTTCCAATAAAAGTGTATATCATTTTAGTGATGGCATCAACAAGACATCACTATAACTGAATCTTTGACTATAGCTGGGTTTCATGATGTACTCTGATCAGATCTAAATAACAGTATTCATAATATAATATTCCAAGTTTGATCTAGAGGGATTAACTTGCAAAATGGCGGAGCAAGATACTCTAGTCTTGATATTAGAGGACCACAATCTGTATGAATGAGAATGGGTTTACACCACTTTTAGCAATATTCAAGCACTATCACGGTAGGGGACACCAGAAATGGGCTTCACACATTGTACCATGTGGGGAATCGAACTCGGGCCTTAGGCCTGACGAGCCAACACTTTAACCAGTAGGCTGCCCTACTGCCCCAATGTATCATGAAACTAAACTGGATGTGGACAATAGCATCAAGCCACATCTTCATCAGATCCAGGTCCAGTGTCAATGTTACGAGCCAACATGTAGTTGTCCATATCAATGGAGCGGCAGTTGTTGATGGCATACCGGAGTTTCTCCGCCAGCATCTCCTGGCTACTGTAGACAGGCAGACGCAACTGGAAGAAACACGTCTGAGAGGTGGGCAGGCTGTCTACTCCCTGCAACAGCAACACAATATTATATACAAGTCTTCAGTCAGTACTTGCAAAAGGTCTACACATCACCCAGAGAATAGATGGATGGATGAATTGCTTACATAATAGCATCTTTTGTTACAAGAGATATCACACGAATGACTCCGCATCACGTCAGGGTAAGCAAGACACTCACCCTATCCGAGGTCATGATCTGGAAGCGCTGTGTTATATCAGCAGGGTTTGTTGGAAGACGACTGCGTCCAGATATAAAGCGGAGAAACTGGATCCTCTCTTCATTGGTGAAGGCCTCAAGAACTTCCCAGAACCATCGAATGATAATGTGACACTCATCTATTCCTCTATACCTGATACCCAAAATAGAACAGAGTGAGAAAGTGAGTAGTGAGTGAGTGAGCGAGCAAGCAGGAATGGTTCTATGCCACTTTTACCTCTAAAAAAGGCTTCACATATTGTAACTATGAGGGAAATTGGACCTGGGTCTTCGGCATGACAACTTGAACACTTAAACCACTAGACCACCCCACTGCCCCAGAAACATCTTACAGAACATCAAATGGTTTCTTAGGCTTAGGCTTTCATAATAGCAATCATTTCACCTGTAGATAACATCTTCATCGTCATGAATTAGTTTTCATGACATTACACATAACACATTTGAAAACATTTAGAAGAGAACTCTAATTTTGTATGCTATTAATTATGTTTTGCAATGTCAGTGCAGTCCAGACCTGACAACTTTGCGCAGCACATCAATAGACACTTCTGCTGTCCCACACACAAACTGCTCCAGTGTCTGAGCTGTCAGTAGAGATATCAGTGGGACTGGGATGATCCATGACATGCCTTCTCTTATTGCTGCAGCCTGTGCAATATCAACAACATGCATACTTGGCATGACATTTCCACAAACAAATCTCATATGTGGAACAACCCTTCATTTAATGTATTTGATTTTGGATAGGTTCCAAAGTATAGAATTCAACACACCTGCTACTCTGAAGCAGTTTACTCTGTCAGTTTATACAGGTATCATCCGTGAGGTATTACTTTACCTTCATTATAATTATTTATTGCAATAAACATACCTACATAAGCTAATAATAACAGTCTGTGCCAAAATATTTTGAGTCAACAATCCTTACATGGCTCTAAACATATATTTTGTACATTCTAGTGTTATCATATGGACCATTGTTAGCTGATCTTACTAGACTGAACAGAATTTTACTAGACACAGGCTTCAGACTAGTGGTTAAAGTCACAGACTGTAATAATTCTTTAATTTTTATTTAAACGACATCCTAAAATATATATGCAAGAACGTTTTTCATTCATTTCTGGTTTTAGACAAAATGTTAAAATTATGACTTCTAAGTTATAGATAGCACACTTGTACGAAGTCAAATATTTTTCAAGCGTCATATTGCCTGACAGCCATTTATCATGATTGTTTAAGACTGCTATCCTATCATTAAGTGTTAACTAGCACATGATCACTAATTCAAAACCTTGCTATTTTCACTGCTTTCTCTGACCAAGGGTACTGACCTGTTTGTCCATCTCGTGGAGTCTGTGCTGCATAACACGCTCCACATACTCCTTGCGGTTGTGGAAGTGGAGGGGGATGTTGAAGCCTCCAGTCACCACGGCAACCATTCTTTGATCACAACTCTGACCCTCAAAGCAGTCAATAGGGATGAACTATGAACAAACACAAAATAGATATTAATACATGAAGAAATGAGTGAGTTTGGCTTAAAACCTCTTTGTACTTATAGATGCTGAGACCCCAACCTGCTGTGTAGCATAAAAATAGGTATTGCCATGAGTGATTAAGCTAATGGACTGGGCAAGAATTATTTTCATCCATTCAGCGAGAGCGTAACACAAAGCTTGTTGTGAAACCTAGATTTTCCTCGTCGCTGGGTCAAAGAACAGTTTATCGTAACTGTAACATCTTTGATAACATCTTATTTTGAAAGAGGCAGCATCATTGTGTAAAAGAAAGAGCACACCATCATATATGTATTTCTTAGAAGCACATTCTCTAGTGTGCTACTGTTGCAATTTTACTTATAAAATCACTAATACTCTGTTTGTATGCTAAATCATCAAAGATACTTCCTCACTTATACAAGTCATTATTGATCCATTCTTCCATGAATTTGGAATTAGTAGATTCTGACTGGTCTGTCAGAGATATCAAATCACAATAACCACCTCTGATTGAAACAAATGATATGATGGCTGCATCACCGTGGAAACTAATATTTATTAAAAAAATACTTCTTTCTCAGGCATCTTCAGTAAAAATATTAAAATAATCACATGTACAATTATGTGTTACAAAATGCAGAGTAGCAGTAACTACAATATTGAAAATTTGACAATAAATTGTAAAACATTGTTGGAGTTAAGACAGTGCCATAAATTGTTTCAAGGCTATTATCAGTTTTCCATAATTCAGATCGGAAACCCAACTCAAACCCCAAGCAGTGCTGCTTCACTCAAAATCTTAAGTAACAAAAAAAAATTCGCATTTAGTTTTGTCACCTGTGATTATACATTCAAAACCGCATGCTAAAGTAGTTGCTTACAAACTACAATAAGAGGTATCTAATCTACAGTGAGGCTTCATCAAATTTCAAAACACAGCATGTTTATAACCTAATTTCCCCAAATGATATAGCCATCATGTTATCAGGCGTCAGTATCTAGTTGATCTTCATATTGTCGTGTTGATCACTCTTTGTCTCACCTCATGGAAGTTGGTTTCATTGACACCATTCTCATGGATATCCTGGATGCCTCGCAGGCTCTGGATATACAAGTGATCCACCTGTCAAACAAGAGAAACACAGTATTTGCTTGGTTTCTTTCCTGTTATAAAACAAAACTCAAAGTCAAACATTTGCTACTGTATTGCTACAGAATGCTATGCTACAGTAATGTACCCTAAACACATTAATACTACATGCAGGAAAACATTACTGGGTATGTAAGGGAATGACATTAAACACCATATCGTGTGTACCTTCCCTATTTCCCGTAACAACTTCCCTGACACTTCAGTACAAAACCTAAGATCTATTTCTTTGAGATTTGTAAGGAGAGTCCCACAGCTAGTGACAGGACCTACCTCCTCCATGTCCTCCACCTTGAGTGGCATGCCAGTAAGTAGCTTCCACATACACGGGGCCAGGTGGAGGTCCAGGGGCTTCTTGGTCCTCACCGCCACCCCGAACAGGATGCCCAGGAACCGGAACAGGACCATGTTCTCCTCCGATGCCAAGGAAGGGTTCAGCAGGAACCTAGACATAGGATTCGGCATTGTGTAACTTTGGGCAACTGCTAGATTGATGATGAACACATAAAATGTGGGTAAACAGACCAAGAAAGTGTTGTTTAAAAAATATATGGCTAGAACCACTAATTGGCTCAGCCCAGTTTCCCTTCACGTTGGTTACCTGTCTCTGTTGTTTCCAGACTCATTCCTGGCATTTGGTGTTGGGATCAGTAGTGGAACAACTCCAGACTCCAACTCCTATTGGAGAAAGATCAAACTGGGATCAACTTACAATTCAAATGACCTATAACAAACTGACATGTTGCAATATACAGTGTATAAGAAGTCTCTATTTTAATCAAGCTGTCAACAAATCTTTTTATTGTATGAGTAACCTTGACTCATAACATGTATGTATTTAGGCTAATAATTCATAATAACAGGGATAAAAAGAATTGTTTTCTGATGAATAAACAAATCAGAAAATCAAGGCTTGTACCATCACATATATCGGTAATTCTGATTATCAATGGCAGTCAGCCAAAATCTTCTCAAGTGATGATCCAATCCAAGAATCGTATAGCTGCATATGATATAATCAAACACTGACTGTTAATGTCAGTCATGTCATGAAACATATTCCAAGGACTGTATCAAATTGTTATTGAAAGTATGAAGTCTGTAACTAGTAGTGAGCTTAAGGTTGAAAAACACAGTGTGATGGCAAATTCAGTCAGACACATCCCTGACTTCTTCATCATGTGATATTTGTATGGACTACTGCAGATCATTGATCAAGGCAACAACACAACAGATGTCCTCACCATGCACATTTCTGTGATTGTATCATCGAAGACGCCGCCAGCATCATCTGCACCTTCTCCTATCAGCTTCACCTTCCAGGCATGAGCTGGCAGTCGCAGCTCCTCGGGGCGCAGCTTCACCACCTGCTGCGCAATCTGCACATACACTGGACGGCACTTCTTCCCCCTGGTGGCAGAATGGTGTTTAGAATCACAGTAAGCAAACAAATAACACATTTTGCCATCATTTCTCTTGTGCAAAGCATATCACTGTATCATTAGAGTGAGTTAGTTTTATGTGCTTTGAACAGTATTCCAATTACATCACATCGTGTCAGTTTTCTGTTGGAGGAAAGCCCCAAGTGATGCAGGTCTCAGACGTTTACCACTTCCATGACACTCCTGAGCATGGGTACGGTGCTGACAAACCTAGGAACATAATCATGGGAAACCCATGACCATAGGTGTCTGATTTGCCAAAGGGACACAACTCTGCACAGCACTACCCATGCCCCCTGGTTTCATTACAAACTGTCAAGAGTGTATTTAGAAATACCTTGTTGAGAGTCTCTTCACTGTTATCTGAGGCCTGCATGTGTTGCCAAGGGACATCGTCTTGCCAATAGATCTCACCATTGGCAGGGTGTACACACGAGGCGACAGGATTGGACGAAGTCGGCCATCCATGATGCCAGAAATACCAGCATCAAAACTGTTTAATTCCTTTGAGAAATATAGAAATATATATACACATTTCAAAGAAAAAAAAAAAAGATATGAAAGTCATATTCAAATATGTACCAAAAGGTAAATCATAAAGGAACATCTAAACTAGTTGAATCAACAAAACAACACACTAATCTGTAATGAAGAATATCAAATATAAGAGCACCAGATAGGAACAGCAGTGCTGTCATGTTGTTACCTGTCTGGGGCAGAGATTATGGAGTTTCCAGGAAGAGTAGACAAGATCTGAGAATCTGTGTAGCACCAGAAGACGAGACTTGATGGCTTCGATAGACATCTCTCTCAGGGATCCATACTGAGGGGGGACAGACTCTGGTGTGCCGAGCTGGAGGGGGGCGGGGGCACCAGGGATACGCTTGGGAGGGGGTGGTGCAGTCCATGCTGCACTGTGAGTCCGACCTGCTGAAATCTACAGAAATGTATAAGGTCAAATGCTTTCCCAAATCTTCTGATAAATAAATAAATACATAAGCAATGCTAAATGTTTTAGGATGTTCCCTGTTTTCCAAATGAATCCTTCATATGCTTATGAAAATGGATAACTCACCTGTCTGATGTTCTTGGTTGCTAGTCCCGATATCTGCTGCGGTTCTCTGATAGAGTTGGTGTGTCCGAGACCAAGCTGTCCATCGGAGTTATTCCCCCATACCCACACTTCACCTTTAGAGGTCAGGGCAATGGTGTGGTCAGAGCCAGTCTGAATATCCGTGACAAAGTGACCACACAAGGCGCTCACACACATAGGTATTGTGTGGTTTCTACACCTTGCATCACTCTGTCCTATCAATCGATCTGTTGGCAAATGATCAATCTGTTACATACAGACACTTACAGGGATTTACTGGATGCGAAATCCTGCATCCTATTTGCATAAAAAATTGAAGAGTGCATCCACTGGGATGAGGAAATTTATTTCAATGTCCTGGACTGCATTTTCATAATTTGATACCAATTAAAAAATCTTTCTCTATGTAAACAGTAAAAAAATACAATACACAGTCGAAAAATTCATGACCTCAATGCCAGCAATTAGGGATCTCCATATCTAGTTTTAACCAACAGCCTCTGAGCATGTGCAATCTTATTTCTTCTGTGGTACTGATTCGAGTACTGCATTTAATTTGTGACATTATCTGAGACCCCATTTTGTAGTTTGACACTCGGGACTCCAATCTAATAATCACTGCGCAGGGACTAGATATGGATTCCTTATAGCTGACACCACTGGCTCTAATAAACTGAGTCAATAGATGACATACCCTCTCAGGTTGAATATTAGAATAAATGGTTTACTGATTGTTTCTCATTTGTTTCTGTGGAAATGACCAGGTCTAACTTGAAAATGACCCATGAACACCAGTGCATCCCCTAACTACTGACCATGAGGTTGATGTGCGCAGTGTTGGGACAGAATAATGCCTGGTTGTTATACGGGGTCCACCCATTAATACATGTTTGTCTTGTTGGTATTATCACAAACAAATTTGATTAATAACACACATATTTCACCCAAGGAGGTAATTTTTCATCATTAAAGAGCAAGCAGGTTAAGTAGGATTAATCCAGACATTCTATAATCCAATAAACATTCCATAATACATAATAGATGAATACTGCACCTTGGCCCCAGGTGAAGACTGATCCATTCTTGGTGAGAGCCATGGAGAACTGTGCTCCACAAGCCACCTTCTTCACGTTGACACTGTCCAGTGCTTCTATCTTGGTGGGGAGAGACTTGGACAGTGTGTTGCCCAGACCCAGTTTACCATAATCTCCATCACCGAATGACCACACTGACATGCCATCCACAGACACACACAGAGTGTGATTCAGCCCACAAGCAACCTGCACCAGAATAAACACAAATGTTGGACAGCATTAGCATACACAGCTAATGACTAAGTGAGTAAGACAGTTTGACTCAACATTGCTTTTTCACAGTGTTTCAGTTACTTCTTGGTATGGAAAAAATCCCAAACTTGGAAAAGTCCATGAGCGTGGGTATTTTGTTGACAAACATAATATCATGACCGGTTATGTAATCGCAAGATCAGAGGATCCTGTCATAGATATCGAGTACACAAAGCTATCAAGCAAACTGAAGAATTATGAAACATCCCAAGCAGCTAATAAATTTTAAACTAGAAGACAAAACAGTGCATCTTTAGACATGTCACCTAAATAACTAGATTAGAACTTCCACCCTTGATGCTTATTAAACCTGTAAATTGAGTCTTTTTCACTCTCTGCAACAGACTTGACTAAATGCAGTAGCATTGATTACATTTTCATAATGTAAAATGCCAACTCACGAAGCCAATGTGGTGTCCCTCTAAAGCTATGACCCTCTCTGGGAGTTTCTTGTTTGACGTAGATCCATGTCCGAGTCTCCCGTAATCACCATTACCAAATGTGAACAGCTTGCCATCAGCAGTTACTACTGCACTGTGCTTAAACCCACAGGCTATCTGAAAAAGTGAAACATTTACTGCTCATTACTTTCTGTTAAATATCACAATCATCTTGTCAACATTTAGCACATTGAATACTTTCACATTCAAGACAGTGCTCAGGGACATTAAGTGTATACAATTTGTACGTATATATTTTAATAAATGCAGATGTTCATCACGTAGGCCCAAAAATGTCTTGTTTTTGTGAGATAAGTTTCCTCTGATCATCAAGCACACTAAGATTAACAGTAACAGGAAACCTATTTCAAAAGCATGACAATGTGTATATCTTTGCAAAAAGAACTGAAATGTACATCATGACAATCTTTCAGGAACAAACTAAAAAGAGAAAGCTTCCTCATCCGTTAACAAGTCTTAAAGAACACTTTGTTGATTACAAATTGTAAAACCATTGTTATGAAGATTACTGAAAACCTGGAAATTAATGTGTCATGAAATTGATGTGAGTAGCCTTTGAAGTTAAAAGACAAACAATAACACAAAGACTATAGACTTATAATTCCATGATATAGTATTAAGTGACATCAGTTCGATTGAATAATATTATCGCAAACTTAACTTCAACTGCTTGAGAGATGATCTAACTTCAAAGGCAGGAAAATCCAAATAACACATTTCAAAAGACATAGGTCTGGAAATTTGTACACGTTATACGTGTTGTAACATGAGTAAGAGCAATCCTTGAACGACATATAAGAACATTGTGATAAGAATGACGTTTCACTGTTAACTACAGCTTGTTAACGGTGTAAAAATCTACATCGAAATGTCGCTATACGCAATAAACCAGAAGTTGCTACCCATAAAATTGTACATATTTCTTATGGGCGAGAATTGTTTTGCTTGTAATTTAAAGATTATTTGACAGGCCTACCAAAAACTCTGTCATAGATAGAAGTCAACTGTGTTAACTGATTGATGAACTTGTGTAGACAATCTGAACACTTGACAGTGTGAAGCACTACGTCTAGCTCTCAGTTACATTGTTCATTGTGAGATTTGTTACATGTCATTGTTTCTGCCCATGCACAGCGAACCTGACATGACAATTAACTACAATTTATCAAGACAAAAAAGTGTCACTTTAGGCTAAAAAAACAAAAAAATCCTCAAATATTCCAAGTCCAATGGTAGTTAAATACTGTATTCCATGATCTACATTATTCAAGTTTCTTCTTCAAAGTGTTTGTGTTTTACCTGCACCACCTCCTCAGCCTGAAGAGCCTCTATCTGTCGCGGCCTCTTCTGTCGATCACTGTTACCATGGCCCAGTTTACCGTAGTCACCATCACCCCAACTGAACACCTCCCCACTCTCTGTCAGAGCCAGGCTGTGACCATCAGACCCAACTGATGAAGCCAGGAGCATCGTCACAAACCCTGCAACGTGAAACAGTCTGATATAAGACTGAAATACACCACACCATTACCTATTTACATAATTCACAAAACTTGGGTGAATGTAGGCTGTATTTCAATGTAGATTTCAACAGCCTATCATGTCCATCATAAGAAATAAACAAGCAAACAAATACAAATATGTTTTCAAAACAGTGTATATCAGCCCAAAAAATTTTCTCCTGTTCTTTACAAACTCAAAAATGTTTTCAAAACAATGTCTTTTAGCCCAACAAATTTTCTCCTGTTCTTTTCTTTAGATATTAATCATTACATACACACTGCCACTGGCAAAGTTTACTTGACCAAAAATATTGTTGGACTCAGTCTTCAGAAAAGATAAAAAGGCTAAAGTCAGCACTAATGACAAACTGTGATACTGTGGTTCTAACAGCCATTCGGACTGTCCAATACTTAGTAATATATAGTTATTGGGATCAACTCAAGTTAAGCATGGGAAACACGGGATGTGGGTACCAGTACTTCCTGCAAGAATGGGAAAACAATGTTCAAAACCATTTATATTCAAGAGAGGAGCACCTCAAACAGGTACAGAGACCAGTGATGTAGTTGTACCTTGCAATGCTGAGATGATGGTGAGTGTGTGGGTGTCATCCGAGTTGCCCTGTCCCAGGCGGCCGTAGCTCCCCTCCCCACATGCTAGCACTGTCCCATTGGCCTGGATGGCAAAGGTGCAGTTCTGACCACAAACAATCTGCAAATAACAAATTCATGTTAATTTAAGGAGTAAAGAACAAAACAACTCTGACTATTGTAAAAATTCAATTTTCATTCAAGATTCATTTTCTTCAGAGAAGAGATTCAGAGTGAGGCTGAACTCCACCGGTCACTGACCGAAAAAGCAATTTAGAATAACATGTTATCAATGTCCACATGCTGATGTATGCCTATTGATATGTAGTGAAAATCCTGAGCAGTATAAAGTTTGGATAAATATCAGACACAAATGAATACTACCTTAAAATGCAAAGAGCAGGTAAGCTTGGAAACTATTCTATTTGTAATACTTACTTGCTGAGCACATGAGAATGATGGCACTTTTGCTGGGGAGAGGCAAGACCTCCCTGCCTCACACATCTGTCCATGTCTCCCACTTCCCCAGGTGAACACCTCACACCGCCCACCCACTTGCCAGTCTTCAGGACGGTGGGTCACCCAGGACATAATTTGACTGTCCTTGTTCAGGTCCCATTGTGTGTTGTCCTGCATGCCCAACAGATCATACAGAGTTAATCACAATAAGTTCTTATCTTAACATTTGATGAGCCTCAAGAGCGCTTTACAAATTTTGTTTTTCTTTGTAACTAAGATGTTATTGCTGAAGCTGTGATAAACTTGTCATAACCTGGAAAGTACTAACCCCACACTGAAAACATGGTAATTACCCTGGTGAAACATTCTTGCACCCAGAGGATCTCAAGTGACCAGAACATTACAGAGGTTACACCATGATAGACCATGTGTAGATGAAATGTGGCTGCACTATTAAAACAGTACTCACATAACCAAGACAATATGAGTCTTCAGTGTCTCTTTTAAGTATTTTGAAGGTTTCCGGGATTGGCTTCCTGCTAGCAAGGGCAGCTGATGTTTTGAGGGTGGTGGAATACGTGAGAAGCCATTGCCATTCTGACACTAGGTTGTTGTGGGCTGTGGAACACAAGTTAGAAACACTGGTAACAGGAAACAATAGACACAACTTGTGGACGAGGCAAATAGACAGGAATAATGTTAACCTAATAATTAGGCTTAATATCCAATATAAGAACAATTAAAGACACATCTGCATCAATTATACATTCAATCAATGCCTTATTGAGTGAATGGTCATTTTAAGCTGTTTTCAGCAATGTCACAGGAATGTCATGGTAGGGGACCCAAGAACTGGCTTCACATATTGTACCAATGTGAGGAATTGAATCTTAATCTTCAGCATGACTAGTGAATGGTGTAACCGCTAGCCTACAAATTCTTTATTGAATACAAGAGCAGTCAGTATCTCCTCTAGCACACTGCTCAAACCCAAAGACATATTGCCTCTTCTTAGGAGACCAAAAGCCATTATCAGAGAGATTCTCAGATTCAAACTAACAACCAGCATATTCTCAAAGCAAAGGACACAACATGAGGCACAAATGACCATTACCAAAAATGGATCGGCAAAGGACATACCCATCTTGTCAGTGATTTTGGGATGAGGAAATTAAAGTTGTACAGTGCATCTTGGCCTCAAAGGGTGGTTTGGACGATGAATGTGCATGATATTTGCAAAAATGTCGTGTGTTCTTGGGACCCAGATCATGCAGCTGTTTTCTCCCAAGTTATTCCTACCTGTTTCCTGTGTGTAGTGATGTAGTGGCTGTGGGGAGAAGCACAGAGCCTTGTCGAGGGACAGCCCGACAGAGAGGGAGGCAAGACACTGGAGGTACAGGCTGTGGATGAGCTGGTCGCCGGACAGGATCACAGGCTGAAACACATACGTCATACTGACTCCCCCCACTTCTAGGCAATATGGTTCCAAACTGCAGCAGTAACATGACTGAGACAACAAGAACAGATGCACACACTGTACACACACCCAGGAAATGTACCCCATTTTCTCGTGTGACAAACTGGGATTAACTACTGGCCTACATCACAAATCAAAAGAACGTTAACATATACAACAGCTCATGAAGTGAACTCATACAAAATTGCAACATCTTTTTCAACTTAATTTTTTGAGTTCAATGCATACTACCTTTTCATGGAGGTACTGTTCCTGAAGCATGCTTGGTAGTCTTTGGAGCATTCCACGGAAACACGGTGCCTGGTGCAACCCTGTGATGCCTCGCAGTTTGAGAGCGCGACGAGCCACACCGACGACACGATTCTTCGTGAACAACTCTGGGGTATAGTGGATGTTACTTATATCCTGATAAAGAGATGCAATAAACCGATTAATCCCGCAGCTGATACACACATGACAACATCCTAGTGGTACATTACAGTGTGATATTGACTGCTACCTGGTAATCATTACCGTAACTGTTGACTACTACGAATCTCATAGAGAGTCTATGAATGTGTCTGACCTTGGACCTGCTGAAGCACACAGCAAGACTGCGATCAGCAACCCATGAGATACTCTTCACCATACCACTGCCTGTCTGAGTCTGCAGCAAGCAGCCATCCTACAATACAAACGTCCAATATCAAAGTGGATCACTTCTTTAACAAATTAGGAAACTAGGGATGGGACGAGTCCAAATTCATTTGCCGGGTACCCAACCCCTAGTATTACCTGACCCTTACCGGGTACTCGCTGTAGGTCTCAATTTGGGTACAAAATGTCTGATTGAGAATTGTTTTACCAGAGCCCTTGCAAAAACTACTTAGATACATGCATAAAACGTTCTGATCAGGTATACAATGAAGTTGACAGAAGCTTTATCTTACCTCAAACATATAAAGGTGAGAAGGAATGAGTGTATAATCAGAAAGAAATGTGAATATTTAGCTTGTAGTGTAACCATGGAGTTTGATTGTGTTTGTCATATAAACAATATATCACGTGACTAACCACGGGTCTGGGTAGTCCTGTGGGTACCCGGGTACTACTCAGGACCCACCCGGAGTTACCTGCCCCTGCTCTAGAGGAAACTATATCAAACAAATCAAACAATCACACAGATCCCTGTGACAAAAAGGGAACATAGTTAGTTAAATATAGTATCAGAAAAACTGACTTGTGTTTTTTGTTTGAACTTGCCCCAAAAATAACACTTTGGCAAACTATCAAAAACTCTAATGACCTTACACATACATTTGGCATGGTAGATTGGTTCAGGCAAGTGGCCTATTGACTAATATTCATTTGTAGTATATGAAACATTACTACCGTGAAAGCAAACTACCTGAAGAGACCAAATGTTCACCCATCCCTTGCCACAACCACTGGCTATCATGAGACCATTGGAGCTGAAAGTGATGGCGGTGACCCCTGTGAGGTGCCCCATCAGCACCTGGCAGGGCTTCAAGGGGGCATGAGGCTGTGTGTCCTGGCTCTCCTCTCTGCTGTCGCTTGAACTGGAGGAAAACTGAAACACAGGAATATCAGAAATTCACATTATTTCGTGAAAAAAATATTGGAAGCTAATTGCTACTCTTTTGGGCCCAGCACCAATGGTCCAAGCTTTAGTTGCCATCATTCTGGTTGTGAGGTAATAGGTTGTGTTGGTTTGGCTATTATAACTGGGTTGTGAAAAATCAACAGTATCACAATATAGTAATACAAATCTACCACAACACAAACACGCAAACTCTTGATGCTTGTCTCTTCTACTTATCGGTAACAAGAAGGACAGATTGAAACAAAAGAAACTGATGTCAGCTGAATATTGTATGAATGTGTACACCAAAAACATGTCCTATCATTAAAATTAGTGGCCTGTGAAGATCCAGGGTAGAATAGGTCTTCAGCAACCTAAGCTTGCTTTAAAAGGCGACTATGCTTGTTGTAAGAGGCAACTAACGGGATCGGGTGGTCAGGCTCGCTGACTTGGTTGATGCATGTCATCGTATCCAAATTGCGTGGATCGATGCTCATGTTGTCAATCGCTGGATTGTCTGGTCCAGACTTGATTACTTACAGACCGCCATCATATAGCTGGAATATTGTTGAGTGCGGCTTTAAACAACAAACAAACATTAAAATTAGTTTATTGTTCCAAAGTAGTTTTATGACATTAGCTACTGCGCCAGGTCTTCAGGTATAGGTAACACACGAAGTTCATATGAAACGAACCCAAGTAAAGATACAACTTCAAAGCATCCAATACCTCATGTCTGTCTGTTGAGTGATGTTTGACAGCGAAGGGCGAGATGTGGACCTCCACGTTGGACGGCTGGGGGATTTCCCACAGATAGACACCTCCATCCTCACACCCACTAGCATAACAACACAACAGAATAAATCAATGGCGGTCTCAACATGAAATTTACCATTCAGGTTTCACAATGTACATTGTGAAAGTGATATATGTTACAATATGTAACTTGTGTGCATGTAAAAATATTAGTATGAGATTTATTATTCTGTTTTTGCTACAAATTTATATGTATAATAAAGAAGTTGATATCCATAATAATACTCCTTGTCATGTTAACACCCAACTTCTAAATGCCTTTGTAATTGGCACCCAATGACAGCAGAACAATATAGATTTATGTCAAAGGTTAGATGTTTACTGCAGCAGTTTTATAACTACTCATCCAACATTACATTTATCCCAACAAAAAAATAGAAGAAAAAATAAATGGTCTTGATGCACGATGTTGGAGTTGACTAAACCTTACCAGATACAATGTACTTGAGAGCAACGACTGACGATTCGCTACCCAGGGCAAGCTTATATACCTGACACGTGGACCATGTGACAAGGAAAATGGACACAGTCAATGATCATGTTCCTTACATCTCGGCCTTCCATTATGGCTTCCACCTAGTCGAGCATGCAAGGAGCGTGACATTGTCACATCTTCCCAGTCACTGCGCCCGCATGGGCATAGGCTTCTACAATATATGACCATAAAGGTAGGTTCTACATCAGCCGCCCCTACAAACTCCCCTTACCATAACCCACCCAAACTGTGTTTATAAATACATGTATATCAATTTACCAAACAAATCCTGAGTCGACCACACCTATAAAGACTCTTCTGTTTGAAAAAGACATTTTGATATATCAAAAGTTTATGACATTCATTCCTTGTTACCAGAGATTTATCACAAATATAGTTTGTACACTGCCTTTCAGATGATTACTATTCTAAACGCCCATGTCAATACAAACGAACATGATTTGTGAATATGGAAACATGTTAATCCTGACAATTTCATTGGATACTGTCAATGCTAAATGACACCTGACTATACTAATGCTGTCAGGCTCAGTATGCAAGCCCTCACCCTGCTATAAGCAGCCTCTTGTTGTCCCCGATCCCCAGGGTAGAGCACCACTCTATGGAGCACAGAGAGGAGGGGTGGGTCAGACTCCACATACAGGTGAGCCCTTCACCACTTGTCTTCCACACCTTCAAGTTACGTTCACTCAAAGCACATGTTGCCAGCACATGACCTGTAGGGTCCCACTTCATCACAAGCACAGAATTCTGAAAGAAACATCATTCAGTCCAAGTAGTTGTCTTCATTGATTATTCAGAATGTTTTCTAAACATCAAAACTAATGCATTAACCATGTTAATCCTGCCTTCTTGGTGGTTCTGTTAGGAATTACTTCACCAATAAACAACTGTTTTGCCCAGGATGAGGACTTCGCGCATTAAGTCTCTCACAAGAGGTTGCCTTCATTTCACTATATGGTACATTTTGCCTAACTAAACAAAGGAGTACCTGATGTGCTTCAGTATTGAGTGGCTGTTCAAATTCGGCCTGACTACATAAAGACACCATTCCATCACTGTAGCCCACAGCAAACCTCCGATCTTCATTGAACCATGCTATTTGAGTCACGGATACTGAAACATACACATTTTCAGAGCACAATCACGATGTTACTCTCTTAATGACTTCCATCAAATGTAATATTTGTCATTTAACGCGGCACACTGTATATGGCAGTGACTTGTAAATAATCAAGTCTTGACCTGACAATCCAATGATTGATATTGAGAGCAACAATCCACACTGTTGGGGTACAATGACATGCAATCAACCAAGTCACAGAGTCTGACCACCCAACCCATTTGTCTGACTCTTATGACCAGGCATGGATTGCCGGGCACCAATTCTAACCTGAATCCCCAAAGGGTTCAAATGTAACAGATCAAATATAAATAAGTTTTAAAATTTGTCTTTTACATCAAATGAAAAAGAGAGGACTGCATCTTTGACACTCATTTACTAATAAACTTTGTCCACCGCTTGGCATGGTTTCTAGGATCATAACACCTCCAGTGACTACTCATGTACAAGGCTGCATACCATTTCTCCTATAGCAGTGTTCCAGCTCCTGTCTACGGTAGCTTGAGCTGTCCAGGGTCTGTATGCTGGCCAGCGACCCATCTAGTCGTCCCACCAACAAAACATCAGTGGATAGCCCCAGCTGGCCATCGAACATCCCTTTAGACAATGGCCAGGTGAGGGCCGTCACCCAGTGAGGCTGGATGTCCAGGTAACCTTTCCCACCTTCATAGTGATAGAAATCATACCATATTACACAAACATAAAACACAAAACTGTACAAATGTCAAAATTATTTGACAAAAAGTCAAAATCTTGCAAGGTGTAGGGACATAATAACCATATTTGCCATAATATGAGCCCCGTTTTTATAAATTCCCCCACCCCAAACTTCTAGAATAAATGCAAATTTTTAAAAGCACCTGTGCTTAGGCTAAACTCTTACATGACATTTCATATAATTTCTTATGTAACAGTGATGTGTCTGTGCCTGCAGAAGGAAGCAAGTTCCATTTCATCTGTAAAAATAATTTAGTCTGATGTCATGACCCTCACCTCCAATGATCCAGATATTGATCATGTTGTCCATACATGCTGCAATCATTTTCCCCGAGCTGCTCCAGCACACATTAGACAAGGGGCTGTTGTCCAGGTCCACTACCGACACATCCTCCCCTTGGTTGAAGATGCAGGTTTGCTGCAGGAACTGATGGGTCTTGTTGGGCAGACTCCACACCCGCACCGTGCCATCATATGCACTGTTAGAACACACAACAGCTGATGGTTCAGTCTATGTATCACCAATATGAATGTTGACATCAAATACTATCATTGAGGTAAATTGATATGTAAGTTCTAAGGACACAAAAGATGTATTTAACATCTGTCACCCTTGATGCTATATTATCACAAACTCAACATTTAAACAAGCATTGTGATCTTGGTGAGTGAACATTGTTTAACTGAAGTCAGCAGCATTCCAGGTCAGTCAAACCAATGGTTAATCATGTGAGCAAGGATCCATGCTGTTGGAATACACAGACACACTATCAAGCAGGTCACACATATAACCACCTAATCCTATTTTAGTTAGCTCCTACACCATGCATGGGGCACTGGGGACCTAGTTGCTCCTGAATTTACTCAATGTCAGTTTTACATGTTTATGGCAAGATCAATAGACCAAAAAAACACAATATTTCTTGAGTCACACATACCCTGAAGCAAGCAGTGTTTTCTTGGAGTTCCAGGAACATCCTGACAGTCTGTTCTGATGTGCCTCAAGTTTGGACACAGGGCAGGATGGCAGGTCTCCCACCAGATCCACTTGGTTCTCTGACATGTAGGGGATGCTCTGGCCCTGAGCAGACAGGGCCTGTACAAGCTGGTAGGCAGACCACTGACGATGGTGGGAGGGCATTCGTGCAGAGATTACACATGCCGAGAGTGCATTGATCAGTTGGAGTGGGGAGAACTTAGTCTCCTCTGAAGATGCACTCTCACTGGGGGTGTCTGGAGAGAAAAAGGTAACTAGCATATGCTATGCTGACTCAAGGGTATCCATAATTTGTAAAGAAGGTCCTTGGAGTTGAATGAAAGGGAGATAACTGAAGTGTCCTATAAAACTGCTGTTGCTGGATATGTTGCTCCAATGCTACTTGGAGATAATTATTTTAACTGATACATATCTTTTTCCATTTGTTTGTTGTTTTAACACCGCACTCAGCAATATTCAAGCTTCATGATGGTGGTCTGTAAATAATCAAGTCTGGACCAGACAATCCGGTGATTGATATCATGAGCATCGACCAACGCAAATGGGATACAACGACATGCATCAACAAAGTTAGTAAGCCTGACCACCCGATACTGTTAGTCACCTTTTCTGACAAGCATGGGTTGATGAAGACCTATTCTAACCCAGATCTTCATGGATCTACACAAATCTGATAACTAAGACTGCATGTACCACTGCCGACCAAGGCACTGCGAGCGGATAATGTGTGAGCATCTTTATTTATGCCTGCTCTAAATTTATGAAACAACACAATGTGCTACACTACCTTTGTCAAGAGAGAGTTGGGCTTGGATAAGCTTCTGACTCCATCCCTTCTGAGCTAGCAGGGACACAAGAGCCTGGGTAACTGCAAATGTTGGCGAGTCTGGCAGTTTGTGAGGCGAGTGTCTGGAGCTGGTGGTATCCTCCATGCTACTTGTACTGAGACCCATGGCTGCCAGCATCAACTCCTGTCACAGGCAGACTTCACTAATGTACTACTGCACATGGTGCTACATATACTGCAGTGTTTAGTAGAAATGTAAACAAGACCTTTGTGACGCAGTTGTTTATTTGATATTTTGATAAATGATAAAATCAGTTGATGCGTTCTTATAATGAAGAAAATCACATTCTTATATATACTACTCAAAAGAAGTTAAGGATCACTTGATTCTTTCATATTACAATAGTTAATCTCTCATGCCATGACAGATTAACATTACCAATATGAAAGAATCGGGTGATCCTTAACTTCTTTTGAGTAGTATATAACAAACATTATTTAGAATTACAATGTATAGTGGGGAGATATCATGTAATACTGTGTTTCGGATTCCTCGCCTACCATATTTTCAACACCAATTATAAACTGAACCCAACAAGAGATATACAGCAAATGTTAACAAAAAACAAAAAACAAAAAACAAATACAACAACAGAGTTAGGTCCCTCAGAAGCCATGTCTTCTCTCCTGAGCTCAACATAAATGTGCCAATAACTTGGTGTTCCTTGTTTTTAATTTCTGACCAACAGCCATGCTTGAAGTTTTAAAGCTCAATGAAATTGATGCTCCTGTATTTGAGCCCCATGTGGCTGCACGTACCTGTGTACAGAGAGAGATGAGCTGCTGGAGTGAGACCGGACTCTCCTGGACGAGAGCCCCGATGGCGGTGGTGAGATAGCGCAGGTACTCGGACTGGTCCCGCTGCTGGGTGTGGGACATCTCTATCTTCCCTGCAGCACACAGGGACATCAGTCGCACAATCTGCATGATGTCAGCCAGGCCAATGTGATCCAGTGCTGCTGAAAGGCAACATGAGCTGCCACTGAAAATAAATAAGAAGTAAATATGTTAGTGTCTTTTCAAAATTGATGTTTACAGTTTGTTTCTCAAATTCAGTAATGATATATAACTACTCTTTAATAAATATTCATCTCAATGTATGTTGTTGTTCAACTATCTTTTTATCCTATTAGAGCTTTGGGTTCATTCCTAAAACAACATTCAGCTGTAAAAAAATCAGAAATATATATCCAATAGACTGCCCTTTTATCCCACAAATGGTGCTTGACCATGACCATGGTTTGAATCAGCAACACCTGTGTGGCTGCAGTGGTCCTCCTCAGGGCCAACACTTAAACCACTAGGCCAACCAACCACCCCCTGATAGAAGAGAACATGACAGAACATACCTCTGTGCCAGCAGGGTGAGGACCTTCATCACCATGGTTCGAGCCAGCAACACCTGTGTGGCTGCAGTGGTTCTCCTCAGGGCCAACACTTAAACCACTAGGCCACCCTACCACCCCCTGATAGAAGACAACAGAACATACCTCTGTGACAGAACATACCTCTGTGACAGAACATACCTCTGTGCCAGCAGGGTGAGGACCTTCATCACCATGGTTCGAGCCAGCAACACCTGTGTGGCTGCAGTGGTTCTCCTCAGGGCCAACAGACGATCGGCACTGCTCTGAAGACATGTGGCCTGCTCACCGAGAGATTTCTGTTTGGGATCAAGCTTACTGGATTTGTAGAAGCTACCTACAAATACACAAAACACCCAAATGCATAATAACATAATACCAAATCATCTGGAAATACCTTTTTTGACATGATAACTTATTGCGTTCAGGTAATTATATGTTGAAAACTTTGCAAATTATTTCTTCATAAAATATTAAATATATCTACATAAGCAAATGTGAGGTATTAGTAAGAAAAAACTCACTGAGAGACTCTGTTGTGACTTCTGAAGTACTGTTAGTAACAGATTTTGCCCCAAGAGGATCAGGATCAAGGAATCGGACAGGTTCCGGAATAGACTTGCGATCACTCAAGCCAAGACGAGGTAGCAGCTTCTGATAGCTGTCAGCACTGATGTTGATACCACTGTCCTCAGATAGAAATGCAAGTTCATCTAAACAGAAACAAAAAGAGTACAGCATAAATTCTATCCTTGGAAACATCAGCTACAGATTTGTCAAGTAATAATTTTATTAATATTATTGCAAGTAACCGTGGCATATTACCATCAAGTCCTCCATCTGTGGCTCCCAGTAGATCCGGTGCTGACTTGTCAGTGGTGCCCTCTGTCACTGACTCGGGAACTACACTGGTGCTGTGCTTCCTCTGCAGCAGGTAGCGGTCTCGACAGTCTCGGCACAGCAGGTAGTGGGGATGCCCCGACCCACAGATACCCCCATAGCCAACCTGCTCATACCGCCCGGTACCATCGTAGCCATGGCCTCGGCTGATTCCTGGAGTAGGGATCATCAGAGTGCATCTAATGTTGGCATTGATATTAAGAACATGTTGGAAGTAACCTGCAACCAGTACCAGCCCTATAGTCACAACTAAATTTCATAACGGTTAAGGACTATTTGGAATTTCATCACAATATGGCTGCAATACTACAGATGGGATAGATAAATAAAATCCTAACTTACTCACACAAGTATAAATTACTACAATTTGGAAAAGTTTCCATATTTATCATAACTACCAGTGACAAAAACAAGTTGTTTCTACAGCTGGTAACTCTAAAACTAAACAAAAAACTTTTAAAATATATGAAGCACACTCAATATTAAGGTTCTATTTCAAGTAAAACTACAACTTGAGCTGCTTAAATCCGCCCCATATATGAATTTTGGGTAATAGTTGAGTGGGGACTGACTAGACAGCGTTATGTTCCTTACTTCCACATCCAGGGTGACAGAGTCTGAGGTGACGAGACATGACACCAGTCTCTTGATTACACAGTTCACAAGTCAGCGTTCTCCCCGGCTCAGTGTCGCGCCTCTGGAAACAAAGTATTCAAAGAACATAGATGTATGAATACCATCTCTCAGACTAGATCTGTAGCCAATGAACCATAAACCAGCATACACACAAATCATTCATATTCTACAATGACTTAAAGGGACAGTACATATACAGGTCTATGTGTTTCTAAATCATTCCAGCCTTGAACCTCTGTCACATCGTTACATCTTACGCAGTTTATTCATGTGTTGTTCATCTGTTTCATTTTGGACGAGTCTACACATTCAGTTAGACATAACTCTCATTAAGAAATATCCCAAAACATGGAAAACATTTGCATATTTATCCTCCATGTGCTGTCATCAAAGCCTTATGGAGGGCTAGCAGTACGGTCACTTTGATGTGTAAAGCTATATTGTCATGCACCTCGCTGTCGTAGTTGCAGTAGTTTGTCTGTATAATAATGCAAAACTATATGTAAAGCGCACCTAAAGTTGCATTCTGTTCTTATATTTTAATACTTTAGGGCATGCTTAATAAAAAATGCTTGACCAAAATTATATTTGAAAAACAAAAATAGCGTAAAACAGATGATAAAAAGTGACAGTCAAAAGAGTGCTCCAAACGAAAAATTCTGCCACTGAGGGAATTCTCCTTACTGGTGTTTGACATACTGCACAAATTCAATGATCATGTCACCTTAAGGCAATGCCAGCAAATAGGTTTGTTTCTAAAGCCGGTTACGGAGTATGTGATTTCAGCACTTTCACAAGGACATTTAAACATTCGAATATATTGAGAATGTTTCTCACTCAGAAATTGACTAAATGTATCAAGGAAAATTGATATTTGCAACAAAATCACAAATAATTTTTCTCACTTTACTTGCGCTTCAAGAACACCTGATTCTGAGTTGTCAATCTGAGGTTTCAACTAGCAATAACATACTTCTGATCAAAAACACATTTTTTCAAAGAACAGAAAATCTAATATTTTACGTAGATTGCTTCTCTTTTAATCAGGAATGATAGGCAGGAACACATACTGATAAATGAGTAATATAGGTTTGAAAATGCTCACTTGTAGTTTCTCAAACACTTGTAGGTGTCAATTGTACAGATGTTTGAAAAATTAAAAATCAGAATGCTGGATCTGATTCCAAACTGAATAGGGATCTGCAAACCTGCATGTACCTTCTCATTCTTTACCACTGTGTCATGGCAGGGAGCTGCTAATTTGGGATAAACATAAAGTTCCTAAATTAATAGAAACACAACTGTTTCCATACATGTTACTCCAGCTACATGGCGTGATGCTCATGCTGTCAAACACTAGTTTGACTGTCACACATTTGAATATTTGCAAGCTGGGAATAGCTGGAATGTTTCTAACAGTGGATTAATACAACATTTACCCACTGACTCTGCAAGTCTACCAACATGGCTCACCTCCGACACATCTCTGCTGGGGTCCAGTGTAAACACATCCTCCAACCCTTCTTCATTGTACATCTCATCCTGCAAGTCAAAGTCATCAAAAGGGTCGTACAGGGGGCGTGCTTCTCCAACCTCATGACGTCTTTCTGGTCTCTCATCACGCCGTTCACGACCTGGAAAAAGTCATTGCATAAAAAACCTGTGTTTGTTTAATATGAAAAACATCTTCAGCCTTTAAAAACATTCCTAGGTACAAAATGACAATAACGCTTGTGATCATGATATTGGTAATGTCATTTAGTTACCAGCTGTGAGGAAGCTCCTGATATCAATGTGTCGACTACGAGTGAGGCGCCGAGGTCTCCGACTGATTCTTGGCTGTGGCAACTCAAACTGCTCATCTGATGATTCATCACTGAGGAAGCCATCCTGGAAGGATGACGTGTCTGCACTGATATCCCTGAAAGGACAAATCAAAGTGATAACACACAATAACAGGCACAGCAATAACAGACATGAAGACTTGACTCAGTCTTATGAGCATATGGAGAGTCGGATGTCTTCCAAAGTCAAGTCAAGAACTGGCATATTATGTAAGTCATGAGCATTGCCCCAAATATAGGTGACAATGACATCAATTACATACAGTGTACCACTGATGCATGGCTACAAAGGGGCTGGTCAACCAAGCCAAACATTTTGTGTTCTAATGATGCCATTACACTCTATAAATTCAATTGTTGGTGTCCTCACCTTGTTGAGTCTGCCACCAAGTCTGTATCATCTGACAAAGATGTGGCGGAGGGTCTTAGTGTATCTCTACTACTGATAGCGGTCAGCTCGGATGGGTTTTCCAGCATCCATGTAGCCAGACTGTTGATGGATCTTGCAGTCACTTCTCTACCACTGATGCCTGGATGTAACATATTGACAGTAATGTCAGGGTAACAAGGGTTAAACATACATCCTCTGCATAACACTACAGAGAGATCTTGAGCATGTTTACTGACTTGTAAAATTTAGCTTCCCATGAACACTTTGGAAAGTGGGCAGTATCAAAATCCATAGTTGACTTCAATTGCCTCAATTAAATCCAAGAAAATTTATCGATTTGGTCACATTAAATAAATTGATGTTATCCTTTGCATGGTATTGTCATTTCTATTTCTAAAGGTTATTGAAGGCTTAACATGTAGTTTGTTAATGTCACACACCAGTTGCTGCGAGAGCCTGCTTGATATGTGCCAGGGTGAAGCCCATCTCCATGAGGTGTGTCACTATGGCAGGTGGGGGCGGTGACGGAGAGCGAGATCGTATGGGAGGGGGAGGGGGATTCCGGCGGGGCTGTAGAGGCACCCCTAGTGATATGCGTGGCCGCAGTGCATGGAACATCCTTCTCGTGAATCCAACCATGTCCTCAGCACTGCAATGATGAAAATATGGTACACATCGGAGATGAAGAAGTGGAATCTTTGGCAAAACATGCCACACCATAGACATGAAAAAAGAGAAGAAGTAAAGTGGTTCTCACAGCTCAAGCATATTACTCTAAAACATTGGACACACATGCTCAAGTACCATTTGAAAAAGTGTTGGACTTTTAGATAAACATTTTAATTTATTGTCAAAACTCTTTAATGAATGCTTACCACAGTGTTTTATTGATAAATGTGAATGTCTTGAAAACCAAATACTTTGTTTACCCTAATCAAGCACAAAAATTAAGTACCCAATGTTTACAAAAATCATAGATGAAGGAGCACCAATCAAATTGAAGTTGGTTGCGTTGATCGATGTTCATGACATCAATCACTGGATTGTCTGGTCCAGGCTTGATTATTTACAGACCACTGTCATATAGCTGGAATATTGCTGAGTGGGGCGTAAAACAACAAACAGACTACCAAACCTACCTTGAACTTGTCCTCATGTATTGGAGGATGGAGGTTTGTTGTGAAGAGGTTTGAGGCTTGTTGGCCTCCCCGACTGCTGGAGAGTTGGTGCTGTCTGTAGATTGAGCTGTATGGGTTGGAGTACTGTGTTCTGGCTTCACGCCTTCACTCACCAGTCTCTCCTCCAGCTTGTCTGACAGGTGAACAATCAAACATTGATAGGATGTTGTTGCTCCAACATCTTGATATTCAATCTAATCTACACTTAAACCCGGTTGTGATAGATATGACATGATGATTGCACAAACATAACACAGATTTGGGATGTTATGGTTTGAAAAAACATGAACAGATTCTTTTCTTACTGAAACCATTTTGTATCTGACTAACAGATTTTCATGACCCAAGGCAGTTAATGATGAAATACATGTTCCAATATATTTGACATCGAGATTGACAATAACATAGCAGATAACGTGATTTACATCATTGAAATAGACTGTTGCCAATTGTGGATTCAGTGTCTTTTTTATAACCATTTCATAGTGAATACAACAGATTGTAACAACATTAATCATGTTAATAGTTTCAGAAACATACCTGCAAATGATTATTAATTAAATTAAACTGGGATAACAAATACCAGTGTATAACACCCCCCTCCCCCCGACATCCCCCAACCCCTAGTCAGTTATGACTCAGCTATATCTCTTCAACCCGAAAAGAACCGAGTTTGTGTGAGACAGAGTATGAACAACATCCCATGCCTTTGGGGCACAATAAGCCAAGTCACCAAGCCTACCTACATGATCCTATTTACTTGCCTCTTATAACAAGCAATAGATGGCTGGGGCCTCCTTTAACCCACAAGACATACCTTCATATTCCTGTAGGCCCAGTTTCTCATCTGCCTGAACTGTAACCATGGATTTATGTAACACACTCAGAGTCCGCTCCAGCTCACTGAGAGACACAACCCTGCGGAATGGAGATGGCATTGTTGCTCTCTGCACCATCAGCTTCAAAATACTTCTAAGAACACTCTTCAGTTTTTCATCCCTCTGTGGAATGATACCCTCCAGTAATCCCTTAGTGCCATCTAATCTGACCTTCTCTTTCGGGACCAGTAACATCTCGGTGAACTTATTGTTGCAGATAATCACAGAAAGAGCCTTCAGAGCTGACAGCTGTATTGCAGCGTACTTCACAGATCTCAGTTCCTTTTCATCTGTTGAATATTTGAGGGTACTCGAGTCACTGACAGTCATATTTGAACACTGTGTGGTTGTCATAACATCAGGTGGTTCTGTGTCCTCATCTGCCTGGCTTGCAGCATTGTTCATTACATCTGCATCCTCCTCCCTCTGTGTTCCTCCAGGATCAGATTGAGGGACAGAATCCGTAGCGTTCTCCTCCGGTCTGGCAACAGTATCACTCTCAGCCTCAAACCACTGATCTCCTGAACTATCTGTAACCTCAGCAATGTCTTCTGAGGAGTCTCGAACCCCCGGTGGAGGCTCCACACTCTGAACATTGTCCCCTCTAGGTGCAGGCTCTTCATCAGATTCAGTAGAGGCCTTCTTGTCAGCATTGTGATCAAAGCCCACAGTTTTGGCTTCTTCCTCATCCAGGATGCGTGCTATGTCTGCATCTAGTTCCTTCATGAGGGCATCTTCATGTTCCTTCTCCTCGGTGTCAGGGGCTGGCTTGTCTTTGTCTTTGTCCACAATGTTCGGTGTGGTTGGGGTAACAGCAACCTCTGATGGGGCTTTCTCGGTCAGCAGGAAGGTCATCTCCATTATTGCTTCCAGGTGGTGGGCTCCAATACCACTGAATTTGGTTATAGCAAATGGGATGCTTTCTACAGCTTCCAGGTTGCTTAGAGATGTGTCACTGTAATGATGCAATAAATAGTAATAAATACAACTTTCTCCACAAATAGCCTATAATTGTAATGACAATAAAGATATACAAAATATCTGAAATATTGGTTACACCAAGTTTTCACCATTTCAGACAAAAATAAATACCTTATCAGCACCTGTAAAAATAGATCAGATTTCAAAAGAGTGACCCATTTTGCTTTTTAATGGAGGGTCATTTGTTCTTTCTAGGGTTCAAGAACCTATGCTCCATGTAATATGAATCAATGGTTACATACTTGAAGTGGAACTATATTTAAGGAATTAATGTATCATACATTACAGGATAAGACTTTTTCGTAAACAGATTCAAGGAGTAGGAAGAACAAATGCATTTCACATGAACAAACTTCTCAGCTGTTTTAGATAACAAAGATCAATTAAGAAAACATTCTACACCCAATATGCAACTCTCTACAATCGCTTGAGGCCTCTCAAATTATTAATAAGCAAAAGATTTCAAAGATCATGTCACAAGACATATGCCAAACGTGATGTTGGGTCATACACTTTTTATCCCATGATGATGACGTCAAGCTATTGTTGCAGTTGATTCTGAACCAGGAATTCACTGGACATTCTGAATGTACATTGTAGCAAGTAAAACTGATATAACTAAAAATTTATCTTAGTTCCTGCTACTGCTAAACAAAGATTTGAGGCATCCCATTTCCTTAAAGTAAAATTATATATCAACCATAACATTGTTTAAGTTGGATAAATCACTCGAATCTGTTAATTTCCGGAAGTAGAATCAGATTCTGATGATTTCTTCAATTCATTACACCTACCCAACAGTGGTGTCTCCTTCATCCCACTGCACCTTAGCTGTGACAGCTCCTTCTCTAGCCAGACCAAGCACAGTGCCCTTCTTCCCCGTGAGCCTGTGCAGGCACCGGCCTCCCACTCTCAGCCCTCGATCTGTCCCACCAATAACAACCATGCATGGCCACACCTGCAGAATTACACAGCAGCTCCTGTTATACCTGTTATCGTTAAGCAATGAGGGAGGATGTCACATAAAACGAGGGTGTGAGTGTGTCAGCAAAATATGATACAGTCCTAAGTCCAATATCCCCTCCCCGGCCAGTCCAATAATCAATTACCAGTCAGTTTACTAGTCAGTTATTGGGATTCAAAGCTACTGCCACCCAAACAATACAAGGCAAAAATACCTGTTCATCCCAATAGTGTACTGTCAATCGTCCTCTAACTTTACTTAGAAAAGAAAGAACATCAGTCATCTACTACAACATTGTCAGTAACTGTGAAGTAGTACCTCTTGACACAACCAGTCCAGGTTTCCCTCATGCATGAACTCCGAGACCTGGTCTGATGCCAGCATGTGATGTGGGTGGACTTTCTCCTGTACACAATCTGGAAACTCGAGGGATTCAGCTCCTATTGGAAGTTTAAGACACTGAGGTAAATTTGAAATCCTATAAACACTGATAACAACTACACCTGCAAGAAATGTGATGAAATACTATTGGGAATAATACATATATATTAAAGAGTGTAACACTAATCAATGATATTATTACCACCAATAAATGCTCAAAGAGTATGTGACAAAGACTTAAGCAATTATATTGAGTGAGTGAGATTGGTTTTACCCCGCTTTTAGCAATATTCCAGCAATATCACGGTGGGGTACACCATAAATGGGCTTCACGCATTGTACCCATGTCAGGATTGGAACCTGGGTCTTTGGCATGATGAGCGAACGCTTTAACCACTAGGCTACACGACCGCCCCACAATTATATTGAGCTGATGACAGAGCTCTGATTTGCAAATATGCGAAGTAATGCTCTTCTACAATGTAAAGTACACACCTGAGTGGTGAGATTACATGAGAGTAATCAACATTAATAACCTGAACTGCAGCCCCTTGTGTTACTCATTTATGATCCCAAACATAAAATACATCAACACTTGTTGAAAAAATGTTTTAAATCAACTTTTATCGACAAGTGTTGATATATTTGTTATCTAAAAGTACTGACTGCGGCTCCAGCTTACCTGCTTGCTCCTCTGGTTGTCTTTCCCCCTCCAGTCTGTCTGTGGAAGCATTGTTATGTATCCGACCCAGCACACTGTATATCTTGTTGTTGACATGTGAGGTCCATGAGTCGACTGTGTGGAGGTGTCTAATCAGTGTGATACCTGCCTCTACCATCACACCCACAGTGGGGGCACAGTGGGGGTCCCCAGGGAGCAGATCCCTCGGGGTGCTCCGTAGCTGCATGTCTGTTATCTTCACCTATCACAGACACAGCTGACAGTGGTATACTGGACTCAAGCTTAACATTTGTTTAAATAAATAATATGTACAATGACAAGCGTGTCTTACAGAACTGATACAATTGAACAAACTTTACTTAAATTGTTGTTAGGCATCAAAAAGCTCAAAAAGACGTGAAACTTTATATAGGGACAAGAAGTAGTCCTGAAATGACATTACATAACGTCTTGACCATTAGTCTTACTTACTCACCTGAATATCAATAATATATACTACTCAAAAGAACCTAAAGAACACCCGATTCTTACACATTGCTATAGTTACCGATAATCTGTCATGGCATAAACTATAGTAATATGAAACAATTGGGTGTTCTTAACTTCTTTTGAGTAGTATGCTAACATTGATAAAAACAGCAGACCTTTCATAGTGCACCAGTGGTTAATATGCCTTCCCTTTCTGTACTAAACATCAGGTACAGGAAACAATTCAATCCTGATGGACTAATTTCTACAGTGAATGTTATGCATTAGGTTGTTCTTACATCAGACTCAATGAAAACTGAGTATATAGAAACACACATTACCTTTTCACCAGGGTTGCTGCTGTAAAATGTTACACATGGATAGAGCTCTGTAGCATCCAAGTCTTCAAAGGCTATCCTAGGGTCCTGCAAACAATGGTACACTGATTAAAACTTTGGATATTCTAAAGAGTCAATATTATACAAATAAATTGCATTCATATAATTCTGTACTCATTTGTTTGGTCATGAATAAGATTTATACCTATTTGTCAATATGTGATGTCAGGTCACACTAACAAAGGGCTTTCTACATTGTTTTATTATAATTATTATTTTTTTAGTTTGGTGGTTGGGGGAGGGGGAGGTCACAATGCAGCCATGGCAGTCATGTAGTGGGTTACTGATGCAGACAATGAAGCATATTTCACATTATCTTGAAAGGATTTGAGTGAACAGAAATAGGAATTAGACAAATCATCTAACACAAAATACTTACATCTCCATTTTTGCCAAATGCAAGTGTCCTTGCATCCATGTCCAGTATGACAGTGATGTAGTCTCCCTGGCTGAAGTTTGGTAGTGTTAGTGTCTGTTCCCCATTGTGGTAGAGGTTGCCACTGTACGCCCTGTACAGCCACATGTCTGATGTTGTACGGTGACCATGGTCCCGCACTGGCCACTTAGACACGCCCACACATGTGCCTTCATTACAGCGATTCTCTTTCACAATCAGAAACTGAAAAAAAGGAACAATGGACAAAAATACCAAATTGTCATCTCCAACAACCATATTTGTATTGTAGTCATAAAAAACAAGTACAAAACATGGAATATTTAGTCAAAACTCCCTTTTTATGGGTCAGGACATGATGTGGCATAACTCATCAAGAATTCATTCTTAGATCACTGATGCAAAATTTAGTCAGAGTAAGTATAAATGTTGAAGACTGAGTAACTTTTCTTTAAAGCTCATTTGGAATATTCCAGTTGTACCTTGATATAAATTCACAAATCACCTTAAAATGGAAGGAAAACCCAAAGTAAAGCAGGTTGAGGGGTTCACCACTTCCGTGAACCAACAAACAGAGGTGTGTTGCTGACAGACCAACTATCATAATCAGGACAAAGCTGTGACATTAGCTCACAACCAGAGGATCTTGACACATCTAGGAAGCAACTTGGCACAACAAATTGCGGCACTTGAGAAGACTAAGTCATCTGTATTCTGCAGTGCTTAACATACATACATCCTTATTGTACCAGCAAAAGTTATTGAAAAAGACACAACAAGCATGAAATACTCATATCCCCTGCCAATATGACATGTTTGCTTGTGTGCAAGGCAAGAAATATTGTACGGTTTGATCTGCTCCGGAAACGAGCATTACTGCCATTATCAGTCTAAGTCAAAGTCGTTGCCATGGAAACTTGAATAATAAATTTTCACCAGTTTTGTAGAATTTTCCTATTCGGAATATTCTATAAGTAATACGTTACCACTGTTATACCGAGGCTGTTGTCTCCCACAACTGCTGCTATAGCGAAATCTACCACAGAGATCTCAATTACCTCATGCAGCACGTGCGTAGCCACCTAGCTGCCATGTGACACCCTTCACTCTTGTCTCCTGCGAGAGCAAGTGCTCGGGGGACGGACGGGCGGGCAGCAGCCCAGTGGTAACGTATTACTTATAGAATATTCCGAATAGGAAAATTCTACAAATTACATTAAGTAATACGTTACCACTGTTATACCGAGGCTGACTACCACAGTAGGCGGTGGGGAGCACCTACAACCCGAATCCTGACTGCTAGCGTTCCTTCCGACCAGCGGAAGTAAACACCAAGGCGGAAGCACTCGATGCGCATGCACCTAGCTAGGCGTTACCCTATAGGAATACCAAAGCACTGTCAAGCGCATACCGTAAGGCTCAATCGTCATTGCCAAAACGATTGGTGACTCCAAACGGCCCCACTGGATAGGTATTTCATCGCCGCAGCGGATGAGAACACTGTATCCGCGTGAGCTTAATCTTAGATCAGGTTAAACAGTCGAAAAGAGGGAAATAAATTTCATTCAGACCGTATATCCCAGAGCAAGCCTACTTAAAGTATGCATTAGGCGCGTGACCTAATTCCAGTATTCGTAAGCATGCATCACAAGGTTGGGATACACGACAGACAATTAAAGACATAATTGTCAAAATACAAATAAGGACAAAGCACACAAAAAGCCGCCCTCACCTGTGGTGTGAGTGCGCTGGTTTGCGGGACCCCAACTCCTGTACCCACGGCAGTGGGAACATTGGAGTCGACCCAGATTGACCACCGTGCAAGGTCAGACGCCTGAGGAGTTCGGAATTGCGCTGGGCACACCCCTTAGGTGCCCGCTTGCGCCGCGATCCGCGGGCCAAGACGGTGCACACTCTCCACGACGGCATCAGCGACCCGTTTGAGGTAATGATTGGCAAAAACCGAGTCAGAACGCCAGTAACAACCTCGGAATATTCTGCGAACAGAGATATTCGAGTGTAGGGCAAATGTTGCCGCTAGCGCCCTGATCTCGTGCGGGTTTGACCCCGCTACCGGTAACCCCCGAGACCGGTACGCCAGATTGATGACAGAACGAAGCCACAACGCAATCGAGTTGCGAGTTATGTCAACCGTGCGATTAGGGTTACACGATATGAACAGACGGTCACGCCCTTGTCTACGTTCATTCGAAGCCTTAAGATAATACTTAAGGGCCCTAACCGGACACAGCGCTCTCTCCTCAGTATCAGCAGGATGTAAGATTTCTTTGAGTGATCTTACAGTGAATTCTCTCTCCGTTTGCCCGACTCTCTGATTCTTGGCGACGAAGCCCATGAGCAGGCCCAGGCGGACCGCTCCTTCGTCACCCCTATCGAATCGTACCTTGGCGACATCGAGTACATGAATTTCGGATACACGTGCCGCCGTGGCAAAGGAGAGGAGAAATGCTGTTTTCCAAGTCACATGCCGGAACGAAGCACTATGCAAGGGTTCATACGGAGCTTCCGTAAGTGATTGCAACACTAGGGAAAGATCCCAGGCCGGTACCCGAAGGCGGCCCTTCTTAAGATCGTGCTGTTTGAAACCCTTGATAATACCCCGTATCACCGGCTCTTTGGAGAGACTGGTACCCATAGCAACGTCCCGTACCGTAGCAACAGACGAGACATAGTTGGCAATGGAACCCCCGGAGAGTTTCCGGGTCTCTCGCAAGTGAGACATCAAACGAGCAATATCCTGCACAGATACCTTATCTGGCGAATGAATGTGATGTTTACAACACCACTTCGTGAAAATAACCCAACGTGCATTATACACCTGGGTAGAATCACGATGCATACTAACGTATGCCCGAGACGCCCGGCGAGAAAAAACTTTACTCCTCAGACGCTCGGTGACAACATCCACGTGTGCAGATTGAACTGCCCTGCGTTTGGATGAAGCTGACGGGTGTGAGGGTGGATCAAGAGATCCGGTCTCACAGGCAGTGGAAGTGGCGACCGCGTGACCTGGGTCAGCAAGTCGGGGTACCACGATCTGTTCGGCCACATGGGCGCGATCAGTAACATTCGACAGCGAACTCCTCGGAGCCGGCTTAGAATGTGTGGTATCAACGCTGTCGGCGGGTAAGCATAAGCGTCCAAGCCCGTCCAGTCTAACGCGAGAGCATCGTGATCGATGGCCCTCGGGTCCGGGTCTGGTGATACAAACAACGGGAGTTGATTGTTGAACCGCGTTGCGAACAGGTCGACCATTCGGACGACCCAAACGTTCGCACAGCCACTGAAACACTACTGGGTTCAGCATCCACTCTGTGGGGCTCGGATCCTGAGGCCTCGATAGAGCAACGGCCAGTACGTTCCGCACACCTGGGATGTGACGGGCGCGTATCTGGCACGGGACACTGTCCACCAGAGCGTAAAACTCGAACGTGAGATCGAGTAGCGAGTGACTGTGGGTTCCCCCCAGTTTGTTCACATAGGACACTACCGTCGTGTTGTCGGTCGCCAGCATGAGCCGGGCGTCGACGAGACGATGCTTCCAGTGATTGACTGCGTTGATCACTGCCTTGAACTCGAGACAAGTGATGTGAAGACCTAGTTCGTCTACGCACCACAGCCCCGAGCTCACCTCCCCCTTTAGATGGGCGCCCCAGCCCACTAGAGAGGCGTCTGTATACAGGGTCAACGTGGCCCGGTAGGGCCGCATAGAGACTCCTGATAAGACAATGTAAGGGACCGTCCACCACTCCAGATGCGGTCGGAGCCGATCCGGGAGGGCGACGGTCGCACTGTTCACCTCCGTTGCTAACAACTGGATTAAAAACCGTTGCAGCGGGCGGAGTTGGAGACGACCCCGTGCGGTGCAGTCCTGGGCTGATACAAGTAGCCCTAACAGCTGTTCCCAAAAGTGAACAGTCTGTTGCACCGCTAAGACTTTGGCAATCATCGCCTGAATTTTGTGCCACCGGTCTGGGGGGACAAAGAGGCGATGAACCGACCTCCGATGAACAGCAAGTTCTGAGAAGGGGTTAACTCGCTCTTGGGGAGATTGATAATCCACCCAAATTGCTCCAAGAGCTGACGTGCGAAATCGAGATGGCGTGACAGGGTGTCCGTCATTCGATTTGCTACTAGCGAGTCGTCCAGGTACGCGAAGTACCGGACACCCCTCCTGTGGAGGAACCCCACTATGGGGGTGGTTAACCGGGTGAACAGCCAGGGAGCGGACGTGTGAATCATTCTGAGTTCGGCACTGTCCTACTTGGGAACAAGAAATATCCTGGAGTAAAACCCCGGTGTTATTTCTGGTAGAGCTAACTCCCGTACTGCCCCTTCTCCACCAACCTGCCGATGGCATCGGCGAGGATGGGAAGATCGGTTTCCGAATCGAAACCTGCCAACGGGGCAACGGTGAGCGGCGGATTCGCTTTGAGATCAAGCCGATAGCCGTACCGAATCGTGTTGACCACCCACGGGTCGTCGAACACTTGTACCCAATTCTCCCAGTAAGTCTGGAGTCTGGCTCCCACTGGGGAAGGAGAGGGGGCCCTGACAGGTTGCGGCAGGCGCAACTGTCCAGGGCCAAGTGACTCGGGTTCGCCTAAGGGCCAACCGAAGTTGGCGCTGTCGGCATACGAACCCCTCCAATGAGAGTCACCTGGAGGGGCCCTTGCCGTCCGTCGACGACTTGGGCTTCCCCCAGTTCCCCGTCTTCCCGCGAAAGGGCAGCTGATTGCCCATACCGGAGCCCTCAGGGCGGGGCTACTTCCCAGAGGAAGAAGAACCCGACCCCTTAGACCTACAGGCCGCAGCAGCCTGGGGCGCGCTCCGGTTAGGAGCGGCACCCAGGCGCCTATGCAGGGACCCAACAAGAGCAAGTGTGTGCCGAGAGTCCTCGGCAACGTACTCCAGGGAAGCATTTGAACTGAGCAGGCAGTTGTAAATGCGCTGGTCACGGTCCGTGGGAGAACCTTCGACCAGACGGGCCGCTGCAGCCAAGTAAGTGTCTCCGTGAGACATGGAGTGCCGAGCGAGGGCGTCCAGCTGGTGCAAGGTAGCTTGCGTTACCGTAGCAGCCGGTGGGGCACGGACACCCAACCGCTCAACATGGGCCTCCGCGGTAGGACCAGCCTCGGGAAAGGCAAGGTCATGTACCGGGAATAAACCCTTTCTCCACGACGTCGGAGGCAACGGGAGATCCCGACCGGAGGCCGCCGCGAAGGCGTTCTCCAAGGAAGGCTTAAAGCCGTGTCTGAAGACTCATCGTATACCTCGGAGGAACCCACAGTCGTGGATTGCCCGCGGTACCGGCCGGGGCATGTCCTCAAAGAGGTCATAAACCATGGCCACGCGGTCCTAAACCGATAGCGGGAGCAACGGTTCGGGGGAAGGACCGGTGACCACGGGAGCCGCCGCCGTACCGGTGGACCCCGCGTCCGACCCCGCGGCCACCGAAGTGGCCGGGGACGGAACAGCCAGCGGCCTATCCTGAGATACGGCCGCCAGCTTGGAGTCCACAAGTTATGCAAGTAATGCAGCGACGGAATCCCCGGACAGCACACGGGCCGCCAAGAGATCCGCCGCTTTACCGGTGGACCCCGCGTCCGACCCCGCGGCCACCGAAGAGGCCGGGGACGGAACAGCCAGCGGCCTATCTTGCGATAAGGGCGCCAGCTTGGAGTACACAAGTTTCGACAACAATGCGGCGACGGAATCCCCAGACAGCCCGAGGGCCGCAAGGGGATCCGCCGCAGCCGAGGAGGTGGTACCCGCACGGGGACCCCGACCGGACGAACCGGCCACCACAGGGGTGGAGACGGACTGTACGTACAGCCGGTACCGCTCAAACTCCGCAGGCCCCAGACCTTCGCACAGGATGCACCGGGTGTCCCCGCAAGGAACCCTGCACCGCGGGCAACGATCGTGGGGATCCCGGGACGACAAAAACTTTCTGCACACCCCACAACTCCGAGGAGCAGGGGTAGAGGGGGTGGATACTGGGAACATATCCATGTCAGACATTGATTGTTTGCTATAAACAAAGAACAAAACATGGTTACAACGCACGCACCACAATGATTCACAAACGAACATTTTCACAAGAAAATAAACGAGCAATGTGAACATATAACATACACATATAACTTTTATTAAAGAAATAAGTTATGTTAACCCCCAAAACATACAAGAACAGGGGAAACGTAAAACACAACGTGCATACGCGAACCCCGCAAGTATATAGAAAAAAGGGCGGGAAAAATTTTCCGTTTGGCAGGAAAATTATAACCAAGCGTAGCTACCGCAACGACCCATAAAAACACAGTTTATTAGAGAATAAACTATAATAAATATCACCAAATCTTCAAGGAACGCTTCAGCAGGAGAAAACACGTCTTGCTAAGCAGACGAAGGAGACAAGAGTGAAGGGTGTCACATGGCAGCTAGGTGGCTACGCACGTGCTGCATGAGGTAATTGAGATCTCTGTGGTAGATTTCGCTATAGCAGCAGTTGTGGGAGACAACAGCCTCGGTATAACAGTGGTAACGTATTACTTAATGTAATAACCACAAAACCTATCTATGTGCCATGTTTGTGGTTAAGATATCTCTCATGTTTTTTTAGTTTTGATGTGGAAACTAAACGTGACGGACGGATGGATGATCGGACATCACCCATTCCTATATCCCCTTTCCACTTCGTGGCAAAGGGTAAAGCTATTGCCCGAGTCCACTAAGGGTGTCACAAGTGCCTACCTTCCACTGATAGCAGCCAGATGTGACAGCGGTGCTCCCAATGCCGAACCCCCTGCCTCCCGTTCCATGCACCAGAGTATGTCCTGCCTCCACGCTGCTGTTCAAACATTTCTCTGGGTCAAAGCAAGCTCCCTGCATCATGATGGAGTCTACAATGTTGGTGGAACCGGACACTTCACCAGAATTTTCTAAGGCTTCTATTTTTCTCAAAAGGTTCATTTTCCTATCTTCAGCTTTCTGCATGGCTTCTGCTACTGGAATCTGCCACATATTCTTGGACAGACTGTCAAACAACTGCCCAACAACCTTCAAAAGATGGAGAGATATTTATTAGTTTATCATGTACTTATATTGTTAATTTACTGCCATAGGCTTTCTGCCCTACAACCTTCAAATGTCAGCTTTCATAAGTTTTATACTTGTATATGTAGGGTAAAACTGCTGTCTTGAAATAATAAGAGTAAGAAAAAGTAAATCACTTTTCTTGCTTTCATAATCAATATCAACTCTCAAGATAAGCTTAAACTAATCTTGTATCAGTACACTACTGAAGTAACACCAGTCAGCGTCTCTACAAGTCACTCATTGTGAATGTGTGATTAATGCTTCACATGCAATCAACAATATTCCACCTAATTCACATTGTCCTGTAAATAATCAAGTGTGTGCTTGGCAAACCAGAGATTAATGGCATGAGCCATGATCCACTTTGTCAGGTAGCAATGACACACAATGAGCCAGCCAAACCATTGAATGAGTGAGTAACATCCCACACAATCAGACTTGTCACAGAGTCTGATCGCCTGATCACAGTTCGTCACCTCTTATGGTAAGTAATAGTGCAGGGGACGTATTCTAACTCGAGTGCCCACATTGTTCATGACAAGAATAGAGTGCTGTGGCTGCATTCTTCCGCTAGATGCCACAGGGTCAACTGTGGAAGTCAGTGATTTTAGTGGAGCTGCATGTGGCTGACCTTGTCCTTGTATTCGGTGTCCTCCCCACCCGTGGCTGGCAGCACAGCCTCCAGAAGGATGAGAGCAAGGAGGCGTGTCCTCAGATTGCTGAAGTAGGGCACTCCTGCAACACATCGTTACTTGATTACAGCCATGACACTTATGGTGATGTTTCCTTATCTACAAACCTCTATACAGAGCAAGCTGAGTAAAGTCCAAAACCTGAACCAGAGTGCATTCATCAAAAGATTCTTTTTACGTTATGATACCCCAAACCTGAAATTTAGTTGCTACTAGGAATGAGTATTTATAAGGTTAAAAAGTGTATCACAATTTTTTTTGATACACAAGGCCGTATTGCGATACGTATGATGATACATTGTATAATTCTAAATTTTGAATTCAGAAGCAATCTGACACATTAAGGTTCATAAATGGAACAAAACAAGATGCTGGTACAACATAATGTTCACTCAGTCAATAAATACAAAGCCATCTTGGGGCCCCAGGTGAATGCTTCAGGGCAGGGAAGGCATTTGGCAAGTATATAACATTAAACACATCATAAAAATCACTATTTGAAATCCCCCAATATATTGAGCATAAACAAATGAGATTGTGATACGTATCGTGGAAAAAATGAACCTCAATTTACTGATATACCGATGGACTTGACCTAAAGAGAATAAACCTCTTCCACACTAATACATTTTTGCCAGAAATGTTGTTGGGATTCTATCCTTCTCCTGGCTGTCAAGAGCTGCTATGACATCATAGTTTGAGTCAAAATGGGTTCTGGCTAGAGTTGTCTTCGTGTTTGGGAACAGATGGAAGTCTGACAGAGCCACATGAGGAGAATTAGGTGGGTGGAAATAAGGTAGGCAATTCCTTCTATGTGAGGCTCAAAACTTTTCCATTAACCCTCGTATCTTTTGCCATATTCATAGTGTAAAGGAATATCACAACCAAAAAATATCTCCATCAAGATTTGTCACAGTTTTTGTGTGACCAGTGTCATGTGGCAGTGTCAACTTGGCATTCAAGTTGAGCCATGCTGACGACATGCGCATGCACACATGCACAGGGGAACATACCTCTGTCATCTGTTCCACTAGCTATGTTGAGCAAAGCATCCACCCATCTGGTGCATGCCAGTCTCTGCTGGATGGGCTTGGAGACTGCAACACGTCTGAGGAACACCAGGAAGTCGCCAACAGAAGTTTGGGAAGATGTTGCCTCATTCTCACCATTATCTATGAGTTAGAAATGTTAACAACAAAATAAATATTCAACTATCTAGATAAAATAATAAACAGATGAACTAATTTGCCAAGTATTCACCTTCTGGAAATACTTCTTAACCTTGTGCGTGCAACTACAATTTCAGTACACCCCATTTTTAGAAACATGGGTGGCTAAGTTGTTAAAGATGCTGCAATTTGCTGTACAGATTTGTGTTCCTTAGCTGTGCCAGGATCTCCTGAAAATTTAACATTCGAATCTCTGATTCACCCTGATTATGATCCTTGGTCCATCAACTCCATACCCAACAATGAAACACAAACTGAACTACTGTTCAAAGTTGCTAAAACCCAACTCACTCATGGGTGTTCATCATAGAACAGGAGGAAACAGGAGAACGAATTTGAATGCAAAGTGTCATGATCTTTGTGCATTCCCCCCTCTGTGGTACCTTGTGTCTAAGAAATGGCTTATTGCTATCATCATTACAATGTCAGCATATACATGTCCGTGATAGTTTCTGTACATTACATGAGTCTATGACAACATGATCAAACTATATTAGTATACAGCACAGGAGTGAATGACTCATGCACGAGATAGCTCTCTTACCAGCTGCACACCCATCCCCTGTGTCCAGTTCGGGGCAGGCTATGTACAGCAACTTCTGCAGGTGCTTCCACAGAAGCTCAATGATGGCCTGAATCACCCCGAGACTCAGCCGGTCAGCATAGGTACTGGTGGGACAATGTGTTCACATGTCATAGCAGTACAACCATCTTATATCTAAATATTTTTTACACAAAATCAATTTTTAAAACCACTAGTTGTTTGAAATTATGCATGAAATCTAGGCCTCACCATACCTTTAATTATAATGAAAGATGTTTTTATTCTGATTCAAATTCTATATCAAGGACTCTAGGAATCCTCTCAATTTCTAACACAGTTGCTTAAGACAAGATATGAATATGAACTGTTTTCACACAAACTGACTACTGATCTGAGGGTTGTACTGATCGATTCCTGACTTCCATAATGAAAAAGTTTAAATTCTTGTCTTCGATGTTAGAACACTGGTTATTTGAAGACCAAACTTCAACTGCTACTCAACTCATCAGGTCTTGCAAGGAAAAAGGAAAATCTCATACCTGGGACCTGGGACCAGGAAAAATAGACATCTCCTAAGAGATTATCATGAAAAGACAGGTACTGTCTAATATAATAGTCAATATCCGTGATAGGTTTACAATTGTAACAACTCACTACCTACCCTGTGGTGACCGCTATGATCTGTAGCAGGCGGAGGCTCGACACCTGCAGAATGGCTCCCAGGTGGGTAGCCTCCAGGCACCGCTGCAGTGGTGGAAGCGTGTTGGGGAGGGACACAGAGTTCTGACACAGCTGGAACAACATCGGCAGCAGGCCACATGACACGGCCAGTGACACATCCACAGGCTTGTACTTGACACTCAGGGCAAGAATAGTGGACAGGAGCAGATGGTTCTTGGTGGCTGTTGTTGAACATACAAGTTCAAGATATCAACCAAAGAGCTGGTAATATGTGTGGAAATAGATTTACTTTGTTAAAACCATTATACCATTAAATGTTACCCCATTTAAATCTGTCCATGAAAAATTAAAGCATGTTATTGAGAAAGATAATACTGTCATTTAAGTAAAATGGATCATTGTCTGTGTGATTTATTACTCATTTGAAAATCAAAGCACGTCAATCATATATCTGACAAGTGACCAATCTGAAATCCTAAAAAAGGGAGTCCTACTCGATGCCATTCATACAAGAACGACAGACAACATGTAGATAAAGACATACTCACCCTCCCCTAGAACCTCTGACTTGTATGTGTCTATGAGAGATGCTACAAGAGCTTCATAGATCCGATGAACAGCCAACTGTATCTCCTGCTGTGTCTGTGAACGGGCTACCTTAATACCATCCTGCACAAGAAGAAGCCAAGGAATATTAACGCAAAATATCAAATTGTGATATCATCTCCATATAATATTGTTCAATAACAGTTGCATCATCACATGGTAAACTAACTGTTAACTAACTGTTAACCTTCTTGCCCCTCATGGGCAGCATGGGTTGTATACTCCCCAGGGAGCTGAGAATATACAATTGCTTGCACACTGATCCATTGACTGGGGTAATAATGTAGAGTTTTGGGCATGCTTTATGTTGTGGATTTGGCGCATTATAAAAATGCACATCATTATCATCAGTGTGAGTGAGTGAGTATGGTTTTACACCTCTTTTAGCAATATTCCAGCAATATCACGGCAGGGGACACCAGAAATCGGCTTCACGCATTGTACCCTTTTGGGGAATCAACACTTGTCTTCAGTGTGACGAGTGAACGCTTTAACCAGTGAGCTACCCCACCACCCCTCACTATCATCAGTAGTACAACATGGGCTGAATGCACAACGGGAGTGACCTGGTAGTGGTAGAGCTGAGTGCTGGTGTTGAGGCCCTCAGCTGGCAGTACGAGGAGACCAAAGCAGCCGGCCAGCAGCTGTAGATGAGCTGAGTTGAGGAGAGTGGTGGTGGAGGAGCTGTCTGAAGTCAGATTCTCGTACTTCTCCTTCCCAGTAGATAGCAACTCTACAACCTGGTTCAGGGCATACAGCCGAGACTGAAGGAAGGCAGATAACAGGCTTTATTAGACATTGTCCGAAATACTCTGACTTAATTTCAACACTTACCTCTTGCAAAAGTCACATAAACAAGAGATCCCTCGTTTATGCTGATTAGTGCTCATCGGATCTTTAAGGTTTCTACCGCCACCTTTTGCCTCTATCGGATAAGGATAATATCTCATCATATTCTAGGCTCCTAGGTTGATTGTACACAACCGTTTATTTTGTTACATACTAGTTCAAACAACCGAGGAAAAATAAAAAAAAGGCTGCCCGTCCGCACTATGTTTTCAAAAGCCATTGCCTGAGAACAAAATCTTTTATTTTTTTAAACCTTACTTGTCTTACTTTATATTTTGTGTAAGTCTAAATTTATTTTGTGTGTTCTGAGACCACACTAAACAAAGGTGAAGCTGCTTGGTACTATACATTTGTCTGAGATTTGTGGTGGTTCTTAGATTTTCACAGGCATCGCTAATAATGCATGTATATCAGTCATAATTAGTGTACAGATTCATAGAAATAAATATGGATTGACTAGTGTTTTCATCTGGACAGTCAGGCCAGCTTAACAGAAATGTTACTAGCCCAATTAAAAAATCACTTACATTTGGCCAGTGGGCAAGCAGAATTATAAGCCCCAGTTTGACTCTTATCAAACCATACAATCTGTACGGACATAAGACTACATAGATGAGAATCTTATAGATTATTTGTTACCTGTATCAAATCAAATCTTCACTCATTCAGTCCTTACCTCATTTAGTTGTTATGGCATTAGATACCCATTTCAGCTTGTAAATTACATTTTGAAAAAGTTCCATTCATTGTGAATTGCTTTAATTGCAAGCCTTACCTCAGCTCTGTTCTGTTGTAGGTCCATAGCCTGCCCCAACACTGAGATACTGACACTGAGAGCTGCTGGCTCTGTTTCCTGCTTATTGGCAGAAGATGCTAGCTCCTCTCCACACACAAACTTGCCGATCTCTTCTGTGATGTCTCGGTGTAGAGAGACCAGTGAGATGTGATGACCAGATGATTTCAAGTCCTCCAATCTCTCCCGCCGCCATCGCATACGCCTCAGTGTCTCCTTGACTTTCTGCAGAGATCCTACATTCCTGCCTAAACAAACCATGCCACAGATGTCTAATGCCTGAACGTTACTGTTTCAGATTTACATCTCTTTATCTTATGAAGCCCAACCAGCCACTTGTCAGTGTGAGACTAGTGAAAGAAAACAGATTAGCTGTTTTCTACCAAAATCTAGCTATATCAGATAAACTACTAGTCCGAAATGATCTGCTCCATTGGGGGCAGACACTGTTGGTCAAATCCAACTAGTCCAAATTGAGCTGCAGACGAGTTGTATTTGTACCAATGGTGTCTACCCCTGCCTACCATATACTAACAGATTAAATATTAAAAAGAGACGGAAGGTTCACTTGTAAATCTCACTTGTGAATGCATCAATTTAGCACCTTTCCATACTCAATATCCTCTATCTGCATTGTATGCTTAAAGCTTTTGATGTCTAAACAAAACATATCATACTGACATGGGTATGTCATCAAAACGCAAATAACTTATCTAAAATGCATAATGAGAATTGTGAAAAAATACTGTTAATAAAACAAAGACATAAAATTCAGTCTTGGAGTTTTTAATAGCTTAAGTATATATTGTGAAGTGATGTCATAAAGGATGCAAGAAACGAGTGACATACTTTTGGCTGTGTTGAAGTTGGGTGTTGCGGTTCCATCTCGGTCCCTTACTCTCAGGGATAGCTCCTCCTGCAACAGCAGCAGCATACATTATGCTAACAATCACACTGGCATCATTCTCTAGCAATACAATAAGGATCTAGGTAGTGGTCTCAGTGATTTGCTGAAAGCTTGAATTAATTACCTGAGCCTCACTGGAAGCAATCTCTGGAAAGCTTCCTCTTCTAGCCACTCGACGCCCAGGAGACAGCAAGGTGTTCTTTTCTGATGCACTGTCTGAACAAAACAAATCAATGACTTGAATAATGCACTATTTTGCAGGGAGTGAGTGAGTGAGTTAGCTTTTACGCCACTTTGAACAGTATTCCATTTATATCACGGCGTGTTAACTTAATGTGGGAGGAAAACCCAAAGTGATGCAGGTCTCAGACGTTTACCACTTTAGTGAAACCCATGAGCACGGGTGTGGTGCTGACAAACCTAGAACCATATTTAGGGAAACCAGGGCAAACCCAAGGTCATAGGTTTCTGACATGCACAAGGGACATAACTGTTCAGCAATTTGCAGTGCCTTATACGACTGGGACACCTGGGCCCTTGCCCTATTAAGGAATGAAACCTTAAACAGTATACTGAAGAGAATTGACTTGCTTGATAAAGGTACCTGTACCAAACAATTGCAATGAAAGAATCAAGAAGATGAAACCCATGTCAACTCTGCCTTCATTAACACAACAGCCTCTAAAATGTCACTATAAATTATAAAACTGTTCACAGATGAATCTAGAATACATGTTGCAGTCAAACAGCAGAATCACCTGATATTTCCTCTAGACTCTCCTGTCTTGCAGCCACTGACTGTGGTTGTGACTGAGTCAAGTGGTCTGACTCATCTGGAAAGAACAGAACAAACCATTAACAACCAATCTTAGTGTCATCAGAAACTAAACACAAAATGCTTGATAAAAGTTATACATGATCATGAGTGAATTTGAGTCATCCCTGCTTTGAACAGTATTTCAGTTTTATCATGGTGTGTCATGTGCAAGTTTTTGTATGTTTACCAATTTAGAAGGGTTCTATAATTTGGAGGAGGGATGATACATTTTGGTGCCACATTATTTAAAGTTAAAGGTTAAAATAACAACTTACCTGAAAATGATCTGACTCCTAACAGTAGGAAGACACATTTCTGTAACACTGTCAGGCAAACATCTTCATAAGTTATCGGTGCGGAGGACTGTTTGCTTCGACAGCTCTGACTGTCTTCATCCTCTGCATATACACAAATTTTGAAAATATATTTGTCTGTACCTAGCATATGAAAGATGTATTCTATTCATCCAGGTAACTCTCAAAGGCAATACAATGAGCTTCATATGTATATCAGTCTTTTTTTTTTTAGGTCAACATATTACTATCTTCTTATTTAGACAGTCTTTATTTCATTACTGTTTGTTTGTATGTTGCTTAACACCGCACTCAGCAATATTCCAGCTATATAATGGCAGTCTGTAAATAATTGAGTCTGGACCAGGCAATCCAGTGATTGACATCATGAGCATCAATCCATGCAATTGGGATACGATGACATGCATCAACCAAGTCAGTGAGCCTGGTCACCTGATCCTGTTAGCTGCCTCTTATGACAAGCATCGTTGCCTTTTACGGCAAGCATGGGTTGCTGAAGACCTGTTCTACCTTGGATTTTCATGGGTTTCCTTATTGAAAAAGCACTTGTCATAATACAGACGAACACTTTCCAAGTTCACGAAGTTAATTTGACCCTGCAATTTGGTCAGACTTTGCTAGTTACTTTTCTTGGGAGCAAAATACATAGGACAAGTTTACAGTTGAAGTTAAAAATATAGTCTCCAATTGATAATTGATGTGTATTTGCCATCTTGATTGACAGTCATGATAGAATGACGTTACCATAGATACATTAGATCACGGAGGAGGTAATTTGAACAGCGTCAGTCCATTATGACACAACTCAAAAAATGCACTTTATCTCAGGATAAAGTACAGTGGGCACCTTGGATCATATAACGAAGCATCTTAGAACACAGTGTAACTGGCCATCAAACCTGAATTTGAAGTGAAATGTTGTGCCATAATCTCTACTGGTGTAGTGAGCAAATAACAAGCAATGTGTGCCTACCTGACCGACCTTCACTGTCATTTCTCTCTGCGTCAGACTCGTAATGTTCTGAGATCTCCTCCCCAATCTGTGTGAGACTTGACTCAATGATCTCCTCTGTTACTGGTCTCTCTGGCTTGTCGTCATCCCTCTCCCCCTGCCAGATCTCCTCCCTCACAGGCCGAGGGGTGCTCCCGCGGGGCAACTTGAAAGACACCAGCTTGCTTCGTAGTCGGTACACCAGCTGGTACAGCCCAGTCAGGTGTTTGGAAGGACTGGAAAAAGTGAACAACACGTTTTCTAGGTAAGAGGGAAATAGGTAAGAGAGTGAAGCTCATCTGGATAAGCAGTCAACAGTTCAAAACGTCAGCAAAGACAGCCAAAAATTGTGTCTCCTGAGGGGATTTATTTTTCTCATGCCAAACAATTTCTTTCAGTCCATATTGATGCCTTTCATCAAACAAACCCCTATACTGGTGACAAACATTGAAAGAAGTATCACAATATTCCAGTCAGCTATATCAAAGACAAAAATTAAGACACTAGAATGTTACACCATTTGCAGATATAGGACCAGCCCTATCACCGGCCTTCCTCTAATCATGACCAAACCTATTCATATGAAGATATAAAGATTTCTGCATGAGTGTCTGTCAGATACCATTTCGACAATGGCAGGCACAAGTGCAGTAATCTGTTTCTTTCACATTCTAAAATTGCAGCATTTGAGCATCGAATTGATGCATAGATTGTCTCAAGATTAGAATCATGCTCCAGAAACGAAAAGCGATGGACAGAAGGAGGGAGCCTGTTTGGGTGATGTATAATAAGACGACACCTTTAGAACATGTTAGAATACTGAACCAACAACTTCACTTAAGCATCAAAGACAAGCAACCAGTTTTTGTGAGAATCCGTTGGATGCAAACTCGCAACCTTCAGATTGTTAGCATGACAGCTAACTGACTGAGCTATTTCCACACTGTGAAACTAAGTGCAAATTTACCTAGTCATGCCTACGCCTTTATGGAACTGAACAAAAAGGACGGACACTTACAAGGGTTATGGGTAGGCATGATGACTTGTGACTTTAGTCTACCGACACTTGCGAGTGATCCCAATGCCATTTGGCACACTCGTCCCATTCCTTAATCTACAAGATACCGATTGGTGAGGAATGAGCCGATATGGCGCAAATTGAAAACGGCTCCAGATGTCAGGCGTCGGACATCAAACTCGCAGGCGCGCATGAATGACATGGTACTTAATAATTTGTCAGGTGATTTTTGTGACATAAAAGTGTGGTAGAAAACACCGTAAGAATAATGTGGATAATAGTTAGGAATGAGGGAGGCATAAGCATGGCTAGTGATGCCACAAGGGTGAGTCCGCTTTGGAATCAGTACTGAATAAATGTAGCGGGTAAAAGTGGCATGTGAATGTTTCAAGTAGCCAAAATATTCGACACTAAACCATTTCATCCTGCTTTCTCAACATCTTGTGTGAAGAATATTAGGAGCTGCTATAGAATCTATTATAGCCACTAAAGAGGTACCTGACCCCAATGATCATAAAGGGATGATTGATCGTAAAGGGGATCCAAGGGCTAAGGATAGAGTCTGGGGTAACCAGCGACATTTGGATGTGTTCAGTGCCTATATATTATACCTAATAAACTGAATTCCTGTGCATAATAATGAAAATGAATTTAAAACAAAATTATAGGTATATTTGTTCCCATTTATAACCATTTTAGTCACTTGAATTACGAAAAACTGAAAATAAAAAACACATTGAAAATAAAAGTGCGTTCATACTCATCATCGCTGGGCTCATTCAATGACATTGCGTGTAGAGATGATACATCACTGAGAGGAGCTTACGCACACTATATGACCCCTGACGTCACAGGGCATTGTTTCGAAGGTGCGACTCTCAACAAAATACTACAAATTACATCATAGGAATTGTGATGTGTTTGAAATATTTGTGGAACTGTAAGGCCACTTAAAAATGTGATAAGATATGTTCCAAAGAAACAGAATCTCACTTGTATTTTTTTACTTTTAAATGCAAGGAAAGACAATCATGCATTGATTCTTGAGCTAATTGTTTTGAGCCCATGCATACAATATTTACTTCTGATCTAGTGTGAAAGCTTATTGCGAACATTACTTAAAAGCAAAATCCATTGAAAAGGATGCAGAATAACATGTTCATGATGGTACACTCAAATGTTCTTGGTGCAGCCTCTTCTTGTCTTTTCTACAAAAACATTGTAAAGTTGAATTAAAGAAGACAAATGAAAGCAAACCTTTCCAATTCAAATGCTGCTTTGGCTTGGTTCGTGTGCTTCAGCAGCGCTGCCAGGTAGAACCTACTGACTGTATCCAACAAGGACTCATTGTTCAGTTCACAGGTATCAAAATCTGCAATCAGAGAGAGACAAGTGAGACGAGTTGGTTAATGTTGTTTCATGACTCAATCAGCAGGGTTCCAGCTATAACAAGGAGGACTGTAATTAATCAACTTTGGGCCAGGAAAACCAGTGGTTGTCGCATGAGGTGGTTGGGGTAGGATGACACCCAATCAATCGGAAGTTCAGTTCAGTTTAATTGGCTCTTACAAGGGGACCTATCAGAACTGGTGATCTCATTGAGAACAATCACTGTCAACTGCTTAAACTGGACATCCATTTGAATTATAATAAGTATATATTTAAGTAGTGACAATATGTTGTTATCACTATACCTAATTATAATACCAGTGAGTTATCCAGACTTACCCAACAAGGGAGAATGGCAAAGATGGGCCAAAACTTATTTTATGCGTGTGCGAGCATGCGTGCCTGTGTCTGTGACTGTGCCTGTGTGGGTGTGGGTGTGGGTGTGGGTGTGGGTGTGGGTGTGGGTGTGGATGTGGGTTAACAACAAGAGTTTCAATCAGCCGATTTTCCAGAGCCAACTCTAGCAGTTGGCATGATGTACTGGGTGCCTATTCTAACCTGCAACCTCAAAGAAAACAGTGTAATCTGTCAACTGCTTTAACTGGGTATCAATTTCCATCATGCTAAGTACATAGCCCCCGTGAAGATCCATGTTAGAATTTGTCTTCAGCAACCCATGCTTGTTGTAAGAGGTGATTGTCTGGTCCAGACTCGATTTTTTACAGACCGCCGCCTTAAAGCTGTAATATTGCTGAGTGTGGAGTTAAAACAACAAAGAAAGTGTATGGAGTAGAAGTCGGGACAATACATAAGTACATTCATAGATTGAAAAGATGACACAAGTTACGCACCCTGGTATTCTGCATAGTCCACCATCATGCTCCACACATGCTGCACAGGCTCTGTCTGATTTCCAAGGCTGAGGTCAAGAAGAAGGGAGGTAACTGTGTCCAAATTCAGATCAAAGTTAGGCTGGACACTGTTTGTTCTACATTCAAACACACTTTCTTGGATTGCACTTGATATCTTCTCTGAAAACAAAACAACATAACATAATGATTTCCTATGAAACATTCAACCCAGAACATTGTGGTGAAGATACATAGACCACCAGTAACACCTTTGGCAACATTTTCTCACTGTTTACAAAATACCTTGTCCAATGTTACTGCCTGAGAAACAATTGTTTTTATTTATTGGCCTCACCTAGATCCAACTGGGACATTTCTAGCCCATTACTGAAGAGTCTGCTCTCCAGCCAGTATGATGACTCCGTCTCACACTGAGAAACAGGTGCTCCCAGTAGCATACCGCCAATACAGTGACCAACAACCAGGGCACATGTCCGCTCCATGTCCACAACCCAGCACCAGTGAATTTCACTCCCTCCTCCTGATGTACCCCCACCTGATCAAAACAAAACACATCAAGTCCTATTGTGTACACAAGCAGGAAAACATAGTTCTTAATTCTAAAAACACAAGACGTAGGACTTGCATGAAAGATAATCATATAACACTTACATCTACAATATTACAATATTCCAGCTATATGATGGAGGTCTGTGAATAATCGAGTCTGGCCCAGACAACCAGTGATTGACATCATGAACACCGATCCACGCAGTTGGGATACAATGACATGCATCAACCAATTTGTGAGCCTGACCACCCGATCCCATTAGTCGCCTCTTACGACAAGCATAGTCGCCTTTTACGGCAAACATGGATTGCTGAAGACCTATTCTGCCCCGTATCTTCACGGGTCTGGTATTGTAATGAAAAAAGATCATGGTTAACAATGGCTCACTACAACAAGCATAGATAGATCATATCAGAATTGATGCATGGCATCATGTTATGACAAAACATAATCAACTCATGCAGTGCCATCCCTCCAGTAAGAACAACTTCAAAACGTTATGATGAACTAAGGAAATGAACAACCAAAAATGCAAGAAGTATTTTCAAAAATCCAAATGACTTACTTCTGTTGAACTCCAGCTCAATGTCCTCCAGCCTCTGTGTCCCAGGGAGGATCTTACTCAGCTTGTCCAGACAGGGTAGCAGAGAGAGTATCTCATGGAGGACCGGCACCATCATGTCCATGGGGAGCACCAGCAGTGAGTGCAGAACATGTGTCAACATCCCACCAGCAGGCGAGGCCAGCAGCAGTTCTGTAACACACAAACAGTTAGAACAGACAAATATTTACTTGTACCACCTACACCTGAAACTAAAGCTCCATGTTAGATCATGAAAACATCAATGTTAGAAGAACAATATCAGGAAATGGGCTGCAGGCACCAATTCAAAAAGCAAAATTTACAGCCTTCTATTCTCACTTCTTCTGTTTACAATATTTTTCTTGTTACTTAATGACAATAAAGTCTAATAACAGTTCTCTGATACTTAATGTAACTCCCACTGAAAAGCAGTATAGCTAGTACAACACATACTGAGGACACTCTGAGATGACATTTGATTCTTGCTATCACCAAGTCATATTAATAGTGATCCGCCTTTGAGGAGAAAGCTGCAATAAGTGCCCAATCACTTTGTATTTTTGGGACAATAAAATATGTGTAAATATATCAATAGCATTCAACAGTCAAATATCTTGCATGGCCTAATGGTATGTAAGACCTACTGCTGACCTTCAACTTGTGTGGAGAAGTGTTGATTTCCTTGTCCCTGCTGCAGTGCCTGTGTGGCCTGAGACAGGATCTCCCCACACACAGGCAGGAGTAGAGACAGGTGGTGGTGCAGCAGGTTCACCACAGGCACAATCTGGAGCATGGAAACACACTGGCCATCATGGATATCACTCAACATTAGAAATTGGCATTGGTACTGTAGTCCTTGCCATACTGCCCAATAGTTAAGGAATCATAAGGACTAGTAGAAATTTGACATTTTTAAGGGGTTTACTATATGTTATCATTATAAGGACTGGTGGACTAAATATGCTAGTTTCTACCGCTGTCAGTGCATTCATAGCTTAACCCAGTACATCAGGGATACACAAACAACATAAGGGTTTGAGAATGATCTGAACACTGAACTTTCATCAGTCCTATGGATTAATAATCACAACAATCAGATGTTAACTATCCTAGATTTCCCAACAGTTGTCTAACCTTGTCTAAATTAAAATTAAGTCTGCCACATTAGAAACTAGCCTGAAGCTTAAGTTGAGTAAGATTTATTTCCATAGAAGAAAATAAATGCGACAAAAACCCTTCAAGAAATCTTTTCCAAAAGCAAAGTCTACTGTACGACTGTGACTATGTCATGAGCATGTGTTCATGAATCACTATAAAATAGCTCAACTAACAATGGTCAATATATCATGATATATTAACACCACAGTCTGTTGACAATACAGAGAGCTATTGGCTAGTAGACAGTATATTCTATGGTATGGTATTGTTGATGATGATGCCACTAACCAGGCTTCCCTCTGCAGCCTTGCTGAAGCAGAATGCCAGCAGGTGCTTCTGAAGGGAGGATAGTAAGCTGTGTAGGTGGGACGGAGGGGCTCGGTCAGGGCTGCCTTCACTGCTCTTCTTGTCACTATTCTTAGCTAGTTCATTCAAGGTCTTCTCCTGTTGAAAACCATGGCACTCATGTGTAAATATTGCAGCAAGTTCTGCATGGTAAGTAGCAATGACAAGAACTACTCACTGAACATTCTCTAATCAAGTCAGATAGTAGAGTGACAATGAGATTACTCTACTTGATTATGAACAGGATGATTTTGAAAATGAAATTTGAGTTTATTTACTGGACATTTGCATATATTCACCAAAGCCCAAAAGGGTTGCATATAGGAGAACTCAATTAAATCTGTGTCTTTGCTGACTGAACATCATTATGTTCTGATAGCTTAGATCGTTGCTCATGTTTTCAGTCACTGGTTTGCCATGTCCTGACTCAATTACTTACAGGCTGTGAAATAGCTGGAATACAGATGACCGTGATGTTAAACACCATTCACACACTTACTGTTACTTCTGGGGGTAGTTGTGTAGCCTAGTTGTTAAGGCATGTACATTTCACACTAAGACCCTGGTTGGATATCCAACATATCTTGATTTAGCTTTAATATTGCACAAAGTGGCGAACATGATACTCGCTTGCTCACTGTTACTAATAGCTGAATATTTAACAATGACTTACAGTATGAGAAGCTAGGTTTCTGAGGATAGTTTTCATTAGAACTTCCGCTAACTGCAGATCAGATGTGGCAGACTCAGAAACTTTCTCAGGTATATTCTTTGTGTCCAGGGCAGTAGAAAATCCCAACACAGAAGCAATTTGTTGATTGTCTTGGAGGCTTGTCAGTATGATACCAAGCTGCATCCTCTACAATAAATCAATTTATCATTAATACCACTTGAAAATGTAAAAGCATATACTTGACAAAAAGTGACAGAAAAAGTAAGATTTTATTTAAATCAAAATTTAAAAAAACTTAAAGAGACCATTTGCCGAGAAGTTTTGCCTGCAAAAGAAAATTGGCAGCAAAGTTGAATAGCTGGGCTACAAGTTCAGGATTGTATTACAATGATAGTCCTATACACAAGTTATTCCCACCTGTCCCCGAGTGAGTGTCTCCCAGCTATCTGGCCCCTGGGGCAGCAGTGAGTGTAGCAACTCCATCCTCTCCCTTAAAGGTGGCAACAGCAGCGACGCCCCTATCGATAATGTTTCTGACACAGCCTACAAAATTATCACATCATAAAGACAAAAAAGAAAATATTTGTAGAATTTTCCTATTCGGAATATTCTATAAGTAATACGTTACCACTGTTATACCGAGGCTGTTGTCTCCCACAACTGCTGCTATAGCGAAATCTACCACAGAGATCTCAATTACCTCATGCAGCACGTGCGTAGCCACCTAGCTGCCATGTGACACCCTTCACTCTTGTCTCCTGCGAGAGCAAGTGCTCGGGGGACGGACGGGCGGGCAGCAGCCCAGTGGTAACGTATTACTTATAGAATATTCCGAATAGGAAAATTCTACAAATTACATTAAGTAATACGTTACCACTGTTATACCGAGGCTGACTACCACAGTAGGCGGTGGGGAGCACCTACAACCCGAATCCTGACTGCTAGCGTTCCTTCCGACCAGCGGAAGTAAACACCAAGGCGGAAGCACTCGATGCGCATGCACCTAGCTAGGCGTTACCCTATAGGAATACCAAAGCACTGTCATGCGCATACCGTAAGGCTCAATCGTCATTGCCAAAACGATTGGTGACTCCAAACGGCCCCACTGGATAGGTATTTCATCGCCGCAGCGGATGAGAACACTGTATCCGCGTGAGCTAAATCTTAGATCAGCTTAAACAGTCGAAAAGAGGGAAATTAATTTCCTTCAGACCGTATATCCCAGAGCAAGCCAACTGAAAGTATGCATTAGGCGCGTGACCTAATTCCAGTATTCGTAAGCATGTATCGCAAGGTTGGAATACACGACAGACAATTAAATGCATAATTGTCAAAATACAAATAAGGACAAAACACACAAAAAGCCGCCTCACCTGTGGTGTGAGTGCGCTGGTTTGCAGGACCCCCACTCCTGTACCCACGGCGTGGGAACATTGGAGACGACCCAGATTGACCACCGTGCAAGGACTGACGACTGCGGAGTTTGAAATTGCGCTGGACACACCCCCTAGATGACCGCTTGTGCCGCGATCAGCGGCCCAAGACGGTGCACCCCCTCCACGTCTTCATCAGAAACCTTTCTGAGGTAATGATTGGCAAAAACCGAGTCAGAACGCCAGTAACAACCTCGTAATATTCTGTGAACAGAGATATTCGAGTGTAGGGCAAATGTTGCCGCTAGCGCCCTGATCTCGTGCGGGTTTGACCCCGCTACCGGTAACCCCCGAGACCGGTACGCCAGATTGATGACAGAACGAAGCCACAACGCAATCGAGTTGCGAGTTATGTCAACCGTGCGATTAGGGTTACACGATATGAACAGACGGTCACGCCCTTGTCTACGTTCATTCGAAGCCTTAAGATAATACTTAAGGGCCCTAACCGGACACAGCGCTCTGTCCTCAGTATCAGCAGGATGTAAGATTTCTTTGAGGGATCTTACAGTGAATTCTCTCTCTGTTTGCCCGACTCTCTGATTCTTGGCGACGAAGCCCATGAGCAGGCCCAGGCGGACCGCTCCTTCGTCACCCCTATCGAATCGTACCTTGGCGACATCGAGTGCATGAATTTCGGATACACGTGCCGCCGTGGCAAAGGAGAGGAGAAATGCTGTTTTCCAAGTCACATGCCGGAACGAAGCACAATGCAAGGGTTCATACGGAGCTTCCGTAAGTGATTGCAACACTAGGGAAAGATCCCAGGCCGGTGCCCGAAGGCGGCCCTTCTTAAGATCGTGCTGTTTGAAACCCTTGATAATACCCCGTATCACCGGCTCTTTGGAGAGACTGGTACCCATAGCAACGTCCCGTACTGTAGCAACAGACGAGACATAGTTGGCAATGTAACCCCTGGAGAGTTTCCGGGTCTCTCGCAAGTGAGACATGAAACGAGCAATATCCTGCACAGATACCTTATCTGGCGAATGAATGTGATGTTTACAACACCACTTCGTGAAAATAACCCAACGTGCATTATACACCTTCTGGGTAGAATCACGATGCATACTAACGTATGCCCGAGACGCCCGGCGAGAAAAACCTTTACTCCTCAGACGCTCGGTGACAACATCCACGCGTGCAGATTGAACTGCCCTGCGTTTGGATGAAGCTGACGGGTGTGAGGGTGGATCAAGAGATCCGGTCTCACAGGCAGTGGGAGTGGCGACTGCGTGACCTGGGTCAGCAAGTCGGGGTACCACGATCTGTTCGGCCACATGGGCGCGATCAGTAACATTCGACAGCGAACTCCTCGAAGCCGGCTTAGAATGTGTGGTATCAACGCTGTCGGCGGGTAAGCATAAGCGTCCAAGCCCGTCCAGTCTAACGCGAGAGCATCGTGATCGATGGCCCTCGGGTCCGGGACTGGTGATACAAACAACGGGAGTTGATTGTTGAACCGCGTTGCGAACAGGTCGACCATCGGACGACCCAAACGTTCGCACAGCCACTGAAACACTACTGGGTTCAGCATCCACTCTGTGGGGCTCGATAGAGCATCGGCCAGTACGTTCCGCACACCTGGGATGTGACGGGCGCGTATCTGGCACGGGACACTGTCCACCAGAGCGTAAAACTCGAACGTGAGATCGAGCAGCAAGTGACTGTGGGTTCCCCCCAGTTTGTTCACATAGGACACTACCGTCGTGTTGTCGGTCGCCAGCATGAGCCGAGCGTCGACGAGACGATGCTTCCAGTGATTGACTGCGTTGATCACTGCCTTGAACTCGAGACAATTGATGTGAAGACCTAGTTCGTCTACGCACCACAGCCCCGAGCTCACCTCCCCCTCTAGATGGGCGCCCCAGCCCACTAGAGAGGCGTCTGTATACAGGTTCAACGTGGCCCGGTAGGGCCGCATAGAGACTCCTGATAAGACATTGTAAGGGACCGTCCACCACTCCAGATGCGGTCGGAGCCGATCCGGGAGGGCGACGGTCGCACTGTTCACCTCCGTTGCTAACAACTGGATTAAAAACCGTTGCAGCGGGCGGAGTTGGAGACGACCCCGTACGGTGCAGTCCTGGGCTGATACAAGTAGCCCTAACAGCTGTTCCCAAAAGTGAACAGTCTGTTGCACCGCTAAGACTTTGGCAATCATCGCCTGAATTTTGTGCCACCGGTCTGGGGGGACAAATAGGCGATGGGACACCGTGTTGAACCGACCTCCGATGAACTGCAAGTTCTGAGAAGGGGTTAACTCGCTCTTGGGGAGATTGACAATCCACCCCAATTGCTCCAAGAGCCGACGTGCGAAAACGAGATGGCGTGACAGGGTGTCCGACATTCGATTTGCTACTAGCGAGTCGTCCAGGTACGCGAAGTACCGGACACCCCTCCGGTGGAGGAACCCCACTATGGGGGTGGTTAACCGGGTGAACAGCCAGGGAGCGGACGAAAGACCGAATGGGAGTACAACCCACTCGTAGTGCCTGCCTTGAAAGACAAACCTGAGATACCTGTGATGATCCGAATGAATCGGAACATGCAGATAAGCATCCTTCAGGTCGATCGAAGCTAGCCAGTCGGCCGGCATGATCAGTGCTTTCAGGTCCGTCAAGCTCAACATTCTGAACTTGGGCGGCTTGCGCAGGTAGAACTCGTTGAACGATTTCAAGTTGTGAATCATTCTGAGTTCGGCACTGTCCTTCTTGGGAACGAGAAATATCCTGGAGTAAAACCCCGGTGTTATTTCTGGTAGAGCTAACTCCCGAACTGCCCTCTTCTCCACCAACCTGCCGATGGCATCGGCGAGGAAGGGAAGATCGGTTTCCGAATAGAAACCTGCCGACGGGGCAACGGTGAGCGGCGGATTCGCTTTGAGATCGAGCCGATAGCCGTACCGAATCGTGTTGACCACCCACGGGTCGTCGAACACTTGTTCCCAATTCTCCCAGTAAGTCTGGAGTCTGGCTCCCACTGGGGAAAGAGAGGGGGGCCGGACGGGCTGCGGCAGGCGCAACTGTCCAGGGCCGTGTGACTCGGGTTCGCCTACGGGCCAACCGAAGTTGGCGCTGTCGGCATACGAACCCCTCCAATGAGAGTCACCTGGAGGGGCCCTTGCCGTCCTTAGACGACTTGGGCTTCCCCCAGTTCCCCTTCTTCCCGCGAAAGGGCTGCTGAGAACCCTTACCGGAGCCCTCAGAGCGGGGCTTCTTCCCGGAGGAAGAAGGACCCGACCCCTTAGGCCTGCTGGACGCAGCAACCTGGGGCGCGCTCCGCTTCGGAGCGGCACCCAGGCGCCTATGCAAGGACCCCACAAGATCCAGTGTGTGCCGAGAGGCCTCGGCAGACACAGCGGCCTGTTGTTCCTTCAGAACCCCAGGGATCTTGTTATTAAACAGGGTCCGAGCAGACCAAGGCTGCGAAAGGAGCACCTCCTGATTGGCAGCGCCCAACCCTGAAGCAACCAGATACGACTGGCGCCGAAGAAAATGGCACGTGCCGGAAACAAAGGCCGAAGCCCCGGCAACGTACTCCAGGGAAGCATTCAAACCGAGCAAGCAGTTGTAAATGCGCTGGTCACGGTCCGTGGGAGAACCTTCGACCAGACTGGCCGCCGCAGCCAGGTATGTGTCTCCGTGAGACATAGCCAGCATGGAGTGTCGAGCGAGGGTGTCCAGCTGTTGCAGGGTACCTTGCGGTACCGTGGCAACCGGTGGGGCACGGACCCCCAAACGCTCCACATGGGCTTCCGCAGAAGGACCAGCCTCGGGAAAGGCAAGGTCATGAACTGGGAAAGACCCTTTTCTCCACGACGGGGGAGGTAACGGGAGACCCCGACCGGAGGCAGCCGTGAAGGCTTTCTCCAAAGACGGCTTAATCCCGCGCAGCAAGGTTGATGCCGGGAAAGCCTTGTCGGACGACTCGTCGTATACCTCGGAGGAACCCACGGAACCGTGGATACCCCGCGGAATCGGCAGGGGCTTTGGCATGTCCTCGAAGAGGTCATACACCATGGCCACGCGGTCCTTAACCGATAGCGGAAGCAACGGTTCGGGGGAAGGACCGGTAACCACGGCAGCCGGCGCCGTACCGGTGGACCCCGCGTCCGAACCCGCGGCCACCGAAGAGGCCGGGGACGGAACAGCCAGCGGCCTATCTTGCGATAAGGCCGCCAGCTTGGAGTCCACAATTTGCGACAACAATGCGGCGACGGAAGCCCCAGACAGCCCGAGGGCCGCAAGGGGATCCGCCGCAGCCGACAAGGAGGTGCCCGCACGGGGGCCCCGACCGGACGAACCGGCCACCACAGGGGTGGAAACGGACTGCGCGCACAGCCGGTACCGCTCAAACTCTGCAGGTCCCAGACCTTCGCACAGGGTGCACCGGGTTTCCTCGCAAGGAACCCTGCACCGCGGGCAACGATCGTGGGGATCCCGGGACGACAAAAACTTTCTGCACACCCCACAACTCCGAGGAGCAGGGGTAGAGGGGGTGGAGACAGGGGACATATCCATGTCAGACATTGATTGTTTTCTAGAAACAAAGAACAAAACATGGTTACAACGCACGCACCACAATGATTCACAAACGAACATTTTCACAAGAAAATAAACGAGCAATGTGAACATATAACATACACATATAACTTTTACTAAAGAAATAAGTTATGTTAACCCCCAAAACATACAAGAACAGGGGAAACGTAAAACACAACGTGCATACGCGAACCCCGCAAGTATATAGAAAAAAGGGCGGGAAAAATTTTCCGTTTGGCGGGAAAATTATAACCAAGCGTAGCTACCGCAACGCCCCATAAAAGCACAGTTTATTAGAGAATAAACGATAATAAATATCACCAAATCTGCAAGGAACGCTTCAGCAGGAGAAAACACGTCTTGCTAAGCAGACAAAGGAGACAAGAGTGAAGGGTGTCACATGGCAGCTAGGTGGCTACGCACGTGCTGCATGAGGTAATTGAGATCTCTGTGGTAGATTTCGCTATAGCAGCAGTTGTGGGAGACAACAGCCTCGGTATAACAGTGGTAACGTATTACTTAATGTAATTTCATAATTTCTGTAAGTTTGTTAACATATGAACAAACATTTGAAACATCAATTATTTCAAAAAGTAATAAGAAGAATGAAAAGCACATTTGGCTGTAAATATTAACAATACCCACAAGAACTTTGATTTAAGTTCAACATGTTCAAATACAAATAGTATTCCCAAATCACTGATATGGTAAACATTGATGTCAATCATGTTATTGATGAGTTAAAAATCATATGCCGAGTTGAATGGTTTTGGTACCTCCTGTACAAGATCCGGTGTGCTTGTGTCCATAAGACGGAAAAGAAGATTGCGCAGTGGACGGGTCTCCCTCCCCAATATGTCTGAGCCAAGTCCTCCAGCCAGAGCCAGTGACAAGTGGGAGCTGAGCAGCTTCAAACACATCAACACAAAGTGATGGTGTTCCCTGAAGAAAGCATCAATACATCAATACTCGTGTTTCCAGTTTAACACATCAAAGGATCTCTGATCTTATACCTAATGACAAAAAAATCACATGATAAACTGACGATATTCTTACAATTTGTTTATTGTTTTGAAAAAACACTACATTTACATATATTCAGTGAAAGAGAATATAAGACGTACAGAAGCGAATGAAAATATTTAAATGTAATCGCTCAACAAATTTGGAAATGGTTTGAGTTAGACAGGAGGAAGATCATGTTGGAAGTATTTTTCCTAATCTAGATATTAACATGACACCATTAACTGACGGACTGTACATTTGACCAATGATGATACAGTGAACCCTGTTTATCCTGAGCACTCATTGAAAATCTTAACCAATGGAACTCCTATCCTTTTACAAACTAATGACAGTCTTCTCACTAATATACATTGTATGCATATGGTTTATGTCTCCATAAGAATATTTCACTGGCCAGTAAGTCAGACCAGGCTTGATTACTCACTCTTTGCTTGGGAATGGTGCTGGAGGTTCTACACTGTCAAAGCCATCACAGTATCTCTCAAGGAATGTTCTCAGTAGCATGAAGGTGTGTTCCTGCAGGTCGATGCAGAACGGGCGATGCCAAGCAATCACATGTCTGCAGATTGATTCACAAGCATAACTGACATGCACAAACAATTTGCACAATAAAGGTTATTTTCATCTTGAAATCAATGCTATATCAATCATTCTTTTGTTTCAGAGTTATCAGTTTTCCACTGATATCTGATATCAATTATCAATATTCCTCCACATACTCGTTACTTTTACGTAAGAAAATGCTTGTCTCAACACAGGACAAACATATTGTACATAATTACATGATGTGATAATTAGAAAAGTGTTTCGTGACAATCAATAGAAGTAAATATCAACATCCATCCTATCAGTACAGCTGCTCACTCACCTGTCGAGTGGCAGTGCTGTCCATGCTATACTGTGAGAGGTGCCTGCAGATATCTGCTGTATGGAGACACCCTCCACTCCTATCACCTTTCGCGGCCGAGTGATGGGACTCTGTGCATGTCCCTGGCCACACTGACCCATGGCATTGTTACCCCAGGCATATACTTCATTATCTGGACAAAACAATAGTCGGTACACATAAACATAATGCTCAACATTAATGTACAGTGATGAAGGAACAAAACAACTATCATGAATACAGTAGTATTGTGCAATATATACATTGTTCAAATGTTATGTGTAAATATAGGAGGTCAAATGATATTTCATAATGAACTGACCATGAGCAAGGGCTAAGCAGTGACTGTCTCCTGAACAGATGTCCACCACTCTGATATTCTGGAGGTCCTCGATCAGATGAGGTCGCAGTGCTGTGAACTCCGACAGTCCGCAGCTCAGACAGGAGCCACTACCCCAAGCATATACCTACATAGTAGCATTGCATAAAGGTGACATTTGTGTAAACAAGATTAAATCATTCATATGACTTCGGACAAGAGTTCAGAATAGTTTAATGTCTTACTCAATATTCAATATTCAAGCTATGAATCTGGACTGGACAAACCAGTGATTAATATGACCCAAATGCCCACAGGAGGTTCAGAGTTGTATGTAACCTCTTCTTATGACATGGATCCACTATTTTAATAAATAAATAAATAATAAAGTTACATTCCGCAGGAAAATTGTTACATTAACATGATTAGATTGATACTTCTTGAGATAGATATGTTTTACATGAGCATAATACTGAATCACCCAAGCATGCTGTGCTGTGTATTAATGTACCATTGTGATCATGAGAATAGACAAAATATGCATCAATTCGATGCTAAAGTGATGCAATTTGAGGGTATGTAAGAAACAGATTACTGCACTCATGCCTGTTAGATACCATTTATCTTACAATTCGCTCATTAGATACATTTTAAAACAACTTGTATGATAAATGGTATCAGCAGCCAATCATGTAGTAATCATTATGTGTCGGGCGTGTTGTATTACAAGAACAATGTTGCACCTGTCCTGTAGAGGTGAGAGCCAGGGAGGACTGACTGCCACATGCAACCTTCCTGATGTACATCCCAATAAAAGCTTCAATCACTTTGGGCTTATACTGACGATTCATATCTCCATGCCCAAGTTTGCCTGTGGACAAGAAATCAAACTGTAGAATGCTGCGATAGATTATGTTTACAAAGAAACACATTATGTAATAACAAATCCTTTCATAGAGAAATAATTTGGATTTGTGTGTTGTTTAATGCCGAACTCAGAAATATACCAGCTATATGACGGCGGTCTGTAAAGAAGCGTGTCTGGACCAGACAATCCAGTGATGGACATCAAGAGCATCTATCCACGCAATTGGGATACAATGACATGCATCAACCAAGTCAGCAAGCCTGTCCACCCGATCCTGTTTATTGCCTCTTACGACAAGCATAGTCGCCTTTTATGGCAAGCAAGGGTTGCTGAAGACCTATTCTACCCCAGATCTTCAGGTCAAATAATTTGGAATTTTAAAGGAGACTAGCCTCAGCAAATTGGAAGTCCTGGCAAGTTTCATTCAAGTCGTTCAAACATTTAATAATTATGAGTACCCCGGAACCCTAATTTTATGGAGACAAATGTCTCAGTTCCATAGTACAGTCCCTCTTTAGTCTCCATCTCACACTTAATGTCAGTATTCTGTATAATACTTCCAAAGCTAGAATGATCCTACCGAGATTTCATACCATTATCTCCTCCTCCAAATGACCAGACAGTCTTTCCATCCTGTGAGACAGCAATAGTGTGAGAGCTGCCACAGGCAACCTGCCCCACACCTGATATGTCCTTCACATGGCGTGGCAAACTCCGGCTAGAACTATCTCCGTGTCCTAGCAATCACAAATGTTGGCTTCATCATATAATCTAGATGTGCACTGATTGTGATCACAGTTATAAGAATAACATTGCATTATACATTGTTTGAATTACCTATATGTGAACTATTCTACCAACATTCTAAAAATGTACATTTGCATTTCAAAACTATTGAAGAAAAGAAAAATATCTCAGCTATCAAGATGAAACCATATAAAATGTAAAATCAGTTCTATTTCTAAAATAATGGAATGTTAATTCTTGACTAATAACCACATCTCTATTTGTGCAGAGAAACATGAACAATTAACAACTGAAAACACTGATCTAATCTAAACATGAACTTAAAACATCACCAAATTCATACAGGATGCTCTTCCTATCTAAATTTCCTGAACTTGTATTAAAAAAATTTAGAAAGATAATTAAACAATGTTAGCATAATTAAAGTCCAGCACTTTTCACATACCAAGCCTTCCATAGTCTCCCTCCCCCCATGTATACAGCTCCCCATCCTCCGTGACAGCAGCACTGTGTCTGTAGCCAGCTGACACACACTTCACCACCTGCAGCACAAACACCATTTGATATTCTGACATGATGGCTGTGACATATCATGTTCGTAGTGCCTAATATAAAAGATGTAAAATAAATTAATTTTAGGATAAACTGTATATTTATATACTTATCCTATCCTACGCTATGCATTTATTCTTTCGATCCTATGTGGCAATGTGCTTGAATAAAGTTTCCACCTTCTAAAAAACAATTCACCCGAACACACCCCAGCATCACTATGGTCACCACCCAAACTGGGTCACGCATGACTCTTGTACCACTCAATGAACATGTGATCACGCCAGGTACCTCATTCTCTTTCTAGAGCCAACAGGCTAGAGAAGCTGTGATGTGGGGATGGTAGGACGGACAAAAAATGGGTGAGATAGGATGCATATAAATATACAATTGTACAGTGTATGACTTAAAAATGATTTGGAACGACTCCAGCCAATCGATTCAAGAAAACAGGAGACATTTCTGTCTCCTGTGGTTAATAGAGTGCACCTCCTCAGCATCTCTTTTATTGCATCATTGCATACGATCAGCAATATTCACAAAAGGGATCTTTGAACCAATACCTGTCAACACATGTACCTGGCAGAGGTGAAAGGAATAACAGCTACGCCTTGCAGCAACTTGCTGGATGAATACCGAAATTTCTACAGATGAGCAAATCCACCCTCCAACTGGATGCTCAATCTGGTCATCCAAGAAGCTTCTTCTTTGCAAATCTTTGACCATTGATCCAGAAGAACAAACATCTTGCCCAGGTGGGTGTTGAAGGGGGCACCGACAAACTGGAATCGTTGAGTAGGAGTTGTCTCAGACTTGCCAATGTTGACAAGTCAACCGAGATGATGGAGAAGACATTGTGTGAGATGTTGAAGACGGATGTCTGGATCTTCGTCAGTCAGAATGCTATCGTCGCTGTAGGATTTGAACACTATTCTCTGAACGTGTAGGACCTTCATGATGGGCCTGGTGAGGCGGATAAAAAGCAACGGGGGTGAAGAAAATCCAAACGGGAGCATCTTCCATTGGTAGTGGTGGCCTTGGAAAATGAACTGAAGGAAATGGTGGTGGTCCTGATGGACAGGAATGTGCAGGTATGCGTCCTGTTAATCTAGGCTGGCCAGGAAATCGCCAGGACGAATGAGTGTATGAAGGAGTGCGATCCAAGTCATAAGGAAATGTGGCCGTTCTTCCAGGTAGATCGTGTTGAAGGTGCACGGCAATCGGACCGAGACATTCAAAGGCTCTTCCAGAATTGTTAGCTGGCCGGATACACTCATTGAGGAGGCTGGAAGTCATTGATGGTGTGCCAATCATTGGCAGACAATATCCGTTAAGGAGCATCGTCATGATGAAGGGGTTGTTGAGGATGACCCAGTTTCTGCCGAACAACCCCAATCTTCTTTTAGGTGATTGTCCTTCTGCACATGCAGAGCAATCTCCTGTATGCGGTTGTCAAATAAACATTGAGAAGAACAGGGTAGCTGATACAACTGAGCCTTGAACTGATCATCCCAAGAGCATTGCTGGGGTATTGCTCTGCAGCCATGACCGATCCAGCATGGAAATCGTGGCAGACAGATGACAGAAGATGGTTTCTTGACAACAAGTGATGAAATGTTTGGAGTTGAAGGCTTCAAATTCTTTTGTCAGAATCATGAGTCATGGTTGGATTTCCTGGCGACGACATTTCTGGAGATAAACCAAAAAGGCTTATCTGGAAGAAGGCTTTACTCGGATCAATGAGAAAATGGGCTGCACTTCCCATGACAGTCACAACACCACAGGTGTGGGTCAGATGTCGAAAAGTACAGCAGCAGTGAAGGTAAGTCGGGTGCTATTTTTCTTTCTTCCCCATCTTCAACTAGATGAGGGTAAACACGGGTTACACAAAGCCAGTAGAAAAAAGCGCACAGGAAACAAAACAAATTCTCTCTGTAGACAAACACAACTTCACACAGAGGCGATGCGAAAGAGAAAGATGTGGCAGAGATAGACAGGTGATCAGGTGATGTAAGGTCGCTGTGCACGGGATTACTTACTTGGCCTAAGTGTTCAGGTGCAATATTTTTTAGAAGCTGGAAACTTTGTCCAAGCATGTTTCCACATAGGATCGAGGAAGAAAAAAGAAAAGCATGGTGTGAGATAGGATAAGTTTAAATATTGAACTCATTTGTGGATGAGCTCAGCTTTGAAATATCTATATCAAGGAAGTTTCCTCATCAATTTAAGATCATATACCTTTCCAGTCAACGGTCCTTGCACAATTTTGGGACTCTTCTGTGTAGAATTGTTTCCATTGCCAAGCTTTCCATAATCACCTGGCAGTTGAGAAACATAGCATCAACACTTGGGGAATATGTAGAGCTTTCAAGTCTTATAATCGTTAGTACTGATTGAACTGGGTGAGAATTTAATCAATCATTTTTTACTTTCCCATTTGCAAAACAAATACAGTTAAGCTGTTATTCTGAAATGGTTGTTTGCATATGATTATGTTGGATTAATAAGTACTGTGGTACATTACGTGTAGAGCTACAAAAAACTGCCTAATTTGAGTGAGTGAGTGAGTTGGGTTTTATGCCGCTTTTAGCAATATTCTAGCAATAATATTACAGCAGGGTACACCATAAATGGGCTTCATACATTGTACCCATGTTGGGAATAGAACCCAGTGACGAGTGAACACTTTAATCACCAACCCCTAATATGTGTATATATGTATATTACCAGGATCATTTTCAAAGAAAGTTTGTAGCCTTACATCAATGTAGTGAACACTATACTAACACACATGTTATCTTACAGTATTTGATAATCTTCCTATCATATGATCATGTGATAATCTTCCATATGAACTAAGCATATGCACTCAGGATAATCATTTCTAAGAGTGTGCACTAACCGTCTCCCCAGCTAAACACTTCCCCTTCAACAGACAGAGCAAGTGTGTGACCATCAGATCCTTTGGAGGAGGAGATTTTCTTCATCCTTCTCTTTGGCTCAAAGCTGAGTTTCTTGGGCTGGGCCTGGTTGTTTGAATCGCCCAGTCCGAGCCTGCCATAGCTTCCTTTCCCACAAGCACTCACTGACCCATCATTGTGGATCAAAAATGTACAAAACTGTCCAGCTTCAATCTACAGAAAAAAATTATTCTTACTTCAACCAAAGAGTTTTGACATGAGTTCTCTTACATACTAACTTGTTTGATTTTTCTTTAATGACATCACATCAATTTTCACACATTAAAAATTAAAATCTGATTTGTACAGAGCACATACAAAAACACTGTAAACATTGATTCCTTTAAAAACATTCCCATGGCCCTCTCAATGCTGAAGAGATGAACACTTAAAATCTGTGACATAATATGATTACTTTCTTGAAAGATAAAGTATCAGAAAATGTTTTGAAAAGTCTTGGAATGCTTTCTCAATTCAATTAAGTAAAAATATATCTAAATTTTAACATATCTAAATGCACAAATTTGCAAAGCTTTCAAATTCATATGAGGTTAAATTCAGAAAACATGTCTACCTGCTGACAGTTACTGAAGGAGGACGCCTGCTTTGGTGTGAGTATCTTCTCCTGACTGCCCTCAGCCAGCTGGTGACTACTGTTGCTGCCCCACACATACACATCACATGGCTGGGGAGAGATGGTGGATCCAGACAGGACATTGTTGGCAGGACTGTTCCTATTTTCATCAGGTCCAGCACTGCTGTTGGCATATTCCTCTGCTAGTTGTTGCAACTATAACACCATTCAATAATGCTGTAAACATTGCACCAATGCGTAAATTCTAGAGAATATTGTGCAACATCTTCGAAGACAAATACAGTTCTCATATAATATAATTAATTGTGGGGTTCTTATCATGCTGATTAAAGTGCAAAAAAGGTATGTAATTCATGTTGAGGAGATATCTTCCAATATTAAACAATGTTAAAGAGATCGAATAAAAACCCAATCCAGTTATATGTAGCAAATCTGAGTCAGTTAATAAAACTGTGCTATAGACGTCTTTTTTTTAAAAAAAAGTGTTCATACTCATGTAATTCCAGTGTTTTGGAATGAAAAAAATAGAAGCCTCATGAAACTTAAGTACTTTTCCAGGCCTTTGTAAACTCATTACAGAATACATCGTTTATAAAGAAGCCTCAGATTACCTCCTCCAGTAATAAAAGACCAGCTTCATACATAGCAGTGAGGCCTGCTTCATCTCGATCAGGCTTTGTTTTCCGTTCAAAATTTGTTGGACCTCCCTAAAATATGTGAAAGGTGATGATGACAATGATGACAATAATGATGATTAAATTAAATTTCAACAATAGCATGTTCATATGTATAGCATAAAAAGTATGAACTTTACAGTATATCTATAAACAGAGAGAGAAAACACTTATCATGATCATGATCATTAACAATAACAAGCCTATACACAGAACATGCTAAATCATATAAATAGAGTACTTCCAAAACAAATATATTTACAAGCCCTTTGGCTAAATAAAAAATTGATACCTAACACTTATTCCGTTCATAGCTACAAGATAATGAAAGTAAAATGAAACTTGGTTGAAAGAAATCACAGTGTTTTCAACCTGTACAATAATATTCACATGAACACAAACATATTAGAAATCACAGTAATTAGTTAAAATGTAAAGAAACATAACAACATACAGCTGAATTCTTCATCTGTTGAAGGGTTGTTTCAAAGAATGTCCAAGAAATCAGGCCATGTTTGCCCTGGTTCCCTCGCTTCTGCTCAATTTGAGCTGCAGATGACACCTGAAGAGCCAGTTCAATCCATTCCAAGAGATACCGAAGTGAGCCCCTTTGAGCAGCTAACAATAGCATTAACTCGGATGCAAGTCGCTGACCACAGTTATCTGCCCCTGAGGAGGGACTGGCAGCAGAACATAGAAATTTAGTCACTTGATTCAGGGAGTCAACACCTAAAGGAGTCAGTTTTGTCTCATTTGCTAGTGACAAGGGCGGAAGTGATGTTACAATGTCTACTGCTGTTTGAAGGACGTCATTACAAAATGAAAGCTGACCAGACTGCCCTGCTAGATTCCAGTTCTGTCTCAAAAGTGAAAATAACAAGCTAAGACCAGTTTTCACTCCCATTTCAATAAGAGCTTCATTACCTGTCACAAACCTCAGTGATGGATTTCTGGATTCATTGCAGTTCTGGTCTCCAGAATCAGTTTGTTTACAAGGTTTTAGCCCTTGTCTATCATGATATTTACTGGAAACTGCATGATATACTCTCTGTAGTATGACAAGTCGCTGTTGAAGTTTCTGTGCAAATGGCGTGTTACTACAAACAACTTCAGCTAAAAAAAGCTGACTTGATCGAAGCGTATTCAACAAATGTTCCTGTTCGTCCAGAGAATATGCATCTCGCTCAAAATCAGGAAGTGTAGGTCCCCTTAGGTGTATGGCTTGTTGTGAAACTGGCTGAACTTCTTTGTTTGATTCCAACCTATTGTAAAGTTCTCTTAAACCATCTTCTGTTGTTATAGATTCACAATCCTCTGACACCCAACTGGAGTTAAAGTGTTCAATCCACTTTACTTTGATTTGCTGTGTAGCAGACATGTTCAGGCATGTGATAAACCACCTGGGAATAGAAATTATCAAAGAAATATTTGAATGTGTTGCAACATGTGCAAAAGACAGGGATTCATAGTACTTAACTATGACAGTCACATATTAGCGATATTACCACACTAACTTATCATATCATATTAAAAAAACTTAAAACTATTATAAAATGTTACTTTCCACTATCATGTTTTTCGGGGGCACGGGTGGCCCAGTCGTCTAAGGCGCTGTGATTCGCTGTGCAGAGTTGCGTCCCTTGGGCACGCCAGAAACCTATGATTGTTGGTTCGAATCCTGGTTCGCCCCGATTATGTTTCTAGGTTTGTCAGCACCATACCCGTGCTCGTGGGTTTCACCGGAGTGGTAAACGTCTGAGACCTGCATCACTTGGGGCTTTCCTCCCACATTAAGCTGACACGGCGTGATATAACTGGAATACTGTTAAAAGCGGCGTTAAACCCAACTCACTCACTCACTCACTATCATTTTTTTCATCAGACAACTTTATTGAGCATGTTGAGAAAACAGAACTTACCCAGTGGATATATGGTGTTCATATCTCTAATCAACATGATCAACGAGGAAATAATTCATGAGAAATTGTATAACACAGCAGCAGAATTGACAATAAGAATAATCTGCTATGAATGTCATCCAAAGAATGATTTACGAATTTCATGACCCTTACAATGTTTATCAAGTTGTGAATCGTGCAATCAGTGCTCTTGCAGTCTTTGATTTGTTTCCTTTGTATGTACAAACATTTCCTCCCTCAAAATAAGCATGGACACCATGTTTACACACAAACCACAATGTATGTCATCAAAATGTAAAAACTGTTCCGAATCATTGCTTTGAAAGTTGCTTTATCCACCTTGCGTATTACTTTACATTAATGTAATATCTTCAGCTTAGTTGTGTGGGATCATATATATATTGAAATGAATGTTCTTTGGTTGCTGCAAAACAGATTACATGCAAAAACAAAATATATGGCACCAGAGTTTGTAATAAACAAAAGACCGCACATGTGTCTCACTGTACCTACGTAGTATTCGTCCTTGACACTATTACAGGATATATCTTAACATTATTCCATATCTCAGTCAGCTGTCATGCTGAAGCGTCTGCACTGCAGTAAATATAACGTACGCATGCGCAAAGACGTTTATCCGGCGGAAGCAAGTGCCCACACGTGTGTTTGTTTTTATTCCGGTTTTGTGATCGATAACTGCATTTGACAGGTACGTGATTTGGCAACATGTTATTGCCATTGTAGAAGGGCACGAGACAAACACACGCTACGGGTGTGACACGTTTTATTTCGCCAATGGAAGATCATATATTTTCCACCCTGAAACATAATAAATTTAAAGGAATATAAGAAATAATCTACATCCAGTCATCGACATCACAGTAGTGCAAACCGTTTTACATTACAAACAGATCTTACTCTTCTGTTAGGTGTTATTGTGTACAGTATTATGGCAATTGATGTAAGAGACAAATAGATGATATAATATATGGATTATTATTCTAAGTGTAAACACATTATGAATCTCTTACAAAATACATAGATGCACATACATTTATGGGTGTGACTAGGGCTGGGACGAGTACTACCCGGGTACCCACCTTCCTATTATCCGACCCTACCTGGGTACCCACTGTAGGTCTCAAGAGATAGGTACAAAATGTCCGATTGGGCATTTCTTTACCTTAGCACTGGCAAAACATATTTAGATACATGCATTAAACAATCTGGTCATGCAAAACACTGAAGTTGACCAAAGATATTCAAAGATATGAAAAGTCAGAAGGAATGGGTGCATAGTCATAAAGAAATGTGAACATTTGTGACTTGTAGTGTAACCATAGAGTTCTAGATACTTTTTGTCATTTAAACAATATATCACGTGACTAACCACAAGTCTTGGTAGGCCTGTGGGTACCCGGGTCAATACCAATACTCAATACCCACCCGACCCGGGTACCCAAGTTACCCGTCCCAGCCCTAGGTGTGACACCCTTAATGTGTTGCACAAATATAAAAACAGACTTTTCATGTAATAGTGTATCTACCCTGTGGGTGAGACTGGGGTGTCTTCCCGACCACAGTGCTGCAACTTATTATTCTGGATATCTGAATAAAACATATATACTTTTATAACAATGACTAATACAACTACAGTGGTCCCTCGCTACAACGCTACCAACGGGGTCCAAATAATTGGTAGGCGTTATCGACGATGAGCCGTTTAACCGAGGCCGAGGCGGGGGAGCGCTCTCGGCAAATCTCACGATCTTTTCCTTTTCTCGCACATTGCAATGATACAAGTTGTTTACTGTTCATAGTGTTGTGTTGTGACAGCAACTACATGTGAGTTGACAGTGTCGCCTCAAATTGGATTGCCCACTAATTAAGAATATGAACTTCGCTTGTGGTTCTCTTTTATTGCATGCATGCGCTTCTAAGATCAAAGGATGTATAGTGTGAAAAGTTAACTAGTTGAACAATCGTATTTCCGGGACTTGCCGCGGATGTTTTCAAACAGATTATTAGAACTCCATTCAGCGATAAACGGTTGATTATGCAATGAGAAGCGTTATGTGCAAATGAACAACGAACAACAATACAATCATGTCTGTGTAAAACTCTCAGTATTAAAAGTGTACATAAATTTTGGGAGCCATGCGTTACCGCACGTAGTAACCGAGGTAGTGCTTTATCGAAGAGCACAATAGCGAGGGATCACTGTATGCTGTTTACATAAACTTTAAAATATCAATAATAGCTAAGCTTAACAAAAAACGAACCAAACTAAACACATGAAATCACAAAAGAACCTGTATAGCGACATAGACTATGTTGGTACCAACAGGATACTGAAAAGTAGGTGACAAAGAAGTCTACTTTGATACAGAACTTAGCACATGATATGATACAAAATGTGACGTACACAGTATACAGAACTTAACTGAACTGGCGTCAGGTACAAAGAATATTTAAAGTCAAATGCTAGGTAGCAAGGATGTTATATTTATACAATGAAAAAATACATGATGGGGACTCGTGATAATGTCCAGGACTTGAATTGAATGTAGCAATAGCCAATACGGGAAATGTCACAGTAAACACAATCAACAGCACAAGTGTCACGTGACAGTATCCAAGGTCACACAAAAGTCACTTCCAAGAAACCATCTATAGTAAATGTTGCTGGCGGTCTATGTCATTCCTCTATGGCAGTAGTCCTCACTGGGGCTCCATTTGTAGGAGGGCAGCACACGCTAGCAAGCACTCCTTCTTCTATGAGAGAACTGAAACTGAGTTTGCTCGTGCGGACAAGTCTTGTTTGGTAACTGCTGTAAGCATGGTAAGAGTGATAGATAGTGACACACTCAGCGTTCCCGTTTACCGGTAATTACCATTTTTTTACCTATAAAATTAGGCTTGGACCGGTAATTCATAAGTACCTTACAATCTTTGTTGTTGAACAAAACATTGGTGATATTCATTTTAGTACATTTTCCGAACAAAGTCAGCCTGTCTGTTACCACCATTTACAGCAACTTCGCCTTGAAATATCAAAAAAAAAGAGAAAAAATTGTGACTGAAGTTTGTGTGAATGACGTATAGATCTAACTAAGTTACTTCCGAGATGACATCTTTGCAATGAGTGAGTGAGCTGGGTTTAACGCCGCTTTTAACAGTATTCCAGTTATATCGCGGCGTCTTTGCAATGAACATGATATTGAAAGAATTAAAACCTAATAATTTTCATGCATACTGTTATTTGTTGAAAGTTGGTACTGGCAAAAATTAGGAGTACTGGTAATTTTTAGAGTTGCCAGCCCACAATGACTGGCCAGTGGGAACAGTGCACACTAGACGCTCACAGTGATATAGAGCAATCTTATTGATTTGTTTACCATTGTCATGATTTCTTAAATTTGGAAATGTATTTTGTAGTCTGCAATAAGGAAGTTGTGTTTGATACCGTTGACTAAGATGAGAAAATCTTTGACTATACAATAACACATGTTTACCAGTTTCAGGTACCCCTGACCCGTCTCATACAGGTTTAGAATGAGACATATGTTGTACCTGTCTCAGTTGGCAATTGCAAGATACAGGCCAGGAACATCTCTCGTACCAGGCAGTGTTCCGGAACCATTGTGGCACAACCAACTTGTTTGGAGGTCCTTTTCAGATTCCAGCCAGCAGCTGCCAGTCCTCACCTTGTACACCAAGCACCCCTGTCCTCTCTGTGATGATGCCAAGGAAGAACTGAAACCATTATCTCATAAGGTTTGGACTTGTTAAGATTCTGATCACTCTTCTCAATTGGAGCACGGTGGGCCTGTTGTCCAAGGCACTGCAATTCTCTGTGCAAAGTTGCATGTCTTGGGCATGCCACAATGTTTTGATCTACAGTTCAACTCCCTGTTCTCCCTGATTATGTTTCTAGGTTTGTCAGCATCATACCCATGCTCGTTGGTTTCACCAAAGTGGTAAATGTCTAAGACCTGCATCACTTCGTGCTATCCTCCCACAGGAACTCGTTATTGGTCAGTAAATAAAATCTCGAATCTACTTTCGCTCCACTGTCGCATCATTTTCCAGCTTACGAAATAAAATTTTGATATTTCGGTAAGGGACATCAATCAAATTTAGATGGCTTGTACATGTGTAGAAATGAGTTGTTTATTGATCTACGGTCAGAAATGTGTTTGCCAGTAAGCGTTTCATAATCAAATCGATCTGGACATTGATGTAAACAAAACCAGCAAGATGGCGAGTGACGCTCCTTTTCTCTACTTATATATTGGGGGTATATAGAGAATCTCACCCGAGCGTCTTTTGATATAAAATATATCAACACAAGTTGATAAAAGTGGAAAAATTCTGAGGCTTGTCAAGGAGTTTTTTCTACTTCTATCAATGAGTGTTGATATATTTAATATCAAAAGACACGAGGGTGAGATTTTATTTATCATCCAACTTTTTCAGTTTGTAGACAGTAATAAGCATTGTCTTAAGTGTAAAAAGTACTGCTTATAGCTTCAGTAGCTGAGCTATTAGTGATGTCATTTGATTGTAACATCATAGTAACCAATGATGTTACAATGGTCTGCAAAGAATTGTGATGCAATTTCATTACAGTGATATCTACAGTGTAGATATCGCTTGATCTCACCCAAGCGATATCTCCTGTGGGAGTCAGTTTTGGATGATAAACCTTATTATTTATTGACCAATAAGTTCCTGTGTTTTCTCTGACATCAAGCTGACACGTCATGATATAACTGGAATACTATTTAAAGTGGCTCTCCTTACTCTCCTTACTCAATTTGCTAATATAGCGTAATGACAATAAGCCTTTTGCCCATGTACAATGATGTGTTAGATGTCAAGAGTTTGATTTCACATGTAAAGTTAATAGGTTCTGTTTCAGTTTCCGTTTATGATGTGTTATTAGCATGTTATGGTTGTTAACCCTTGGATTAATGTTTTTTGGACATAATTGTTTTAATGCACTGGTTAGTAATGCTCAATGATGAATGTCCTGTTTTCCCATGTGTGTATTTACATAAGCCTTTCAAGTACAAGTTCATTTTCTTTGCAGTTTACACTGAAGGAAGTTGATATCACAGACCCGTCTAATAAGGAGTGGTTCAACAAGTATCGCTATGACATCCCAGTGTTTCATTTTGAAGGAGAGTTTCTCATGAAACACAAGGCTGATGTCAATGCTTTGCAAAATGCATTGGATAAATTCAAGAAGAAAACAATTTCATGACAACAGTGTCTTGTAGGAAAAGATATGCATATGGAATTCTTTCTTGACTGGGGTGTGCATGAGCTTGTGTGTCTGTTTCAGTTTCCTTGATCTCAATGTCTATAATTATGTATTTTGATTTTCTTACATATCAGGGGGCACGGGTGGCCCAGTCGTCTAAGGCGCCGCAATTCGCTGTCCCTTGGGCACGCCAGAAACCTATGATTGTGGGTTCGAATCCCGGTTCGCCCCGATTATGTTTCTAGGTTTGTCAGCACCATACCCGTGCTCGTGGGTTTTACCGAAGCGGTAAACATCCAAAACCTGCATCACTTGGGGCTTTCCTCCCACATTAAGCTGACACGCCGTGATATGACTGGAATACTGTTAAAAGCGGCGTTAAACACAACTCACTCACTCACTCACTCTTACATATCAGTGGTGAGAAACCCATTTGCCATAACTGGGATCGAATTCCAGGTCCATGATTGGCTACTCCATGGAGATGACCCAAGGTCAGATTATGACGGACTCATGCTTCAATCAGAATTACCTTTGTCTGTGTTGAAACTATTTCGTTTCAGAGTGTGTAATAAATGTTCTTTGAAGTTATCTATCCACAGTCTTTGTGATTGGTCATACAAGGAATAGGTTACTGGATGACATCATTCTTGACCGTTATGTATACTCACTGCCAAAAGAAAAGTGAACCATAAAAACACTTAGAGATGTTTGTACGTTAAGAAGAGATGTTTCCAATGTGTATCACTTAATGACAAAACTAACAATCAGTCAAGTGTTACCAAAGATTGTTTTTATTCTTATTACGACATGCTGCACATGATTTCCAAACTTTACATGCTAATCATGCATGGTGCATCTCGAGTCATGGATCTATGTCACTTGTGATGCATTCACGGGAGTCGGTTCTCACAACATCACAGTATGTTCGTTTGTGTGTCAAACCAATATAATATCTCTTGAGGTGAGGTGAGGTGAGGTGATATGGGGTTTAACGTCACGTCCCAGATTATTGCACTTATATAGCATGCGTGTGTGTGTGGCTGCTTGTACTAGTCCTGACTAATGCCGATTACCGGTAATAGTGATAGCCCACAGAGATACCATGCTGCAGTTTGACATGATTACCCCACTCAGACACAGTATACTGACTCCGAGCCGACCAAGTCCTTGTTTTAGTCCCTTAATGCCGAGCACCAGAGAGGGTAACAACAAGTACCATCTTTTAACGTCTTTTGGTATGACACGGCTGGAGACCGAACATCGGACCTTCCGCTCTCTGGGCGGACACTCTACCATAGAGGCAGTCTAATATCTCTTAAATATGAGTAAAAACATATATTGACAAAAACGTATGGTATTCGCGTTTCTTTTGGCAGTGCAATTTTTGGGTGTGCCTGTCAACTTGTAAGGTAGTAATCTGTGTCGCACAGGCATGGTTAAGATTTTCTGTACAGTTTGCCCCTAATATACCTGAGGTGAGGTGAAATGGGTTTAACGTCGCGTCCAAGATTATTGCACTTATATAGCGACGTGCATGCACGTGTGTGTGTGTGTGGTTGCTTGTACTAGTCCGGACTGATGCCGATTTATAGTGCTAGCTCACTGAGATACCATGCCGCAGTTTAACATGAATACCCCACTCAGACACAGTATACTGACTCCGAGCCGACCAGTCCTTGTTTTCGCCCCTTAATGCCGAGCGCCAGACAGGGTAACAACAAGTACCATCTTTTAACGTCTTTTGGTATGACGCGGCCGGGGATCAAACCCCGGACCTTCCGCTCTCCGGGCGCACGCTTTACCACAAGACCACGGAGGCGGCCTAATATACCTGAAGGGTTCGTTGTCGGCACACCTTATACTACTAAGTACCTGGGTACTTATGAGTACAATAAAATGTACCCACCTACTCTCAAGACTACCCCTACACTCTTAAATGTTTCCATTCTCATACAGGGGTCCGTGTGACCACCATCTAGTTGTCTAGGCCCAGTGCCAGCTACACGAGGCCTAGATCGTTATCTTTCACTTTCTTGCAGACTATAGATTATGAAGAGTCAGTAAAAACTCTTCTTTTACCAATGTTGTGAATGGTACCGGTGATGTAATCAAAATCTCATGAAAAGTTATTGCAGGGTACATTTACATGCACAGGGGTAGTTTTGATGATTGATTGTTTGTTTGTTGTTTAACGCCACACTCAGCAATATTCCACCTATATGACAGCGGTCTGTAAATAATTGAGTCTGGACCAGTGATTGACATCATGAGCATCGATCCACACAATTGGGATACGATAACATATGTCAACCAAGTCAGTGAGCCTGCCCACAGGATCCCGTTAGTTGCCTCTTATGATAAGCAAAGTCGCCTTTAAGTGCACTTAAAAGTACCCGAGTACATAGTATAAAGTGTTCCTGCAATGTGAAACAACAAGTATTTGGTGAATACCAGAATAGCAGCACTGATAATTCAAACAGGAAATAAAATAAGGCTCAACAAGTTTATTGTCTTTTTAACTGTGGATTTGAACAACAATTGTAAACATATGTTGAAACAAATACAAATTACACAGTTTTCAAGAGTATGTGAAACGATATATGTAAAAAAAAACGTATCACAGATTTAGAATGTTTATCAGGATTGCAAAACTGTATCACAGACTATGTTGCAGGAGGATACAATGTCAAGTTTAGCGTCCAAATTCGATGAGACTATAGATCCAGTAATGATGATGTGGACCTGTGGTGTCTGGAATGCGCAATGAAAAGAAACATCATCTTGTAAAAAGATGTGGAAATATGAAACTTGAAGAGATGACATTCCCTTACAACAGGCAGCCATCTCAACTGGACTTGTAACACTGTCAATCAACCAGACCTATGTACAACTTTCTACCAGGCTATACAAATGTGCACGTATATGCCACAAGTGAGAAAAATATGTTTAAATGGATTGTGAGAACGCTGCTACTGCATTTGCAGAAACAAATCGAATGAGAAAAGTAAATGTCCAAATATTTACAATCACAATGTATCACTGTTTATATGTTAATGAGTTGACAAGGTCTTAATATTACAACTCTCTCAATGTCAGACTTGGCTTAAGCATGGTAAAAACATAGTTATTTCGACAAATCAGGGTACAATTTGGAACATGCAACTGTCTTGTGATACATATAATTTCAATAACATTTTGGTGATTAATAAATATTTCATAATATATTTCTGCTCTTTGTTTCTGAGTGCACATAATGTACAATCAGTTTAACATTACCTAAACATAGGTCTCCTTGCCCAAAACAGCCATCATTTGTGAACTAGTAGCTCGTGTTATCATGATGGGGTTAGAACTACATTCCGATAAATCGGGTCCCCCCCACAAGATGGTGTGAGATACAGATGTACCAGTTGTGTCTAGTCCAGAGGGATGACTGTAAGCTTGGAGATTAACAGAGTATTTCAGAATAGGTTTCAACATAGCAGTGTTGTAGGACTTGGGAGTGTCCCGGGCGACTTCTCCCCCACACTGGGAGCTGCGAGGTGTGTTGGCACTGTGGGATATCTGTGTGTGTGCTGGAGACCTGGCATTGTTGTTGACATCACAGACAGTCTCCGTGTGCAACACTGCCTTTCCTTTGGTGGGAGACAGATAGATGATCTTGATAATCTGGTTCTTCTTTCGCCAGTCTGTCACAACTTGGACGTGGTGTTTAACAGCAACCTGAAATGGGCAAGTTGTAGATATTTAAGAAATAATATTCTATCACAATGTAGGCCTACATCTATGCACAATTTTATTTAGTACATGTGACTTCATGTTTACACTGACAGCCATACAACAACCAGCTGTATCGCGGAATAAAATAGTTCCACAAACAGAGAGGTGACATGATCGTATGTATACACAACGCATGTATTCAAATAATATCACCATTAGATGAGAAAGATCTGTTAAGAACTACCTCAGTAAGTTGGTCACAATGACAGCTTGTCACAATACATGTACATCAAGTACAACACATCAAAATGGCCGACATGAGAAACGTGACGGGAGAGATTTCGGAAGTTGTTTATGAACCTGTGGCAGTTACATGTTTTAATCATCATTGATCAATTGGCCGATCATTGAAAGGTGTTAAAGATGTGTCAAATAAGCTCTTAGGTCACCTCATATACTGCTGTAGACTGCCATTGTCAGTCTAGACACGGATCGAGTTGATACTGCGATAGTTTGGATGTGCATTTCTTCGTTTTGTTCATTAGGTTTCATTAGCGAGGATATTCGTGAATGATCATGCAGTCAAACTCACAGACGTTTCTCAATGTAAACTAAAACGTTGAGTTCAAGTCTAAATGATCAAAAAGTATGTATTCGCGCTAGGGAATTCCCAGGGGTTCCTCTTTAGTAATGTGGAAGTAGTCCGTCAGTGTTTATGTCATTTCAAGAACACGGTCTCATGAAAAACTTAAAAACGTCCAATTGTGTCCTTCATACACTTATGAACGTCAATTTCGCAGTATTGTGACCTCTTGTCACGTGGAAAAGTCGGGTATTGTGTAAACTTCACATTAACTTCACAAAACAAAACCTTATTAAGAGAAAATTGTACTGCTGCTGAAATTTATTCAGTGAAGTAGTCTGTTATATGTAGTGAAGATGTGAAATAAATAGCTTTTTTCCCAACAAAAGCCAACTACAGTGATATTGTGAAACTTTGTTCTTCCTCCCTTTGTGTTGGTTTTGGGCAAAATATCCAACATCAGGCCCATTTGAACTTTGGTGCTGATACCCTGTCAAACTTTATCTGTGTATTTATATTAGTTGATATCTCCAGTACGAGCTGCTGTAGCCAAGGCTATGAGAAAGACAATATGTTGGGTAAAAAACTGCAAGTCTGCTGGTTTATTGGTATGACTACCCCAAGAAGCTGAAGTGATTCTACTTCTTCTCTCTTCGAGTCTGAAGCTTGTCATCATGGCTATCATCTCTGTGCTGATCTTCCTGGACCTGAATGGTGGAAGCTCAATGACTGGGTTTCCTGTGAGTTTTTTAGTTCTTGGAACCACAGTCTCTTGGGCACTAACAAAAGCAGTTGGATCTTCTCATCTCCTGCAGCTTTTGCAGTGGGTGGCTTTTGGGTGGCAATGCTAGAGATGGAAAGGGGTATGCATGGAGATCACTTCCAAGAAGTCTAGTTGATGTGCAGTCTTGCCTGACCTTCTGACCACACATCTGAAACTGAGAGGTGGCCGGCCCTTGTGAGCACCCTCCCCTGTCACAGATGTTCAACAGGTATCGTCCACCATGTCAGGCAGGTCTGTCTGGCCATGGGAATATCAGGTTTGCAGAGGTTGAAGCTGAAGGTGTCCTCCCCTTGTTGCATCCTGTGTCGACATAATAAATCCGAGCAGGCACTGACAGTAATGGAGAGAAATATCCTGAGAGCCTCCTGGATTAACAATTGTATCTTCTGCTGTCTGTCCACTAGAGGCAGTAGGAGGCCCTTGCCAGTGTTGAACAGGCCTATGAACAGGAGCAAGAGATTGGATCAGGTCAGATTTCGCCAGGTTGAGCAAACATCCAAGGACTGATGTGTTGGTCTAGAACCTGGTGATCTTGCTCGTTGAAGACACAATTGTCTATCTTGCATGTCCAGGGTTGCAATGAAATCCACAGAGCAGATAGTTTGATCTAGGGACAACACTCTTAGGTATGTTGAAGGCCGTGGTAAGGGTTGGGTGAAGACTTGAAGGTCATGAATCATGTGCATCTTATTGGAATTCTTCTAATATACCATACCCATAAGATGCCAATTTTGTAATAATGTGACAATATGCAACAAGGATGTCCCATGTACAGGTTCTCAAACACGAGTCCAAAAATTTGAATTTGTTGAAGCTCGGCTGCTCTGCCCTGCTTCTTGAGGTTAGGTTGCTCCAATCCGAGGATGTCCGCCACCCCAATTAAGTGGTCCTCTTGATCCAGAAGTACCAAATCCTTCTCTTCTCCGGTTCGGACTTGTCATCCAAAATGGCAGTGGAAGTGGAAGGTGGTGACATTACCGGTGATAATGGAGCAGCTGGTGGTGTGGAGGGAACTGTGGTGACTATTTATAACAACCATAGTAGCCTAGCCTCTGGTGATAGGGTGGAGGAGGATGGTGATACAGATCATCATATGTGACGTTAAACCCTTGTATTATTTAGCTGCCCCTCATTCATTCAATACAAACACATGTGTTAACAAGTGTATAGTCGACAAAGTCATCTATATCCCCTGTCATTTTAACACGTTATGGTCCAAAACCAGGTAACTGACCCAACATTTCTCTTAGGCCTTGTCAAAATAGCTGCAATGGAAATTCTAAAATAAACATTTATAAAACTCCTTAATAGCAAAAGGCACCAGTTCAGTATGTGCCTAGTAGACATGCAAAGTTTTGTAAGAAAGTATTTAACAGTTTTTGAGTTATGCTCCGGAAACGAACACCACCCTTATAGAACCTAAGTACAACTTGTTGCCATGGAAACGTAAAACATAAAAATTTATAAAACTCCTAAATAGCAAAAGGCACCAGTTCAGTATGTGTCTGGTAAACATGCAAAGTTTTGTAAGAAATTATTTAACGGTTTTTGAGTTATGCTCCGGAAACGAACAGCACCCTTATAGAACCTAAGTCCAACTTGTTGCCATGGAAACGTAAAAAATAAAAATTAATAACATTTCTAAATAGCAAAAGGCACCAGTTCAGCATGAGTCTGATAGACATGCAAAGTTTCGTAGAGAAATATTTCTGAGTTATGCTCCAGAAACGATTTCGGGACGCACACACGCACGGAACCCATTTCTATATCCCCCGCCAACTTCGTTAGGGCGGGGGATAATTAACCGTCATTACATAATGTGTTGATCATCAGCAAGGAATATCTGTATAACACGTTTTCCTAGAACACACGGTCAGGATCATGGACCCTGACAACAAGGGTATACCAAGGGCTCACTGTATTTGGTACAGAAGTAACTATTAGACATGATTGAAGGATGTGATGGCAAACATACTTACACAGCACCAGATAGTATAAACTGTGAGAAGACAGGCAGTCAGTGAGGCTAGACCAGGAACTTCCCACTTCCCACTCAACTGGGAGTAGTGATGTACCCCCATCAAACACAGAAAGGCACTGCACACAGTCAGTGGTGTGAGCACAATGAAGCACACTAAGTCACATGCTAGGTTCTTCCTATCTGATGCAGAGGCATTGTGTCGCAGAAACTGAAACCAAAGATTCATTCTGCTGAACTAAGAACATCTCATGACATCGGAGTCAATGAGGAATCAACACAGAAACCAGCGACTCAGTTGCAAGTTGACAGTTATCATCATGGTTATCCTTAACAGAAACTTTTATTCCAGATCATCAATGAAAATCAGCTAAAATGAAACATGTAACCCTGGAAATATTCCTGCAAATTATTAACAAAATGAGTGAGTTTACCTTCTCATCAGCAATATCTCTGTCATATAGTGAGGAATTATTATAAAAAGAAATGAATATCTAATGTTTGTTTTGTTTTGTTTGTTGTTTAACGCTGCACTCAGCAATATTCCAGCTATAAGACGGCGGTCTGTAAATAATCGAGTCTGAACCAGACAATCCAGTGATTGACATCATTAGCATCGATCCATGCAATAGGGATACGATGACATGCATCAACCAAGTCAGCAAGCCTGACTACCCAATCCCGTTTGTCGCCTCTTATGACAAGCATAGTCACTGTTTACGGAAAGCATGGGTTGATGAATACCTTTTCTGCCCGAGATCTTCATTGGTCTGAATATCTAATGTATCAAACACATATATATATTTACTGATCAAGCAGTGTATTGAACTATGATTTTCTGCTGGACCAGTGTATTTACTATCCCACCATAGGAGAAATAATGGTGCATCAAATGTCATAGTAAAAAGTAAACTTCAAACTTACTTCTATAATTGGTCTTGGTTTCCTTTCCACTTTGAACTCATATTTACATATCTCACATCTGGTTGTGTTAGAGGTACCCAGCCACCGTTCTAGGCAGGTCAAATGGAGAGCTCCCACGCTACCAGTACAATAGCAAGGAGAGACAAGTTCTTCACTGCTGTCTCCATCATGGCAGATGCGACACAATACAGAATCACTGGAACACAGAAATATTCAATGAGACACTACTTGTATCTACACTATGATAGGGGGGGGGGGGGGGGGGGGGGGGGGAGATATTTCAAAGTGTTAGTGAATAGAATATCAATAATTCCCAAAGAATTGGTCAATTGCTTCAATTGTCCAATAATACCTGTAAGCAGAGACCATACATGCACTCAGCAATATTCCAACTTTACGTCAGCAGGTCTGTAAATAATCGAGTCTGGACAAGACAATCTAGTGATTGACATCATGAGCATTGATCAATGCAATTGGGCTACGATGACATACATCAACCAAAAGGGAGATCACCTGATCCCGTTAATCTCATCTGACAACAAGCATGGGTTGCTGAAGACCAGTGCTAACCTGGATGTTCACAGGGCTATTGTGATGTCATGAAGTAATATACAACAGTGCCTGTATATGTAAATAGGTCATGTGTTTGAGGCAAAAATTGGAATTGTTAATATCATTTATTCGGTGCAATTACTAGAATTGTAAATTTGATTACAATTAGCTTTTCTTGCCCTCACATTATGGAATACAGCTTCATGTCATCACAAGTTTTGTTAATGCGACATCAAATTACAACCTTATAATAAATCATCATTCTACCTTGACTTGAGTAAGTACTTGATTCTCAGCTGTGAAAGAGTTGCAACTAAATTTGTTAATAAAATGGTCATGGTAGAATCAATCTCATTAAAATCAGATCTTATTTCTCGCTACCGCAAAACAAAGATCTGAGGACATCCCATTACGGGTCACGTCAGACCGACCCTGCTCGAACTTTGACCGACCAATGGAATAGCTGACAAGAAGTCATCATTAGCCAATCAGAAGGCAGCTTTCTTGTGCTTTACGGCACTAATTTCAAATTGGCGACAACGCTTTGAAACATATTTTGACAAGTTGTCGATAAGAAATAGGAAACCTGAACAAAAGAACATTCTGGAATGGCTAATTGATGGTCTAGACTGTATGGATTCAGTCGTTAAGCTATCGTTCAGAATACCCCGTGTTAAAGTTTTCGAGGTTGCATGATTAGAATCACATTCGGGCTGTCACTTTCATGATCTCGTAAGCAACGCTCTGAAAATTTGATTACAATTAGCTTTTCTTGCCCTCACATTATGGAATACAGCTTCATGTCATCACAAGTTTTGTTAATGCGACATCAAATTACAACCTTATAATAAATCATCATTCTACCTTGACTTGAGTAAGTACTTGATTCTCAGCTGTGAAAGAGTTGCAACTAAATTTGTTAATAAAATGGTCATGGTAGAATCAATCTCATTAAAATCAGATCTTATTTCTCGCTACCGCAAAACAAAGATCTGAGGACATCCCATTACGGGTCACGTCAGACCGACCCTGCTCGAACTTTGACCGACCAATGGAATAGCTGACAAGAAGTCATCATTAGCCAATCAGAAGGCAGCTTTCTTGTGCTTTACGGCACTAATTTCAAATTGGCGACAACGCTTTGAAACATATTTTGACAAGTTGTCGATAAGAAATAGGAAACCTGAACAAAAGAACATTCTGGAATGGCTAATTGATGGTCTAGACTGTATGGATTCAGTCGTTAAGCTATCGTTCAGAATACCCCGTGTTAAAGTTTTCGAGGTTGCATGATTAGAATCACATTCGGGCTGTCACTTTCATGATCTCGTAAGCAACGCTCTGAATGGTCGGATGAAAGGTCGTTTAGACGTGACCCCTAATTGGATGTCCTCAGATCTTTGTTTAGTGGTAGCGAGAACTAAGATCTGATTTTAATGAGATTGTGGTAGAATGGAGATACACCTACTTTGTTTTGAAATTCATGGTAAACAAATTTATACCAGCTCTAAATCTAACATTTAAATTAAATTTAGAGCTAGAATAAATCTGTAATACTACCTCTAATTTAAAAACACATATATATATATTACTTTCATTTTTTACAACTAGGAGTGTAATTAGGAGATAAACTTACTGTGTTTTTAAATTAGAGGTAGTATAACAGATTTATTCTAGCTCTAAATTTAATTTAAATGTTATATATATATATAACTGTGCCACTGAAAAAATGTTTGTTTATCCCTCATCCTGATTGTGTACCAAATACCTGACAATATTTTTGTACCAGGCAGCATCAAAATTGAAACCTGTTTGGATTCTAGGATAGAACTGGTCCCCAGCAACCTATGCTAGTCTCAAGAGGCAACTAAAGTGATTGGGTGGTCAGATTGGATGACTTAGTGTCTTGTGTGTTATTGTGTAGATCGTTGCTCATTATATTAGTAACTGGACTTTCTGGTCCAGACTTGTTTACTTATTATTTATTGATGTCAGTGTCATGAAGTTTGAATATCACTGAATGACGTGTAAAACTGACAAACAAACGCACATTTGAATTGCCTTGTCTACTCAAGGCCCATACAGTTTTGGCCACTTTTCTTCCAGTGTTTGAGCAAGTAGGCTTTAATGCCAATTTGAATACAATTTCAGTTACAACATAGCATTTAACTGGGACGAAATCCTGAAGTGATGCAGGTCTAAGACATTTACCCCATGGGTAAAAACGACAAACCTGTGTATGGTGCTTACAAAACAATTATCATAACTCGAACCCATGATCTGAGGATCCTAAGGTATGCGTAAGGCACACAACACTGCACAGCCAATTAAAGTGTCCCTTATACAACTGGGCCACATCTCTATAGAAGGGCTGCACAAGTTTCATATTAATGATTTCTTGTCACGAGATACACCATAATAATTTCAAGATTGGTTACAAAATCAACATGTCACCGAATTTATATTTTTTATTAACTCACTCGAGTATCATATCATTTAACGTGTTCGATACAAAGTATGTCAACATTCCTCGATTTTATAGCAGAACTCATACCCAGAAACTTTAATGTTTTGCTACCAGAACCAACTTTTGTTGATTTATTGGATAACAAAAAACTCTGGAAAGAGTCTCTATGTACCTTTCAATTGTATTGCATTGGGATGTTGACATGGCAATGATCTGATCTGGAGCTGGGGTGCTGGTCTGGTTGGGAACCTGGGGTGATGGAGGAAGACAGGCTATGCTTTTTGGTGTACTTGACTTTATTTTCAACATTTTGCTTCTTGATGCCAGCATCTCAGCCTCCTTCTTTCTCATTTCTTCATCGAGTGACATGAGGGACGCAGAGATGGCCGCACAGAAGCTTGGGGTTCTAGTTGGTGATTTACTTTTTTGTCTGTAAGAAACTGCACTACTTATACTCTCAGTGCTTGTTGCTGGTAGTACCTGGAACATCGATAGAAGACTGAAGTGCATATGAAAAGTTGAGTGTTTATTTATTTAGAAAGACATGCATACACGAAAAATTGAGCTGTCTGGGCACATTGGGTAAGAATTACTTTTCCAGTCTTATTTATACTTTTCGAGCCATCTTGTTATCTTGGATTGAGTTAGTAGCCTCAGTTCCCTATATTCAAGGTCTATCTTGGCAGCCTGTAAAAAAATTGGACCAGACAAACCACAGCGAATTTGCCAGAATATATAAAAGTTCCATGTGCAGAGCAACATTTCTAGATAAATTGTAGGAATTTCCTAGAATACATTCACTTTCATTTCTGTACTAAAGGTAACAGTTGTGAGTATGATAGAGTTTGCTTACATCAAGCTAAACTTCACGAATATCTTTACCAATGACAGACAACTTTGTGATTTATTTACAAGTTATTATTGATCCAATAAATAGAAACATAGTGCACTGGGAAATTTTGGAAACCATTGGTTGATATTATGGGCAACGTCCCACACAATCATGGTACAATGAGACACAAGTACAATCAACTAAGTCACGGAGCCCAACTTCAAAACTTCGATTTTAGTTGGCTCTTGTATTGCTAGAAGGGATAACTGTATGGGGATCTAGAATATTCTTCCAAAATGGTCATTATATAAGCTGGTATTTTATAAACATGTTAATGTCCTGATGAAAATGTTATTAGGCTAAGTGTCATTTATTCAAATAAGTGGTTGATTATGTTACGTATTTAGATCTAGTGAAACAACTTTCAGAGACATATTTTCCTGAATATCTACCTGAGAATGCATTTCCTGGAAAAGTCTTGTCGGCAGCATTTCGTTCGTGCCATCGCGGTCCTTTTCATGAGGTACTTTATCACTTGACCTTGACTCACTTGTTTCCTTTGGTAATTGAACATGGACTTCAAGTTGTTCTTGAACTTCCAAGTCGACTACCTGCTGTGGTGTGGCAGGTTTTTCTTGGAAACAAGTTTCAAACTGGCTCTCCAAGCTTCTCCTGGCTGTTTTCTTCTTTGGAACTTCAAGAAGTTCGCTTGCAGCATAGGCTTCGTCATTGTCGGGTTCGAAATAAATCGGTGACAAAGACATCTGCAAGTAGCTCGACTGATCGATCCAGGCAGCGTTCTCGACGTCTCCGTTTGATGTCAGCTGTGCGGAACTTCCGGTCACGTGCTAACAAATGTCGTGTAGTGGATAAAGTTTTACAAATGCTTATACAACTTGATTTTGGAATCATAGCATTTAATATTTGAAAATATATGTTACTCCACAATATATATGTTATTACATTCGCCTTGCCTAATATTCAAAGAAATTGGAGAAAAAATAGATCTAGTACATTTTTATAATAGTTATCCATTGATATTCCTTATTTCCTGAACGTGTCGCCTATATGGCAGAAAGTTATATGAGCGGTTTCATTCAAAACTGTTTTGTTTATTTATTTTGTTTTGTTGAACGCCGCACTCAGCAATAATTTCAGCCATATGACGGATGTGTGTAAATAATCGAGTTTGGACCAGTCAATCCAGTGATTAACATCATGAGCATGGATCCTCGCAATTTAGAGGGTGTCATCCCTAACCCTCTAGGGCATAGCACTTCATTTGTCTTACATGCTATGACATACAATCGATACCTGTTGGCAGACAAGGGTTACGACTATAAGTTTGTAAGCCCTGTAATAAATTACGGATGTCGCTATTCTAATTGAGCAACATTTTATCCAAATTTAAGCCCAGTGTTTAAAACGAAAAGGAAAAAAAGCGCGATAGGAAGAGCGAATGTCCCAAGTTATTGAAACAATACTCACAAATGGAAAGCCTGAGCTATACTTTCGGTTAACATAAAGCATATGATAGCTGTCAAGTAACAACAAACCAATTACGCAGTTATGTGTGTCAGCCTTATGCGTTTGAAATGTCGCAATGGGTATTCAGCAATGTTAGGGGTCAAAGTGTCTTGTAAATGTGGAAACAGCTAACTTCGCCTGAGGTGCAATATTGGTGCCAATTGGCCATACGTATAGGAGCGTACTTCAACGCATGTTGAAGAATACCCGGTTAGAGAGATCAATCAATTTAATTTAAGCCCATGGGCTTAAAAGCGTTTTTGTTTTTTTTTCGCTTTAAAGCTCGTGGACTAAATAACGTGAATCAATGATCATGCTATCAACGAATGGTTTGTCTGGTCCAGACTCGATTATTTAATATATCCTAGCTTGTGTCCCCCTGACTATAGTTAAATGTGTGTAAATATTTTTAAGACATTGGTTTTGATCTAATATTTCTGACAATTACAATGAAATGGATTATTGTGAGAATGCTCTTTGGAACGTAATAAAGTATACAAACCTTTTGTAAACACTCTTGTTATATCGTACTAATAATAGTGTATGAATGAAAATATAAATCAATACGTAATAACTGTTTAAAACTCTATTCAAATTTCGTGAAATGTATATATAAACTGTCGGGTAAAATATAGTATCAACTTGAAAACTGTATTGACAAACAAATTACAAACGTTATCCAAACAATTGCCGAAACACTGCAAACTTTACAGATTTTAAAGGCAGCCAAATCGTACGTACTTGTCAAAATTGACTTTCAGTAAAAGTGAATCCACCCATTGAACACTTACATGAAAGGTTACAGGAAGAAGAAAGTGAAACAGTCCATTATTTGCTGGAAGATCACTTCCAGTTACCTCGTGATGAATAAAAAATGTTCATCTTAATCCAGCAGAAGTGTTTTACAAAACCGATATTCTACACACGAAGGCTGTTTTAAAGTTTCCACTGGTCTGTCCTATGAGGATGAAAACCGTGTTAGGTCAGATATACAGTCGAACCTCGTTGTGTGGAACTCATGGGGACTTGGGCAAAAGTTCGAGTTATTCCATGTTCGAGACAACCAACAAAGTGATTTTTCGATTTGTACAATATTGTATAGACTAACATCTAGTCTCTGAAATGAACATATCGTACAGAAAAAAACAGTTGTTCAGTTATCTTAATAAAATATAATAAAAAGGGAGCCCAGTGATTCTCTTCATCCTGATACTGCAGTAATCTAGACTTGCCAAACATTATAGACTTGCATGGGCTGTATTTGATATTTATTTGTATCAGGGTCTGTAAGACAGACTAAATATTGTATTGCACATCATTTGATTCAGCTGAATGCGAAAAGCATAGAAGCGCTCGTAAAATCCTGCAGAAAAATAGTAATAACCAATGTCACTCATATTAAATATTACACTGCCAATACATGTTGATGTGTTACAATGTGATATACCATGAACATGATGGACAGTTTAACAAAATGAGATTGTGTACAAAGTACAAGTTGCACACGAAGAACCAAAACCAACCATATTTCACGATAATCACGTAACTTACACCCAAGTTTATAAACTTGCCCTTTTGAGATGGAGACCGCCTCCGTGATCTAGTGGATGAACCGCCTTCCCAGAGATCTAGTGGATGAACCGTCTTCCCAGAGATCTAGTGGATGAACCGTCTTCCCAGAGATCTAGTGGATGAACCGTCTTCCCAGAGATCTAGTGGATGAACCGTCTTCCCAGAGATCTAGTGGATGAACCTCTTCCTAGAGATCTAGTGGATGAACCGTCTTCCCAGAGATCTAGTGGATGAACCGTCTTCCCAGAGATCTAGTGGATGAACCGTCTTCCCAGAGAGCTGAAGGTCGGTGGATCCATTCCCGGCAGCGTCATACCAAGTGACGTTAACAGATGGTACTCGTTGTCACCCTGACTGGCGCTCGGCATTGGGCTCGTCGGACTGGTCGGCTCGGAGTCAGTATCCATGTTAACCTGCGGCATGGTATATATCAGTGAGCTAGTATAGTCTACAATCATTTGGATTTGATGTTTACCACTGTTTTGAAGGGGCAAAGTATAGCCTTAGACTCCACAATGCATTAGCCGTGCCTGGATCCGATTGTACTGGGTTCGAATCAATACTCACTCTCATTAAGATCCTTGGTCTGTCAGCATCATACCATCTTCCCGAGGCAAGGGAGTTGACTGACAATAAAACTCCAGTTTCCAGGGGGGGGATCGCACTTCCATTTGTGGATCGATGCTCATGATGTCAATAACTGGGTTGTCTGGTCCAGACTCGATTATTTACAGACACCCTTAGTATAGATGCAAGTTTTCGGCGTTAAGCAAGATGGTAGGGTGTACCAATGATGGTATCGTGCCACCAATAACTTTTCAGCACCACTTTCATCCAAAACATATTTGAGAAATAAACGACCAGGGCTGGTGGGGTTGTTTAATGGTACAATAAAACTCTGCGGAGAGAATAACTAACTAGAGTGCGTATCTTGTAAGCTGCGTCCCTCGCGGTTTATTCTTCACGGACGTCTGCTCGGGAAGCGGAAGATCGGGGATTGTTCAATCGCCGGGCGCGTCATACTGAAATACGTTAAAAGATGGTACTTGTTGTTACCCTGCGACTGGCATTAATGTGCTAAAACAGGGACTGGTCGGCTCGGATTCAGTATGTCTGAGCGTCTGAGTGGGGTATTCATGTTAAACTGCGACATGGTATCTCAGTTGGCTAGCACTTTAAACTTGGCATTAGTCTGGTTTAGTACAAGCATCCACACACACACACACACACACACACGTGTTTGCACGTCGCTATATCAGTGCAATAATCTTGAACGCGACGTTAAATCGTGACGTGAGTGCGTGGAAAATCGGTTCCACCGGAAGCAGTCGTAAAATCTCTGGGACAAAATGTAAATATAAAGCGTTTATACTTTGTAATTTGTCATTGAAATAAACTCCCGACGAAAACCGATACAAGCTTTCCATTCCATGTTTTGGAACATCGCCTTTATACATCGTGAATGTGCGTGAAAAGGTCACTTCTTGATCTCTTTTCGCTTCTGGGCTTTGAGAGCTTTTTTGTAATCTGTATAAGTGCATTTTATTGTACTGCAGATAATATATTATGCGTGTAAAGTGGTAAAGTCACATATTACATGTAGGAGGTCAACTATGTAAGACACAACTCTGATGGAAATAGCACATATATAAAGTGCAAATGAGAATAGAATTAATCGCAGATTACATACCGTATGCACACTGACGTTACACACTGGCCAACGGCCGTATACAAATCCAAACCCCAGCGACCTCAGTCTGACATTCGAACTCAGTTTATGTTTGCATTGTGTGGTCAACCATACAATCCAATCCTGCGCGCATGATCAGGCATTAATGACAACCCCAGGAATATATATTGACCAGCTATAGCCGTGGACTGGACAACCAGGTGTAGCCCGACACCCGGCTCGTGGACAGCGACAAATCTAGAATATGATACCTGCATGGCAGGGATCAATAAACGTTGCGTTTTGGCGCAAGCGACCATACGACAGTTTTATTCTTTGGCAAATTCAATTTGACCTTTATTATACACTGCAACGACATGAGACATGTGCTCTATAAAGGTTGCGCCATACAGAGAGAGCTATTATCAACAATAATAAGTGTTCACTACGAAGTAAAACTTAATAAAAATGCTTTAAAGATATGTAAATATTGGTGTGCGAATACTTGCGTTGCAAGTAAAACTTTGAGTGTTCAATTTTTACCTCTGTGAAGTGTTCAATTTAAAAAAAATCAAGGTGCGATTTTTATCACAATATATTTTCACAAAAGTCAATATAAGTTTTGTCTCTAAAAATGAGAATAGTTTTTCTGGTGCACGAATAGGCATAAAGGATTTAAAACTCTACAGTTTTCTGACTGAGAAACAATTTGGTTGTCAGCATCACTGCAACGTGTCCAATATAACCACACCACACAAAGGAATAAAGATTAGGGTGGTTTCTATGGAAACGTGTGTATGTAATCGATGTCTTCAATATATTTCTATAAATGCACGTGTCTGCGGACGTCTGTTATAACGCAGTTGTAATAAAAGATACACATTATAGTTACTATAGTTAATGGAAAGTCATTCATAGACTTTGATACGTACCTCTCGGACATTCTATGGCAACTGGTATCAATGCATGCATCTTCGAATTAAATTTGATTGTAGACTGTTCCAAATATGAAATATTCTACGGTTGGCTGTTTCAGGCTCGTTATTGGCCTGGGTTCGTTAAAAAACCCCATCTTCATAACCATGACCAAATGTCGGAGTAGACGCGAAATATGCAACATTGTCAGATTCTGTGTAGAATCTATATGATGCTGGAATATACCTGGGACTCTGTATCAGACTTGTTATAAACAAAAGAAACGAACACTATAACGCTTTTAGAGACTCCATGTTGTAAATGCATACATTTTACTTGTATGGTACTTTAGACGTTCTCAAAGGAGTGGGTTTGATTTAAAGCCGCACTGAATAGTATTCCAGTTATATCACGGCGTGACGGCTTAATATGGGGAAAACCTGAAGTGATGCAGGTCTCAGACGTTTACCGCTTTGGTGAAAAGGCGTTCTCGAAATGCAAGCTCGCATGCAAGGCAGAGCCTCGCGACGAATCACCATAAAAGTGCATGGGGCCGATGGGAGCCGGTATAGGAGAACTCTATAAACAGGTGCACCATCCCTTTCCCTAGGCGCCATGTCGCCATGCATGCACGCAGAGACAAAGATTCCTCTGGGTCGACAATGAACGCTGTACTATGTGACCCCACGCGTTCTGTCATGCCGTAAGTTAACTATATAATTATCGCCACGCTTCATGCACAGGCGGAGGGTTTTGCTGGGACAGCACTTTGTGTTGGTTTACTTATTGATTTCTTCCCACTCCAAGTAGTCTGTCATTTTGACCCAGAACAAATATACCCAATACAGCCCATGCAAGTCTAAAATATTTGGCAAGTCTAGATTACTGCACCTTTTGGAAACAAAGAAAATCTCTTGGATCCTTTTTATTTTATTTTAGTTAGATAATTAAACAACAGTTTTTTTTCTGTAAAATATTTTCACTTCAGAGATCACATGTGAGTCTACACTCAAAGCCATGTGTGATGTACGACGTCCACTCGTTTACTGAGAAGTCTAAGATGATATTTTCCTCAGTGTAAGTTGCCAATGGCATTCATTATATGAAAGCTTGACATAACATTCTAAGCATTTGACATGTGTGTTTATCGTATTTATTTTCTAAAATATACGAACATTTAAGACCTGTACACAAACAAGACCATTATGCATATACTGATGGCCAAATGTACGGGAAAGTATGCAGAAAGAAGAATTTGTTTGACATTGCGTCATGTATGTACTGATTGAAAGAAGTGAAATGGCGTTTAACGTCGCGTTCAAGATTATTATTGCACAAGTCGGACTGATGCCGATTTATAGTACTAGCCATGAGATACCATGCCGAAGTTTAACAGGAATACCCCAAGCAGACACAATATACTGATTCCGAGCCAACCAGTCTTTGTTTTAGCCCCTCAATGCCGAGCGCCAGACAGGGTAACAACAAGTACCATCTTTTAGCCCCGTGAAGATCCGGGGTAGAATAAGTCTTCAGCAACCCATGCTTGCCGTAAAAGGCGACTATGCTTGTCGTAAGTGGCGACTAACGGGATCGGGTGGTCAGGCTCGCTGACTTGGTTGATGCATGTCATCGTTTCCCAAGTGCGTGGATTGATGCTCATGATGTCAATCACTGGATTGTCTGGTCCAGACTCGATTATTTACAGACCGCCGTCATATAGCTGGAATATTGCTGAGTGCGGCGTCAAACAACAAACATGCGACCGGACATCGAACTTCTAAAAATACAGTATACCGCGACATCAAATTACAACTTGGGATCGGGACATCGAATAACGGTCTGGTTATAGTTAGAATGACTGAAGCAAGTAAGACATCTTGATGTCAGACTCTTTCAATAGTGGACACGCATGGCTGAAGGAAGTTAAAATTGTTAAAAAATATCGGTTAATTGTTTGGTCAAATCCAATGTTCAAGTGTATACTTTCTTTTGCCCCGCGGTTTATGTTGCTGTGTGCTCCGTTATATTTTCCATTATGTCTTCAATATGGTCTTCTTCACGAAGCTAGCTATATATCAGAGGTCGCAAGCTTGCAGATACGCATGTGCAAAGTCACCATTACCTGGAAGCGCCCTTAATATCTGTATTTACGTGCGTTCAGAATGTATACACATCCCTGCCTAAACTACATTACAGTTGTTAAATTGCACTGAATTGCAATAGCAAATTATATATTATGCATATCTGTTTATTACCCATAGGGTTGGAAATAACCAAGTTCATAAAAATAGTATGTGCACAAGTGCAAATATCACTTTTCGCGCACAAGTGTATTGTTTCCGTCATCGGCAAATAAAAGCATTGTTGACGTCATTCGAATCCTCTTGTGACGAAAGGTCGGAATGACGTCGCACTAGAAATAACGTCATTGCTGTTGATGCTTGACGTCATCCAACAAAACGTGGTTTTCTAGGGCAGCGGTGGTGATCAGTGCATGTTTCTGAAGGGGATCTCAAAAGGATTAAGAAATAATGGGTAATAAAGAAGTTATTATACTTATATGTGTGTCATACTGATTTTATGGAAACTCGTGTAAGAATGCATGTATTACCCTCGCTATCGCTCGGAAAATACAAGAATTCTGACACTCGTTTCGTAAAATCAGTATGACACACATACTCGTATAATAATCTCCCTTTATTACCCACAGGGTTAGAAATAACCGAGTTCATAAAAATCGTGCGTGCACAAGTGAAAATATCACTACTCGTGCACCAGTGCGTTGTTTCCGTCATCCGGACGGCATTGTTGACGTCATTCGAAAAAAAATGTTGTTTTGAAAGAGGGTCTTGATCAGAGCATTTTTCGGAATGGGAGCTCCAAAGGATTATATGGAAGCCTTTTAAAATTTCAAGATACAAAGTTGAAATTTCAAGATTCATGCGTTGAAATCTCAAGTTAAAAGCTTAAAATTTCAAGATCATTGTCTTGAAATTTCAACTTAGTATGTATCTTGAAATTTCAACGTAGTAATTTGAAACTTCAACATAGCATCTAGAAATTTCAACATAGCATCTGGATTTTCAACTTAGTATAAATTTCAAGATACATACGTTGACATTTCAAGTTAGTCTTAAAATTTCAACTTATTATCTGGAAATTTGAATTAAGTATCTTACAATTTCAATAGAAAAACAACAACAACAACAACAACAACAAAAACCAAAAAAACCAAATGGCCCTAATTTTAAAAGGCTTCCATAAATTATCCTAACTAACTATCTAATTGAAGAGATCTAGGTCCAGCCAGGTGATGTCAGTTATATATTTACGGTTGTGTATATAACTGGCGTGTAAAGTAAATAAAATAGCAACGGAATAGATAATGCTGTCCTAATATAATTGTTAAGTATGCTGAGAATGTTGACGGAGATGTGACGTGAGCGCTTTGAGTGGGGCGGGCCGTCACGAAGTCAGGTCAAGCTCCTGTCTCCGTGTTTGGTGACACCTTCGGTTTCTTGTGTGAAATGCTGTCCGTGGTATAGAGGTGTATTCCGTTGTTTTGTTCCAAAAGACAATAGAGCTTAGTCTGTGAATTTTCTCAGGTCAAAATATTCATACGGTATATGAGCTAGCCATTGATGTCTAGTCGACCATGTGTACAGCCTTTGGCTATGTGGATAAATTTCCGTCTTTTTTTAACAGGGTTAAAGGCAACGTACATTATCCCAGGTCGCAGAAGGCTTGAAAGGGTTCCTATATACAGAGTCCTTCTGTCTGTTAAAGCGAGCACGGAAGCGGTCGGTTGTGGCTTAATTGGAAAAGCCGATAATGAGCACTACCGTTTCACGAACCTTTCACACTTCACTGCAAGCCTTTGGACGATAATGTACCGTTTACATATACACACTACACAACCTGCTAACAGTGAGAGAAGGTCACAACGATTTCGCCATTTGTGCAAATTTTCCAAATATGACAATACAAAGGGGAGATAATTCAACATACCTTATAGGCGGATGACTGGCAGAGTTCGTTAATAATTGATCGGCATTTGTTACATCTGTTAACTGCACGAGGGAAATACATAATCGATATTGTTTTAGGTGTATGACCTATCGATATAGACATTACAATGACTCCACATATACAGCAACGTGTTCCTGGTTCAATACAGAAGTATAGCATCGTAATGTTTGAGCAGATTTTGAGGAACAAATTATTCATTTGAGTGGGCTAACATAAGTTTATTTTACCCGTGCCCACTTTTACAATTGTACTTCCTCTTTTTTTTGTACAAGTAATGCTGTACTTGTATTCTGTGGCATAGCACACGAGTTATGTCTTAAACATTTATTTCATAATGAAATGTATTGGAAAACAAGCCAATGGCTTATATCTTAAAAATAAAATAGTGTCAATACAAAGACATGCTGTGTTGTTTGTTGTTTAACGCCGCACTCAGCATTATTCGAGCTATACGACGGCGGTCTGTAAATAATTGAGTCTGGACCAGACAATCCAATGATTGACATCATGAGCATCGAGCCACACAATTGGGATACGATGACGTGCATCAACCAAGTAAGCAGCCTGACCACGCGATCCCGTTAGTCGCCTCTTACGACAAGCATAGTCGCCTGTTTACGGCAAGCATGGGTTGCTGAAGACCTATTCTACCCCGGATCTTCACTGGTCGGCTCTCCTATGTAGTTGCATCCGACATCATCAGGTTAAACCCCTTGTTCTTAGGAGTCGGACTGTACTATATTCATTAATGAAATGTAAAAGAAACTGATAACAAAATATACAGCACAATAAACCTTTAGCTACCATATCCGACCTACCTTGCATATCAGTTAATGACTGTGTCGCTAAGAATGTTTGGTAGCCTCACTGCTGAAGGCGATAATGTAAGTCTATGTGACGCTGACAGAGCATATGTCGCTTGTTGCTTTCGGACGGGTGTCCTCCTGTCTAAATTGTTGTTTCTGCACTTTTAGCGTTTTCGCTGTCCTTGGAACAAAATAAATATTTTATCGAAGCATGTGTATTCAGATCGTAATTGTACGCGTAACGATGAATGACCGTATATACACTAATTAACAAGCGGCGACGCCCTTTTAATACTTATGAATCAGCCACTTGGGACAATGGAATGGGCGTGACTTTTCAAACAGGAGGTGAATGCGTGGATGTTGCCGCTCTGCAGGATGATTTCTAGAGGTCTACCTATTCATTCATAATAAATTGACGTGAAAACCAGAACACTCTTAGCGATTACACGAAAAATCCTGGACATAAAGACTACTAAGTATAAATAGATATGCCCCTTACAGGTCGGCTCTTATAAGCGTATTGCATCTCATCTCGGTATATTTGTGTGGGACGCTTCATTGACCCAAAAAATCACTGATGCGGAAGCGTGGGCTGGGACCAACAAGGTGCGTGGTCACGTGACAGAAAGGCGGGAGCACGTTGTTGCACTGAAGCCGGCCATTTTGCGAGATAAGGGTTGCTTTTGGGTGGATTTTTACCGTTTCGTGGATTGATCGTAAGTTGAGAGACGACAATCATGGCGTCGAGGACAAAGAAAACCACTACTACCACATACTCCAGCCGATCCGACTCTGGGATCGAGTCGCCGGGCTCCAGCGCGACCTCGCCTCGCCGGCAAAGGCCTCCATCACCGGCAAGGAGGGTTCGTTTGCAGGAGAAAGAAGAGCTTATGAACTTGAATGACCGTTTGGCAGCCTATATCGATAAAGTACGCCATTTGGAGACGGAAAATACTCGGTTGTATACACAAGTGCGATCCACTGAAGAAGTTGTGAAACGGGAGGTGACGAATGTTAAGTCACTGTACGAAAGCGAGTTAGCTGATGCAAGGAAACTATTAGACGATACCGCTAAGGAAAAGGCTCGTTTACAAATTGAATTGAACAGATATAAGGAATCTAGCGACGACTGGCAGTCGAAGTAAGTATGGTTTATTATTTTGTCACTCTTATAACAAATGTCAAATGGTTTTGTGGACAGAAATCAGACGTCTGTGATGCACATGTGTTGCGTCGTCTCATTCAGTGCCTCAGTTTACGCGTGCTACTATCACAACAACTAGTGTTGGCTTCCAAATGTAAGATATGGACGTCTGTTGTACTTGTGTGTTGAACTTTGATGCTACGGGTCATAGAAGCTGCTACTCCTTTCTTCTCCTTATTTGTGACAAAAAGGTGTTTCAGCAGCTGTTACTTTTATCATCTGAACATACAGCAGAACATGTAGGATGCAGGGATTGTGCTATAGGCCCAGATTCGGTTGAGAGATCCTCCGACTGCAGTCTGACGTGCATGAGGAAACATTCATTTGACTTGTCCAATACTTCATAATTGAAATTTCAATGATCTAATACACTTATAGTGTTTTGCTACTATGGGTCTGTTACTTCCTCAATGATTTAACAATATTGCCATGATATTAATATAAGGTCCTGGTTTCAGCATGTTCAGAGTTCTTTGTTCAGTCGCTGCCTTTGTGGTCTAGTGGTAGAGTGTCCGCCCGAAGAGCAGAATTTCCGGGGTTCAGTCCCCAGCCGCATCATATCAAAAGACGTTAAAATATGGTACTTGTTGTTACCCTGCCTGGCGCTCTGCATTAAGGGGCAAAAACAAGGACTGGTTGGCTCCTTGTCCGTTCACTCTGTCTGACTTGGGTATTTGTGTTAAACTGCGGCATGGTATCTCAGTGTGCTAGCACTATAAGTGTAAATCGGCATCAGTGCGGACTAGTACAAGCAGCCACACACACGTGCAGGCACATCTCTATATAATAAGTGCAATAGTCTTGGATGTGATTTCACTACACCTCTTTGTTCAGTCAGCCCTAGGGCACCTGTAAAATGTCAGCATGACCTGGCTCTTTTATTGCAGTGAAGCTCCTTTAATAGTGTGTATTGATTGTAGTCTTGATATTCTGTAACAAACTGGTTTGACAAGAAATGACGGGTGGGATTCAATAAACTTCGAAATATTAATTACCTGGAAAGTGTAAGCTGTTGGTTGATATTATGAAGCGTGTACAATTTGTGCAACAAGGGATCAAATAAATAGTTTGTGCAGGCCCTGTACCTGCTTCTATTGTTTGAAGGGTAGTCCTTGTGTATTCCTGGCAGGTAATAAGATATTAAGTGTTGTTTAACTGATATATTTCCATTGTCTCATATGCAAAGTTGGTTTGTTGAACACCATCAAGGGCCACCAGCTGCTTTCGGTATCCCCATTTCGGGAATATAATAAATTAAAACAGATTTTAACAGCACATTTCAAGAATGATTATCATTTATGGAAAATCTTGTAAAAGTATGACATGATGAATAAAAAAGAGTGCTGACATTTAATCATACATGTTCCAGGAGTCCATCCTAGAACCTGAAACATTGCCAACCCGAATAGTGATCAGAATGTGTACATGTATTGCAGGCCACACATTGTTTATTATTCGTTTCACGGGCCTGCAGCCCCTACTGCAAAGCAGCTGGAAAAGAAGTAAATTAAACATAAACATATATATTTTTATTACGTCACCCGCAAGTAATATAGACCCTCTTATACAATATGAAATGTTATATATCAATTCCATGTCTACACTATATGATTCAAGAAGCCATCTGCAGTTTTAACTCCGCAGCAGAATGCCTTTCATATAAATAAATAATGATTGACATAGCTATTTTTTTTCATTTTTTATTTCAATTGACCCGGTGTGGCAAAGCTGGAATAAATCCATGAAACATTAAATTATTAAAGTGTGGCCTTAAAGTCTTGAGGGCATCCCTTGAGCCTGAATTTCTTTCCTCATGTTCATCCCCCAGGCTATAGCTGGCTATTGTGCCATGTTGCATCCATACATTGTTCCCACATGAAGTGGGTCATTGTCTACCCGGTGGTGGTTTGTTTTGAAACCTGATCATCTGGTGTGACCAAGATGAGGTGTGAAAGCTGACTGACCAGTCCGGTCAGCCAGGTCACTACATTCAGGTGAACTCCAGGTGTCACGTTCACCTGTCAGGGACTCAGTGTAGTGAGTGATGTCACATTCTCTTTTTCACTCCTAACATTCCCCAGATCAGTAGTAAAGGTATGGCAGAGTGAAAAGAAGTGCTCCTGCTAGTTATTTGTTTGACCAGCATTGCTGTTCTGAGGTCAGATGGTCAACTTGGTCAAAGGCTCTTGGAACATGTGATAGTGATATTTATATTTCACCTTGTCTTTGACTTTGTTGTTTGTTTAATCTGCAAAGTGCGTTTAGCATGTTCAATTAATCAATTCTTCTTAACAAAGAATTATGTTTCTAATTTTGTTTTATTTAAAAAATGTTTATTTCACCCACCAGCCAGTACAAGTTGTATATTTGAAAACAGTATGATCACCAAATTAGTTAGTGAAATATATGAGTAAATGAGTATTCATGATCAGACTTGGGTGGAAAGTTTTAACTTCCTTCAGGCTAAAGATGAAAGATGTAAAGGGAAGTTGAAAGGTCTGTGTGTCAGATGGAGTGTATAGGATTTGATAGTGATCTATGGTATTTGTGGTATTGTCAGTTACTTATTATTAGTTCTCGGAAGTATTTTGAATAATTTTAAATCAAGATTAGTCATCATATTGATGTAACTGTCTAAGCGGCCGATGGGTTATCTGAGCTTGGTTTTCTTTCGTTATTTTCCCTTGATCTAAAGAAAACCTAAATATTTATTAAGAATTTCAAATTTGAGATTGATGGACTCACAGAGTGATGATTGATCAGGACAACTGATTATTTGAGGATATTTGACTTTAACTTACCACTGAAGCAGGACACCCAGATACCAGTGTTATAAGTAAAATGTTTTTCTGCACCCAGGAGTCGGATGTCATTTAACAAACACTGAGAAGGTGGAACAGTAGAAGATAGTAATGCTAATTGACTTCCAGAGGTCAGTGAACTGCAGGTTGAAAATTCTCAGTTTTTCAAAGACGAAATATTTGTGCTATTTTGAGAGAATTTAGTGCGGTGTGTTAGAAGCTGGGTGTGCTGTACATGAGGTCACTCCGAATGTGGGGGGTGGTGTATTTTCTGCCTGAGGACCTGCACATCCCTGCAGGCATGGACAATGGCAGTATTTGCTCGTGCCCAACTCACAAGTAATTGTTGTTTGCAGTTCAACTCATGCTGGTATTAACACATTGAAGGTTTGTCATGTTTACTCTACCCATGTTTGTCTGACCCTACCATACTGGGTTTTGTCTCTCTATCAGAGTCCAGTTAATTATTCCCAGGTTTAGGCAGCCGGTATGAGCTGCTCCACCAGGGATTTTCATCGCAGGGGTAATGTCTTTCAACCAGTTCAGGAATTTTAATTCTTTTAGAACAATCCTTCTACCATTGTTTTTGAATTGTCTACGACTTCAGCGGGGTTAAAAATTGGCACTAGTCCTGTAGTCCTTATGGTATCATAAGGACTATTAGAAATGTGCCAGGGTTTTGCGATATGTTGTCAATGTGAGGTTTAGTGGGCTAAAAATGTTAGTTTCTACCCCTGACTACAGCCAGAAGTCCAGATAGTGAGTTGTGTAAAAATGCTGTCTATGTATTAGGCTTAGCTGATTGTTGTCCACATGACGAGACTGAAGATGTACTGAAAAAATACCAAGATACAAGTTTAGGCGAGTAGTCTAGTGTGTCTGCTGGCTTCTACCGAGGATAGATTCACTGCAGGGAGTTTCTGAACATAAATATTTGATTAAGTCACAATAATTAGTAACTACAAGCTGTTAGTCAGTACTAATACAAATTTAGATTCCTGGGGATGTAAAAAAGTTTGGGAGTAATAAATAAATGATCCAAATTGTATAACTGACATTTTGATTCTAAAACACTTCTAAGTGTCATGTAAATTGGAGGTGTTTTTTCACTTTCACGATTTTTACACCTATACACGAGACTGAAGTACCTGGCACTAGTGTTTAGAGAGTAGAAATAGTTAACTTTGTTTGGGGAAACTGACATTGTCGCTATGTTATATTGTTTGAATGGAAACAGTATATATAACAGTAAGCATGGTAAGATCTACCTGTCAACATTTGAACATGTTGAAGTGTCTTTATCGCAGGCGTGATTTACAGGGATCAATGTGGCTATCTTTGAAGAGACATATTATGCTAGACCTTGTCATAAACCTTGTCTCCACATCGCAAATTTTTTTGTTTTTTTATTGTCAGTTTCCAAAGCACACAAGGTAGTCATATAGAAGAGGAACCTGTTGATCCATGGGATGATGTTTATCTCATGATGTGTGGAGAGGTTATAAGCATAATAAGTGAATACAGTGGTCTATAAAACATCGAAAGTGCACAATGTTTAATGTGATCACAAGTACAGGGATTTCCCTGGATTATTTAGTTTGATCTCTTGAGCACCTTGATTAAAAACATAAACAGATTTGGAAAATACCTATCAACTCCTAGTTGATGGTACACATAGCTTATAAATCCTGTAAATGATTGAAATCTGCATGGCAGTTGCCATGTTGTTCATGAACCAGATGTCGATTTCGTTATACGATTTTGATTGGATTGTGCATGGACTTGTTTGTCCAGCCAAATTATAACTTCGAAATTCCAGCCTCGTTCAGCAATGGTGGAAAGTGACTTTTAAGTCTATTAACTCCCTTGCCTTAGGAAGATGAGAGAAATGCAGAGTATATTTGTATTTTCTTTCGAAAGAACGTGTTTTTCTCACCTGATGAATCATGGTAATACATATTACTTTTAATTGACTTGCACAGATAAACCTTTGCAGGTCTTGTTGTTTTGCAGTGCATTTAGCATACACTTGGCCCTGATCTATACAGACAGTAGTCTACCACAAGTGACTTAATATTGTGCGTACTCGGAATCCATTAGTGTAAAAGTAGATATGGAATTCCCCGACTGAAACGA